AGCTCAAATAGATGCACCCAATCAACGTCACGGCCGCAGGTCAGGTGACCGCATTTTTAACAGTTTACGGTCTTAGCCAGGATCCACATTTAGCTCAACATTATATTAGATACAACTACCGGTACTACCTTAAAGGCAGGTAGGGGGTCATTTGAGCGGTCCTCTGACCCTCTTCTATAAAAGACGGTTATTAGACCGCTTAAATTCAGTACTAAGCTCTTTTCAGTAATAGTTTGCCGAGAAGACCGTCCCATTGAAAGAGACCGTTTTGTGGCCGTCCCATGGCCGTCCCCGTCTATATTTTTAAAACAGGCTTCTTAATACGCTCGTTTTAAAAAATTGAAATAGTTCGATATTTATTTTAAAAAAGGTATAGTTGTAAATAAAAATTACTTCTTAAATGGAATCGTTTTAGTAATAATTTAATAAATTCGATGCCAAGATATTTCTCGGTATCGCTGCCACGGCTTATATATCAACGCTTTAAATTTTTAATAATCGGAATCGATCGATTCAGTAAAAGTTCACCCGCGTCACTGCGCCCTTATAGCACCTGAGAGGTGGGGGGGAGGGGGTGGTGATAAGGGGGTAGTATACCCAGTAGAGGGTAGACTGCTAAGTAATTGAAAAAAAAAAAAATTATTTGCTTATTAATCAACGTTTTCCGGGACGGTTTCAAGTTCGGGGACGGCCTTGGGACGGCCTTGGGACGGCCACAAGACGGTCTTAAAACGGTCTTTTTATAAAAAGACCGACTTTTATAAATGATTATTTAATCGATTAAAACCGTCTTATTTTAGTAATAATCTTTTTACGAAAAGACGAGCTCTTATAAAAAACGATTTAATCGATTGAAATAGTTTTATTTTAGCTACGATTTAAATAATTTAAATCGTTTGTTTTCAGATTCTATTCAATTTCAAGTATCGGCCTAAGGTGATCCACTAGCTATGCCAACCTCTTGGAATCGTCTCTTAAAGAGACTGTCATCGGATTGTCAGCTGACGGTTTAAATGACCCCCTACCTGCCTTTAAGGTACTCTCCCCCTCCCATGAATACGTAGTAAATGTCGGACCCAGTTTAGGCCTACAAATCATAGAGCGGTAGTTTCTTAATGGCTCGAAGCCCTGTTGACTCCACTGTATAGACTAAATACTGGCTCAAAGATACTTTTCAAGGCTGAATCCTTAAGTTGATTGGTTTAAGCCCTGGTAAGATCCTTTGCGAAATTATACTTTCGACATTTATTTTTGGGGGGGTCGGGGGGGGGGGGGGGGAAAGTACAACTTACGTAGTACTACGTACGTAGTACGTACGTAGGCCTGTACCGTGGCATATCCGTACAGACTTCGATCAATACGAGGTTCCAGACAACGACGTCGAAATATGCCTCAAACATGCTAGTAGTAGAGTTTTTCTATTTTTGGACGGATACCTTACCCCCACCCACCTATACGTCACTAGCATTGTACCCCCCGGATAGTTCTCGGTCTGAAAAATTTTATACCAAGTACAGTATTGAGCAAGAGAAGGCGCTTCTTGTTTGATAAGCACTTCGTCCGTGAATCTCCTACTACTTCGTAGATTCTTCATTCATTGGTCTAACAATATTATATATAGTATCTGTGAAAGGTCTAGGGGGGGAAAAAAGGAGATGGAAGAATAGCTAGGATCAACAGCAAGCAGCCGACAGCTTGCCTTATTAGCGCACGGCTACCTCTATGTCGACACATCTACTACTAGGTACGTACGGTAGTAGTACCGGTACTGTACCTATAGGTATCAATTCTCGATGTCACGCTCCGGAAGCTCCAGTCCCGGATTATTGTATGGCCGGGCCGTCGTTACGGAACGGAGAAAGACTTCGGCCTTGGCAAACACAACAGCAAGGCTGGGTTGGATATCCGTCCGTATCACGTGACGTCTTCTTTAGCGAGCCGCACCCACATTCTTCTCATTTTCAAGAACAGGAATATACACGGATCTAGCCGACACCCTCACGAACTCGACAACCACCGCCAACACGCGAAAACGCCAAAATGTCCGAACAGAGCAAGAAGGCATTGAAATACTACCCTGCAGACGATGCGGCGGTTCCCAAGAAGGTGGGTGACCCCATTCCCGTTCCGGGGCAGATGGATGCGACTCCGAGCTGGAATTGCAATTTTTGCTGGGAGGGACAGCGGGAGCGAGAGCAAGATCGAAAGCATGCAGGAAACATAACATATACTGGAAAAAATCAGATCAAACCAAATAAAAACTAACACTTTTGGCGCAGGTTCGCAAGACCATCCGCACCTCCTCCCCTCGCGCCAGTCTCGTCCCCGGTACCGTCCTCATCCTCCTTGCTGGTCGTTTCCGCGGCAAGCGTGTCGTTCTTCTCAACAACCTCGACCAAGGCGTTCTCCTCGTGACCGGCCCTTTTAAGATCAATGGTGTCCCTCTCCGCAGAGTCAACTCCCGCTACGTTATCGCCACATCCATGAAGGTTGATATCTCCGGTGTTGACGCAAAGAAGATTCAGGAGGCCTCCGAGTCGAAGTACTTCGCGGCTGCCAAGGGTGAGAAGAAGTCGGCAGAGGAGAAGTTCTTCGCTCAAGGGGAGAAGCCAGAGGTATGCGACACCAGCGGGAGCTGTACAGATGTGGAGGGCGTGCTAATAAGGAGTAGAAGAAGAAGCCATCTACCACCCGAGCAGCAGACCAAAAGGCGGTTGATAAGGTTCTGTTGGCTGCCATCAAGAAGGAAGAGTACCTTTCGGCGTATCTTGCATCCAGCTTCAGCCTGCGCAAGGGGGACAAGCCACACGAGATGAAGTGGTAAACTGCCATTCTGTGTTTCGTGGGAGTCGTTGGGAATGGGTCCTAGAGGTGGGAGGGATTCATAAATCGCATCATGCATTCGGGCCCTGAGGCAAAATGTTTCTTGCTAAGGGCGCTCTGTAATCAGATTTGAAATTACGACGACATCAAAGCAAGACGATATTCAATGAATCCTAGGTGCCGGAAGTTCGGCGGGAGAGTGATCTATTGGTGCAGGTCGAGTGAGTTTCCTTCGGTACTAATCTAGTAAGGGCCGTTTGAGACAAGAGGCATCGACAAGGACACTCGACAGCAGAGCAAGCAGTCGTGGCTGAGCGGCAGCAGACAATGAAGATCCAATACCAAAGCAAGAACGCCAGACGACTGGCAGTCAAGAAAACAAGAGTTCATGAATGAAACTGTAAGCAGCCCTTTACTGTATCTTTCCGAGAACCTCACCTGTCCCCTATACGAGAGCTGGATATGATGAAAGAACTCCGGATGTTAAATCATATTATCTCCGAGAGCGCAAAACCATGTGGAGACTTTCCGTTGCCTTCCTTCTGATCCCAAACGCCACCTCTATTTTATACCGTTCCCAGCAAAAGTCTAACCCTAGCTAACACTTCTATCTTCAGGACGCGGTCAGAGTCACCAATTTCTCAAGCCCGGTGCCAATTCCGGGTCAGTTCTCAGCCATTCTTCGATCACATGATGTTTTGTAGATGGAAGCGAGTGCTTTGTTCTGAGCTCGATGCCGAGAAGTCTAGGCTTGATCGGCTTTGCATTCTGGACTTGAAAAACGGAGGTTCTTCTCAGTGCGTGAATTGTTACTGTGTGCTCTGCTGCATGCGCGTGATTACGGGATGCATGGAGAGGCCAGTCCCTGGGTCGGGTATGACGGCCTAAGGGGAAGACAGGTTGAATCAAGAAATTTTCGAGTAAAGGTGCGGTGATGCATGGATCTGGAAGCTGGAGATGAAGATGGAGATAGCTGTGGTGATTTCCGTCGGGATCTGGGACTTGGGCCTTGGTGCTGGCAAACCAGGCTCTCTCACGGCTTTCATACCGCCTGGATACCTGTCTATAGACCGTCAGTCGCTTATCTCCTCCCAGTCACTCGTTCCATCGCAATATGTTGTGCAAAAGCAGACCTGCCATGCACATTGCAGTAACCAGTCTTATAACCCTATATACTCCGCACGACAATTGTATATATAGTACGTAGTATATAGCTATACCAAATGTTTAGCGTTGGTAATGAATTGTGGACAATTTATTCGGTAAGCGTTGTTAGAAATTTTGATGTTCCGAGTCAATTTGAAAATCGGTGTAGCGCATGCGATGGAACGAGTGGCTAAGCGCAGCCGACGGCTTGCCTTATTGGCGCACGGTTAATGCGGCAATCTGCCTTGCATTACGACCGGGGCGAAGCGAGGTCCCTTGGCCCCGGAGCTTTCGGAAGGCCGCCAAGGATCAGAAGAAGAAAAGAAGGAAGGAAAAATTACTATAATTATACAACGTTATAAGCGAACGTAATAGTTGTTTCATCTTGAGGATACGAAACAGGGGTTTTTTTTACCAGGGAAATAGGATTTTCGAAGGGGTCGAGATACTACGTAGTAGTACTACAGTACGTACCGGTACCACTCCCCCGCCCCCCGAATTGCTACAGCCTGAGGGTGCCTCAAAAATTGAAATTTACACTTTAAATCCCCTGGGGCTACCCTACCCTCAAAGGTGTAACAACTACGCCTGGGACGTAGATGTAGTACGTAGTATATTAATTTTCTACAAGAAATACGCTTGAAAAAAATGTAAAGAAAATGTAACGCTTTTAGCCCGGGCGCAAGCTAAAAATCATAAATATTACTACGTACAACTACTACTACAACGTCACAGGCGTAAGTCTTACACCCTGAGGATAGGGTAGCCAGGAGGTTCAAAGTGGAAATCAAGACTTTTAAAAACATCCTCTTTAGGCCTGTACTGTAGACGCAATATACTACGTAAACTTCAAACTACTACTACGTACGTAGGTATGACTCCGCTTCGTCGCAAATACCTTGTACTACTACTACGTAGTACTACGTAGGTTCTACGTGTACAATTACTACTAAATACGATTGTACGAAGTATGACGGTACAAGCCTAAGTGCAAAGTTCTCGCTATTTTTAGAAGCTTTTATTCTACTACTACGTACGTACCTATCAAGCTGGGTACCACCCTCCACCATGCTTCCGTTTCAACAACGCCGTCTTATCCTATTTCCAATTAAAGCAACAATTTTATTTCTCTCGCTCTCGATCGAATCCTACGCTCCTTCAAAGAAAAGGTAAGAAAAAGCAGCGTTAAGTACCGGTAAGATACCTATGAAATCAAATTTTAACTCGTTTGATACACTTTTGCTACAGTATATTCCCGATTGAATAGGACGCTTCTCCGATTTACCGAATTAGTACGTCGCAGGCGTAACTGTTACACCCTTGAGGCTAAGGTAACCAAGGTCCAAGGGGTTTAAAATGAAAACTAAGCCTTGGAGGCACCCTGAAAGGTGTAACAATTATGCATGCGACGTAATACGGTACCGTATTCATTTACGACAAAGCGGAGTCATATAACGTAATTCGTTCGAAGTCTATAGTTGTGATATTTATAAGTCCGGAATAGGCGTTTGAAAAGTACTTATATACTTCTAAAGTCGCGCTGTACATCTGTTCACCATCATCGAGATCTGGCATCATTGTTTCTATTATTATCTATCTACTTTTCAAAACAACAACCCTTTTTCTACCAGCCTATCACCATGCGATCCGTCACCGCTTTTCTCGCTACAACTGCTATTGCAATCGCCGTTGTAAATGGAGCCACGCCTGCCCGCAGAGGACAGCTCTATGTCTGCCAAGATCCTGACTTCACAACATGCCTTAACGTCACTTATAACCAAGATGAATGCAGTAAGAATTCTCTCTATTTCACTTTTGAAAAATTATAAAAGCTTATAAACATAAATAGCTCCACTTAACGAAAGTGGATTGGACAATGTCATGACCGGTTTCAATACTTACGACTACGGATGCGAGTTTTACGGGTAAGTGAACTACGACTCTTATTTTTAATATAATTTGATTTCATATAATTAATTTGTTATTAGTTCTGCTACATGCTTGACCAACGAAGAATACTTCACTTATCGAGGTGCTATCCCCGATCTTTTATTGAGCAAGTATGCGGTTACCAATGATCGCATTTCTTCGTTCCGTTGCGGAACGTAAAATGTAAGGATTCATCGCGATATCCAGATGCCGAGATGCGATATCGAAGGACAAAAAAAGATGAATCGCAGAAGAAGGTCGTTTAAGTAGGAATACAGGCACCATGTCACGTAGCTACACTAGGTGTGCCGGCCTTGGTATATCAGCATATAGCTCTCCCTCAGCTAGTATAGCTGAGCCTCTAGACTTCGCGAATCACGAATATAACTAGCACCACATATATTCGTACTTCCCATTCGGTACTTGTGATACCGATATTGATCAATGGTCAACCTTACAATTGATCGTAAAGCAGTAAAGTTCACACAAAAGAGATCGATTTGCAAACAAACTAACTATAGTCTTCGTTTTGCAAAAAGATGCTAAAGAATATCGATAAAAGAGAAATCGGATTATAGACTTCGCTCTTCGATATTCGAAAGGTTTCTCGCTAGACCGCGTGCAACTGCACCTTTAAAAAAAACAGCAACTTGACCATAGCGTTCGCTCCCTTTCTTACGATCTGAAATACTTTCAAAGGCAGTCTGATTATAGCCTTCGCCCTCGGATTTATTTCTCTTTAAGAAGCAACTTGCGTCCAGTATGCGCAGTATTGTATACAAACAATACGCTTTTAGCTAATCCTTAACGCGAGCCTTCCCCCTCGCGCTAACCTTTAGTTTTCGACCTCTTTGCTATAGAGGTATAGGATGCTCATTCGGCCTGCTACTCTACTCTACTCATTCCTGTTGGAGGGCTTCTCGGGCCATTCATTCATTCATTCATTCATTCACACAAAGGCTATGGTCATCTTTCCATCCCGTGTCCCGAACTCGAATACCGCAAGATAAGCTGCTACCGGGAAGCGTGAGAGCCGACACGCAGACGAATGTACGTTGTACTAGCGGTACGTCAATGTTTCTTTTGACATGTAAAGCGATTTGTCGGGCTTTTCATCAGAGGTCGGAGATGGGTCTCCCCTGGTTAACCTTGGGTAATTTAACCGATCGCAGGAGAGCCCGTGAGCTGAGGCTCTTGAGGCTCTTGAGAAACCTTTGCTCCTCTCACCTCTCTCTCTCTCTACCTCTACCGCTACTTGGTACCTCTACCTCTACCTCTACCTCTCTCTCTACCTCTACCTCTATCTCTCCCTCTACCTCTACTTCGTACTTCCTACCTCTCCCTCCACCTCCCCCTCCCCCTTCACCTCCCCCTTCACCTCCAGCTCCACCACGTCTGCCATTTACCATCGGGTCGACGCGCAATTGAGTTGCCCTCGTGTGTCGAATCGAATCTGAATGCCACTCGCAACAAATCCGTAAGCTGAATCACGCCCGCCCGCAATCACGTTGTCAAATACGCAAAGCGGCTTGTCGTCCTGCAGGGACGTGGAGCAGCGGCTACCCATACGCACTGGTGGAGCGAAAGTGGCTACGCGCCCGTCATCTCTCCCTCCTCCTCCTCCATCTTCATCTCCATCTCCGTCTCCCTCTCAGTCTCTGCCTCCCTCTCCATCCCCTTCTCCCTCTCTTTCTCCGACACGACCTCCTTCACCGCGACCGCCGCCATTCTCCTCGCTCTACGCTTCTACCGAACAAGCTGTCGAAGCCTATAACGCAGCGGTCACTGAAGCCGGCGCTGCTGCACCGGTCCCGGCGTACTCGCCCGCTGCTGCTCGAGGATCCCACGAGCCGCCCTCCGCATCTTCCGAGGACGTTGTCGCGCAAACCAAGAGCTGCCTCCTGCAGGATACAAAGGGGGAATCTTCCAAGAAGGACGACGACAGCGAGCCTCCGCCAGCATACACCGAAGGCTCTAGCCCCCTCGATTCGTTCACATACCTGATGGCAGCCGCAGGAGGCGCTGCGAGTATCCTTACTCAGGTGCAGCAGAGTGGTCCAGCACCAATCAATACTCTTGGAGGTAGGGTATGACATTATGCCCGGAGTGGTGGGTGCTGATGTAGAGCTGCAGATGTTGGTGCCGACGAAAATATCACAATGGACCTGCGGTACGATCCGCGCTCAACGAAGGCGGAATAGCAGGCTGATACGGTACATCTAGGGGCCAACGGTTCACGCTTTCGCGAGATGAACTCCTCACCCTCCCAGAATTCGTCCTTCTCTCGCTCTTCCCCAACGGTCTGCTCCCGGATGGGCACCTGAACACCTACCACGAGGGCGACGCTTTTCAGGTTGATGTCCGTGAAGTTCAACATATTCGCAATATATTGCATAATATAGATCTATACATAGCTGACCTCACATCGCAGTATGATCCGGCATCCTTACAATACATGCTGGATTTCTTCCGAAATGTCGCGCAAACCATTCCCTCTGGGCCGAATTCGCCCACTGTTGGCCCCGAAGCTGACGCCGTCCCGATAGAACCAATGTCAGGGTCCGCACGAGAGATGTTGCAGGACCGAGCAGGAATAATCGTGTTGAGGGAAGACCTGGATTTCTACGTTATACCCCCTCAAGCAAACATTACGCAACCAGAGATGATTGAGGTCAAGAGAGCAGCTGGGAAGGCATTGCTGAAGCAGGACGGAATATTTTCTGGGTTGAGGAGGAGTGAGGAGACTGGAACGACCGAGCAACACTTGATCGAGATGTTGACGGCTGGGTATGTACCATTGCGTCCTTTGGTCCGGCTGGGGCTTCATCTATTGCGGGATTGACACGCGGCAGAGGATTCGATCATGACGACCACTGGGGCCACCGAGCCAACGAGCCGAACAAGGCAGTCATCTGCAGTCTCGCCCTCGCAAGATTACGGACGGACATCCGGGGTGGTGATGCGGGGAGCAACGCTGTTGGGATGGCTCAGAAGCTTCTGCTCTTCTGGAGAAAACCAGCTCGGAGATGTTGGTGGGAGGGTGTCGAGCTTGAGAACGTAGATGGCGTGGACGGAAAGCTCAAAGTATGGATCCGCAGAGTTTGGACCCTCGAAATGAGTGTAATCGGGCTGAGATAGAGCACGTCGATTGCCTTTCCTTTTTGTCTACTTCGTCATTTTCGTCCGATATATCCGAAGCAGGACTGAGGTCCGGGGATCCACCCAGCAAAGCTTCACATGGTGTTTTGATAGCATGGCTTCTCTCGTCTCGTTTGTACTTGCCTGTCTTTGTGGCTCCCCGATGGGATTTTGTAATTTTCCCTTGACCTACAATTTGAAGTACGCTCCGTGGAGTGAACTGTACACGAGGGAGAGGCGCCTAATACTGTTATAAAATAATGCCCATGTCCGGCTTGACGGTGTACCGCTGATGATTATTCGCCGCGATTTCTTCTTTTTCCTGTGTTTTCTTTGATGGTGATCAGGCTGAATCGTTCACGAACGTTTGCTTACGTGGTAAAGGGAAGTCAATTTCAGTGGCAGCGTCCATATCACGGGACGGAACTGGGGAAGCTTTCGGGATACAATAAGAGCTGGGCTATCAAGGCTTGCTATAGATATGCTAGCTGTATGTGCTAGTGCTACTTGGCTTTGAATCCTCCTAATAATGATCGAGGATGACTGAGGGTCTGAATCATGCGCGTCTTCGTGTCCCCATTGATGACTTACGACTTTGGACTTTGGATTCTGGACTTTACTTCAGACTGTGCTTTTGAAACTGATATTGATCTTACATGAGGGTCTGACATCCCTCCTGCGGTGCGGATACCCTCTCCAGCTAGCCACTTCTCGGACCGGGAACGTCGGTGGGTGGGCTTGCAAGAAGTTTTGCCTGTTCGGCCTGCTTCTCGACCTGGGCTTGCCTGGTACACAGTGTTCGAGCGAGTCGGCGGTGTCCAGCCAGCTACACGCGAAAGCCTACAAAAAAGGAAACAAACAAGAACCCCCCCCTGGACCGGTGAAGTTTGAAGATGGCGCCGGTCCAGATACGGAGGAGCCCGACCTGGCGAGTGTAAACAAAGAAGCGAGAGGCGAATCCGCAACAGCGGCGTGTTCAGAGATATCTTTTAAACCCCGAAGCCTCTGCGATTCTGAAATTGCACAACCGACGAACAACACTTCTCTCTCTGTTGGCTCTCCGAGGTCCTACTTCGAACCTAGAGAGGTTCGAACTTCAACTGACCAAGTCGCAGGCCCGTGCGGTGCTGCGGATCGGCGCGCCGAATGATGAATGATGGGTGATGGCGATGCATGCTCGCTCGTGCCTGAGATGGGAGGGATGGTGGGTCGGTCGGTCGGGATTGCATAGCATAGCAAGCAGATGGATGGAGCTCCAGTGAGTCGGCGGGGGACATACATGAAGGGCGTTCCATTCGCCGCTTCCGCCTTTGGGCGGCCTGTCATGCTGAAAGCAGCTCGTTTCATTTTTGAGAGAGATGCTATTTTATCGCGCTATATATAGCGGATGACAAGTGGTGATTCTCCACGGCGACGGCACAGAAGAAGAGTAATAGCTGAGGCTAGTCAGTGGTGTCTGAGCAGCGTCATGGTCTATCTGTATTAGGTGCTCGTTCTATCGGATGCAGAGCTAAGGAGAAAAGAAGGGGGTGAGGGGGAGAGAGAGAGAGAGACTACCTCTACTCCAATACCAGCCAGACGTTAGACCTTAGCACCTGTAATCTCTCTCTCTCCCCCTACGAACATCTACATCAATACATCAGCTCCATCACCAACACAAATTTGAAAATCCAGGGACTCACTTCATTCACTCACTCACTCTTCAACTCCTGCCTCCCTCCCCCCGATTCACCCTCCCCTCTCTCCTCTCCTCTCCTCTCCTTACCGGGCACAAATCCCAGACATCGAGCGAACGAACGAACGAACGAAATACCAACACGTTAGTTACTCTTACGCGCAACGAGCAAGCCATGGATGGATAGATAGAAGAAGCAAGTCTCGAGGGACGGGACGGGGGAGGACTCGGACATGTCGTTTCGTCTCGTCTGCAATATACTCCTGCGTGCACACATACATACATATACATTCATACACAAGAACACAAGCTGAAAGTAGAGTTCATCAGATAACATGCTAGTCCGCATTTGCAGGCTTGAAAGGGCTCGTTCCTACGACTGACTGATAGACAGACGGTCACGGAAAGGAAGGGGGTGCGTGCGATTGGCGAGGAAGATTTCAACGACCTGTTTATTGAGTGGATAGCTAGATTTTAAGAGAGGAAGGGGGAGGAAGGAGGAGGGAGGGGAGGGGAGGGAGAAAAAGAAAAGAAAGGAAAAAAGGAAAGGGAAAGGAAAAGGAAAAGGAAAAGGGAAAAGCATTGCATCTCCCTGTTGAAGAACTTCAACGATGGGAGGACGGATGACATTTCGGTAGGTAGGTAGGTAGCTAGCTAGCTAGCTAGCTGGCTACGTGCTAGAAGGGGGAGAAAGGACATGGAGTCAGTCGGTGGGTATGTGTGCCTGTTTGGTAACCAGTGCGCGGGATAGAAAAAAGAGGGAGGGAGAGAGAGAGGCGAGTAAGTGTGCTTGCACTCAGGGAGAGGGTTCATATCATATCATGTGCAAAGCTACACCCACGACTCTATCTTGACAGACCCCTTTTCTCGTCGGTTGCGAGTCTGCGCGAGGATGGTTGAGTCTTCCTCGCATGCGGAGAAGATGGGGCATATCTTCTGATCGGCGGAACAAAGTCAGAGATGGGTAGGGACGAGGAAACGGCGTCCTTCGTAAAGCCCCGCGAGAAGTGCTGGCGCTCTTCCAGGCCGCGAGGGCAGAGCTTTGATATACATATATATATGTATATATTGAAAAAACCTGGTTGTAGTCGATGATGGGCGGAATCACGACCACGCAAAGCTCTCAACACAGCTCCACTGCAGCCCACCGCTCCCCTCAAACGTCTGTCCCAGCTTCACGTCCCCCGCGCCCAACATCCCACGGGGGACGTCTTCGTCCAGGCTCCCAATCTGCACCACCGACTCCCACCCCTTCTCAGCATCACGCCACACCCACCGCGCAGCGCCAAACTCGCCTCCCCCCCTCCGCAGAACAGCCTGCGCGTACCGTCCAACCCGCGCCATGACGCCCCGGGTTCCCTTCTCCGCATCCTCGGTCCGCAACACCCAGCTCCTGAGCCCGTCCTCCCCGTCCACGAGCCCGGCCTCGAGATCGACCCAGCACTCCTCGTATGTCTCCTCCTTGCCCGAGGCAGGGTTGATCATGGCGCCGTACTCCATCGTCTCCCCGCTGGCCTGCGGGTACATGACCCCCTCGTCACAGGTCTCGGCCGTGGTTCTGCTGTCGACCCAGTGCGTCCAGACGGTATGCGCCGGCGTCGCAATCGTGCCATCCGCGGCGTATGCGGCGGGCGTGGGGTTCGAAGTCCCTGCGAAGCCCCATTCGAGGCGAGATATCGGGAGAGGGCTGGAGGCGGGGAGGCACGGCTCCGAGGGGGTTCTGGGGAGGTAGATGCGGATGTCGACGAAGTGTTTGCCGGCGGTGGTGAGGACGAGCGTGCTGTATGCGAGCATCAGATCGTGGCAGCCCGCAGACTTACGGAGGGGGGTTACGCACTCGGTATCTTCTCCCGCCGGCGCATCCTGTTCCGAGATTAGTTGATGCCCATGTAGAGAGAGACGGGACTGACACCCCACTTGATGAACTTTCGGGTGGATATGAACGGCTTTGGCATTGCTGCGTTTCTGTGGCGGCTGTGAAGTTCAATCAAGAGTTGACAAGTGGGGGAATGTCGTGGAGCTCTAATCCCTTATCGCCAGAATCAAAACGTGCAGATTTCTTACCAAGGAGAGGAAAAAGGCAAACTCCAAGGGAAGAAAAAGAAGAAAAAGAAGGCAAAAGTGTGTCTGGAATAGGCAGTGGTCAATTTATCCAAGTATAGTACAGCAAGAGTGGTGAATAAAACAACAGGGAGACGTTACCATCAAGCATCCGAACCCGAACAACAAGCATACACGCTTGACTGAGCCATCCCGAAGGTCAAACTGCCCTGACAGACCTATACATGCCAAGGACGCCTGCAAATCATCGCTCAATAGTCGCACAAGTCATTATCCAGTCTCTCGAGACCGATCAGTTGCCCTTCTCCCTGAGCGATGCGCCTGAAGCCCTGTACCATACATCGCCACCCCATCGCATCATTCTCTCCACCGCAGCTGTTGGCGTCAGAGCAGGCCGGACATCGAGGTGGAAGACCGGCTCCCCGTCTGCGTCGTCGGGGGCGGAGTAGTAGTCGATCACGTATCTGATCTCCTGCTTCTTGCCCGCGACCTCTCTCTGGACGAACCAATCGTGGCGATCAAATGGGGGCTCCGTCCTACATGTTGTTCAGTATCTGCTCCTTACTCTTCGTTTCTGGGGACCTACGCATAAGCAGTCGGGTATATCCACCCCAGGACCTGGACCATGGCCGCCTTGGGCGTCATCTCCTTCGGCCTCCCCATGAACCTGATCAACTTGGGCTGCACAACCTCGTCTACGTTGGCGCCCGCGGTCAGATTTTGGCCCGCCATAGAGCCTTTCTCTCCCCTTCTGCAATTCTCCCACCCTTTCAGCAGTCCATGCCCGAATCTGCGCTCCCATTCGACAATCTCTGCCCAGGCACCCTCGTTCAAAAAATTGTGCACGGAAACCATCGCCTCCACTGCGGTCGCGTCCGTATCTGTATGCCCCTTCCGTAGGAGCGCATTGTACATCTGCTGTGGCGAAGGGTATTCCCAATTGCCCTCTCCGGTGCCCTTGGGAATTGTGGAAGGCTCGCGCTCGGTGGGCAGAGCCACCGTTTGATTCGTAGCGCGCTCCTGGGAGATTTCGGAGAACATGTAGTTCAGAGGGTTGTATTTGGAATATTTGGATGAGGTCTTCGCCTGGGAGGCGTCGGCATCCGAGGGCGTGTAGGGGCAGGCAGATTCGGCGGGTGGCGTTGGGGTTTTGGCGACGGCGGGTGTGCTCTGGTGCATCGGGCATGAGGGCTGAGAGATGTTAGATAGTTTAAACAATCCATGGTGAGGATATATACCGGTGGCGAGGCATTGATATTTGCGGGCATCGGATGAGGCGCACTTCTTGCATTCACGACTGGTATGTCGGGGTCTGCCCAGAACCAGCCCATGGCGCTACGGGGGAGAAGGGATATCGAGTGGAAAACAATACAAGAAGCACAGAGAGGAATGAGTAGATGCAGGATTACGAATTGTGGTTGTAGGTGTGGTTATGGTATGAATGAGGTGGAGTTGTAATGTCAATGAGGCGACTGGATGATGGGCGTTCAAAAGTTGATTCTGCCACTCCTGCCTGACTTTTTCCGACTCACCGCGATCCTCTAGCGAGCCCCCTTTTGTTAATCAACAGTCCACATCAACATTCCCCCGTATTGTTCTCACAGCGAGAGGAGAGCCTCTTTCATGCTTTCATCAAGAGAAGAATTGCTTTGGTCTGATGCTCATTTATAGCGCATAAAATGATGAGACGGAGGGCGATCATGTCCCCGAACAAGCCTAAACCGGTCCGAATGTCGGAGGTGGGGTGAAGAAAAGCCTATATATACAATACATAAATACACTTCGTATATGTAAATTTTTACGTCGCCGCTTCCGACATTGATATTCGTCCAAGATAGCATTTCGTTCTTCGCTTTCGCTCTTCTTACTAGGTTTATATATGATAACGTCAAGATCGTAGAAGAAGAGACCAGAATGGCTCGTCAGAACAGTACGTCCGAGGTGCGTGACGAGAACGAGTCCGCGGGGATCGAGCCTATACCAGGTCTATGGAGCCGAGTATGGAAAGACAACAAAGGCGCCATCTACATTCTCATCTCTGAACTCTTTGGGACCTCGACAGATGCCATTGTCCGAGGTCTGCAGCAAGGCCGAGGTGGAAATGGCATGCACCCCTTTCAAGTACGAAGAAGGAATAGGTCACCCGGTAACAGAGAACAAACTTGCTAAAGCCCAGTGTAGGTTATCATTGCACGTCTGGGAGTCACCTTTGTCTTGAGTGCGTTGTATATGTGGTGGAAAGAGGTTCCCGACTTTCCTTTGGGAAACCGTGCGGTCAGAGGCTGGCTTGTGCTCAGGGCCGTCTTTGGATTCTTCGGTCTATTCTGTCTCTACTGTAAGTTGAAGTTGAAGATGTCACTCCTTGGAATCTCCCTGTCCCTCTGCCTCTGATATCAACTGACCTGATCCAGACTCGGTGCACTATATCCCCCTCGCAGAATCAACCGTCATCCGGTTCCTCGTCCCGATCGTCACCGCCTGGGCATGCTCCATCGCCCTCGGCCAGCGCTTCCTCCGCAAAGACCTCGTCGCGGGACTCGTCGCCCTGGTCGGCGTGATCATCATCGCCCACCCGGAAAGCATATTCGGCAAGGTCGACGATGCCATCGGCGTCACCAAACCCGGCCAGATTGATCACGTGACACCGGCCCAACGTCTCATCGCCATCACGGTCGCTCTCCTAGGCGTCTTGGGGGCTTCGGGTGCGTACACGACCATCCGGATCATCGGCCCGAGGGCTCACGCCTTGATGACCGTGAACTACTTCGCCTTCTTGGGGACTGCTGCTTCGACTGTGGCGCTGCTTGTCATCCCTGGCATCGGGTTCGTGATGCCAAATGGAGCACGCGAGTGGTTACTGCTTCTCGCTTTGGGCGTCCTCGGCTTCGGGCTGCAGTTCTTGCTCACAGCCGGATTGCAGATGGACCGGAGCAGCAAGGCGACCAGCATGTTGTACACGCAGATCCTCTTTGCGCTTGGATTCGACTGGGCCATCTGGGGCGTTATTCCCGGGCGGTGGAGTCTACTTGGTGGGATGATTGTGGTCGTGAGTACGTTTTGGTCTGCCTTGCAACCGCCACCGAAGCCCTCGGATGAGGACAAGACGGTTGCTGTTGTTGACGAGGAGACTGCCCTTCTTGGTGCCCAGATAGAATCATCCGGGGCGCAGGCTCAGAGGAGGCAGGATATCAACGGGTAGTCCTCGCCGAGAAGATGTGGTAGATTCGTAGATCTTGCAGCTTGGTTTTTGGAGTTGGAATGAACATATGGGTTGAGTGGAGTGCTTTTGAAGAGGAAGCGTGCACCAAGTCAGACTGCCGACTGCGTGCTCCCTCTGGCGAACTCCTACCTAATCGTACCCCTGGTCGGAGTACTAGTCAGAGGCAGGAATGCGGTTCCTAGTACCCTTCAGTAATACGGTCAATTTTCAGTAATACGGTCAATTTTTTCGTGATTTTTCTTCCAACATATATATCTATTACAATTTTTAATAGAAAAATTAATTTTAAAATACAATATTATTCTTCAATAATAGAATTATTTTAATACAAAATTTAAAAGTTAATAAGATTTTAAATCGCGATTATATTTGTATATTAACCTCGTCGGCGCTGTTCAAATAACTTTCAATTCAGTAAACTACTAAATAACTAAGCAACTACAAATAATTACATGTAACCTTCTAAAAAATCGTAATCGCTAGCTTCGAATCTATATTCCTTTCCATTTTCAATAGCCCAACGCAATAATAGATCAATCGGCTTTTGCAAATTCGCAGTATTCTTTAAAGTGCGCCGACTACTCCAAAAGCTTCGCATCTCTACCCAAATAGCTCTCCATTTTGTATTGATCGGTGATTTCTCATTCCAATGATCAATCAATTTAGCTCGATGAATTAAAAGGTTAGATTTAAGCTGCGTAGTAACGAACGGTATGGTTTTAGTCTTATCTCCTCTCGGCGGCTTGCGTTGTCGTCTAAGTTTGCTTACGATATTCTTGATCCAATATTCGTCTTTCGCAGCGTGAATTCGTTTTTAATGTAGATTCTTAACATCTTCTTCTACGCTTAAAAAAGACTCGTGTTTATATGCGACTTGCGTAACTCCTTGTCCTTTAATAAAAACGCCGTGATATTGTACTTAAGCATTCGACCCTTCTTTACGCCGCGTAGTTTCTTTGATCGCTTCGACTCGCGCTTCTTCTCTTTCGATTATCAGCTTCGATTTAATGATTTTCGATTCCGTAGAATCTTGATACACGCGCTATGATCGATAAAAAGAAGGAGTAAGATCGTGGTCGAAGAGTTCTGCTGCGTCGGTAAGTCGTTGATCGAGGTAAGCAAGATGCGCTTTGCGAGTCGGAGTCGAAAGAGGGTTTTGAAAAGGCTTTAGAATAACAAGACGCTTTATAATAAGAGCTAGAGAGCGTCGAGAAGCATCTGCCGATTGAAAGATTTTCATTTTATCTTATACAACTTCAAGTGCAAAAGGAATAAGACTAGCTTTTTTCTACGCTAATCTAACGATGCGAGGCTGAAATGTTTTCTTGCGAATCCTTTCGTACGCGTTTAAAAAATCAATTTTCGTATACTCGATCTCGCCGTATTAAATCGTATTATGTATATCTTCTTGATGCTAATGCTTTAATAGTTGAAATATACCGATATCGAGTAGTTGAAGAAGATAAGTGCTGTGCGAAGGAAGTTGAAATAGAACGATTTTGTGTTGCTAGCAATAGAATAAGAATTCGTCGGAAATGTGCGAACCGTGGCCATCGAATATTAGCATCCGCCAATTTCCTTTACACGATTTAAACGTATTATTATGAAAATGGATTAAATACTTTATCGCGAGGCATTCATTAATATAGCTAGAAGAGCTTGTTGCAAGAAGGGTTTGGTCGTGTAAATCGTTATTAAAATATTTTTCTAACAACACTTCTCCTTTCAAGATAAGCATCGGAGGAATCGCAGTACCGTCGGCGCAAATAATCTTAATAGCTATAATAGACTCTCGATTGTTTAGATTTGCTAAGTATACTGCTTTCGTACTCAAATGAGTAATAACAATACGTCCGGTGATAACGCTAATTCTGAATCCCGTCTCGTCCATGTTGTAGATATCGGCTGTATCGATACTAAACTTCTTAACCCCGTCGGAAAACTCTCGAAAATGCTCTTTTAAGTCTTCTTTTTTCATCGCAGCCTTTCTCTCTTGTGCTAGCGTTTTTGCGCGTATCGTTTTATACCAATCTTTGTTTCGTGCAAGCCATCTGCTAGCCTATTGCGTATTGAGGCGTCTGCTGCTTCCGGAGGACGAGAGAATCGAGTTTGCTGCGCCGCGAATATTAGACTTTGTTGCTTGATAGCTGATATATATCAAAAAAGATATATATTCACGCAAGCCTGCGTTTTGTGCACTCGATAAAGCACTACTATAGCCTCCTTTTGTGTTTTGTGGTTTTCGGCTATTGAATCTCGTGTGACGACCTTAAGCGATTACCTGAAGGAACTCACGGGAGCGCGGGGTTCACATAAGAGCTTAAGAGAATCTTAAAGTAATGACTTAGAATCAACAACTATCGAGTGTAAAGGTCGAAAGTAGCTAAAGTTTATATATACGAAAGTAAAAGCGTTAAAAACTCGTGAACTATAGTTTATAAGTTAAAAGCGAGGAATAAAAGAATACGAAGAATACGAAGGAAAAAAAGAGAGAAGTAGCTTAACGTATATAAAGTGCGTTTAAAAGACTTAACGTGTCGTCATACTACTCTTTCGTCCGAAAAAAGCTCGTCTTCGAGCGTTTATCTATTGTTTTATTACTACTTAAGTGATCGTAATCATTAACACCGTCCGAATAAGCTTTGATTTAATCGAAGAGCTTCGCGAAAAAGCCGAAAAGCTTTTTGTATTTTAAATAAAAGTCACGTACTTTGAAAAGAGCGTATATAAAGTCGGAGGCGAGGTATTAAGTAAAGTCAATGTCGCGGCCGAGTTAAAAAGCGCGGTACTTAAAGTGCTTTTTAATTTAACGTACGGCTAAGATATTTTTTACTTCGTACTTAAGTTCGCTAATAATATTAATCGAGTCAAGTTTAAAAATGATTTGCTCGAAAGTAAGGTCATTAAAAGCTTTTCGTAGCCGTCCGAGGTAAAAGATTAAATAAACTTTTATTGACTCGAAGAGCTTGAGTTTAAAGCTGCTATAAACGTTGTCGGTAACTTCGAACGATCCGTTCGTCGGGTTATCGAGCTTCTTTAACGGTCGAGAGGTAAAGAACGAGCGCATATTTAATTAAACTTTATTATTAACGTCGAAGTCAACCGAGCGCTTTGATTTATTAGCTTGTTTAGCTATGCGGTCTTAAGCGCGCTAAAGGTGCTCTTTAACGAGGTTCTAAACTCCGAAGTAGCGGTTAGCGTAAGCGCGAGCTTCGTTTTAGTTAAGCTTGCGAAAAAAAGTTTAATCGTCAAATCGTTTTAAGCTTTAATTCTAAGTAGTCCGAAAAGCGTAGCCGTGAATTACTTTAAAAAAAGAAAGGCCGCCGAAAGAGTCGTGAAAAAGCGTTAATTAAGCGAAGTCTATTATAAAAAGGAACTCATTTCAATCGTCTTAATAATAGCTTACGAAAAGACGAAAGCGCTTTTGCAAGTATTAATTATAGATTTCGGTTTGATCGTCAATCTCAAAGTGTGCGGCGGTGCTAAAAGTTAGTTTAATACCGAAGATCTTGTTAAATTCTTTCTAAAACTCGGACTAGTATTAAAGTCTTTTATTAAAAGTTAATATTAAAAGAGCTTTAAAATACTTATAAATATAATAGATATAAAGCTTAGCGAAGCTTTTAGTATTAATAGACTTGTGATAAAAGATCGAGATTACTTGCTTAAAAAAGCGGTCGATTATTACAAAGACGTTATCGTAGCCGTGCTTGTCTTTATTAAAGCTATAAAAATCTATAATAACGTGCTTTTAAAAGCGCGAAAGGATCGAAAAAGGTTAAAGCAAATTAAGTTTCTTATCGCGAAGTATTAAAGCTCGTTTACAAGCGTAGCAGTTGCGGCAATACTAATTGACGAATCTAGCTATACCGTGCTAATAATACTATGCTGCAAAGAGCTTATAGGTTTTGCGAGAGTTAAGATATATTATAAATACTTAGTTGTAGATTTCTCGAACGAATAACGAGCGCAAGTTTTAAACGTCGAAAATTAATAAGCGGCCGTTATAAAGCAGCAAATCGCTTTTTATAATAAGTTTAATCCGTAAACCGTAGTTCACGAGTAAAAACTCAGCTTTAAAAGCTTAAATTCGAAGTGCTATAAAACTAAAAGCGGTCCGATTAGTTTTTAAAACTTAATTAATAACTCGGAATGTCGGTAAAAGCTCCGCGATCTTTTCGATAATGACGGCGGTTTTCGAGAGCGTAAGTTAGCGTAGCTTTTTAATCAAGAGTCGTAAGTCAACGTTGTCGGCGCAAAGCAGCGTTTGCAAGCGTTAAGTGCGCTTAAAGCTGTTTTAAGAAAAAAGCTTTTCGGTGCGACGTATTAGCGCGTCAACTAGCGGGTTATCTTTACTTAATCTATACGTGATAATGAAGTTGTAATTAGAGAAAAGCTTTGCTTAGCGTATTTAACGAGCGTTAAAAGTCTTAAAAGTCATAAAGTACTTTAAAGCTTTATAATCGGTGATTACTTGAACTTAATAAAAGAAGCCGACGAGTTCGGCGTAAAAGTTATTAAAAGAGCGTATAATAGCTAGCATTTCTTTATCGTAAACGACGTAGTTAAGCTTAACGGAAGTTATAATTTTAAAGTAATAAGCGATTAATAGCTAATCGGAACTATGCTTTTAAAAAAGGATTAAAGCGATTACGCCGTTTAAAGCGTTAGTCTTTAGCATACAAAAGAAGTCTTAATTGTAATGCTATAAGATTAACGCAATAATCAAAGCGAGCTTTAAAAGGTCGAAGCTTCTTTGATATTAAGAATTGAATAAAAAAAAACGTTAACTTTAATTAAATGTATTAAAAGCTTCGCGATCACGCCGTAATCTCGAATAAATCGGCGGTAAAAGTTATAAAATCTAAAGAAGCTTTAAACGCTTTTAACGGTTATAAAAAGCGCTTAATGCTTTATTATCGACGTTTTGTCCGGATTTACTTTTAAGCTTTCGATAAAGATGATAAAGCTTAAGTATTTTACTTTAATAATATTAAATTCGCATTTTTTAATATTAGTGTAAACACCCTGCCTGATGGGGTACCTGCCATGGCCACTAAAGCCACACTAGACGGACCCATCTTCTATAAGAAAGCACACATCTCTTAACTAGAACAAAAAACGAGCTTTCCACTTATCTTTTCTGACACTTCTTTATGAGACCATAAGGTCTAGCCTCAGAGCTAAGCTTTTATACGGCACATCTTTTTAAGTGCTTTTACATTAGTGACTTACGCAAGGATTCAAACCTTTAGTCTTTGTCCTTATACAGCCTATTACAATCGCTTGATTCGCAATCAAGTTGATCTTCGTTTATCATTTAGCACTTCACTTTACAACTACAACTTCAAAACAATCAAAACCTTATTCTCGATAGGTTCGGACACCGAAATGCCGAAATGGCCGAAGTGCAATATTTCGGCTCTTCGGCAAAAACTCTCTTTTATTGTTAATAAGAAAGAATTTTCACTCATTAATAAAAATATCTTTCTATACTTTAGCTCTCATCTTGAATTAGAGCAATTAACATGGTTCGGAGTTGTCAGCGAGGCTAATCAATTGATTCTTAAGTTTTTCATAGTTTTAATCTTAACTATTAATTTACCTTTGTAAAAGGTCTACTCCTTCCAATCTCGGATCGAGAATACTTTGCGAAAATCGCTTATTTTACTCGTAAACCCGGTTCACGAGTCAAAATCAAACAATTCAAAAACCTTTCATCAACCCGATCATTCTCAGCACATACATATATTTAATCCTCAGAATACCGAAAACTTTTTTGAGATTTCTAACATCGAAGTCGGCGCCGCGTCACCTCCCTTTTCGTTAAAATCCTTTGAATTTGTTGAATCCTCTGGTCGTATTCTTATAGGCTTCGGACCAGCCTTATCTTACTTCGACCCTCAACCAAAACCTTTACTTCTACCTCTATCGGAAACACTTGCTCCGGAAATGCCTTTCAAAATGAACACCGGTCTTAAGATCTACACCACTCTTCTTCCTTTTGCTCCTCTTGCTCTTCCATTAAGCCTTGCGCTAGTTATAATCGACCTTGCTATCCTTCACGCCTTTATGACTACTCGCATGCTATTGCTAAGCGCCCCAAGAGCTCCTTGCTTCAGTAGTACCAACATCACCGACTTCATCGAGAAGTACGAAGAGACTTGTAAGGACTTTAGTATCTTTTAAGACGATCGGTTTATTAAACTCTTTCGTTACTGCGATAACCTTCGCAAAAAGGTTATCAAGAGCTTGCTCGAATAGAAAGCTAAGAAAGATTAAGCTGCTCTCGTCAAGGCCTTAAGAGCCGAGTTTCGTAAAAACGATACTTAGCAGATCAAAGACTCAATCGCCTTCTTGCAGGAATTTGCTATGCAAGAACGGGATGTCAATGACTTAAAAAACTATTGTCGCACCTTCTTCCGGGTCTCTGAAAGACTTATTTCAATGCACCTCTTGAGCAAGACCGAACAAAGCCGCTTGTTCCTTCTCGGATTGCCCGTCGGAATTCGAAACAAAACGATCAAGCATTATAAGGTCGACGAACTCGACCTAGACTCTTATGCCGCCTTCGACGACTTCGTCGCATTCGCTCTTAAGACCGACCAGAGTGCCAAGACTATCGAAGCTATAAATCGAAAGAAGTCTTTTTTAGCCAACTTTACCAAGGATATTCGGACCTTAATTAAAGAACACACCGAGCCAGCTAGCGTTCTTGAGTTTGCTAAGAAAGCCCTAGTAGTAGTGCCGTTCACCCGTAAACTACGATTCACGAGTGAAAAAAAAGGAATTGATAAAGTAAGTTCTATAATTAAGAAGTTTTCTAACTTGCAGATCGGTGCGATCTATAATCGAATTGATTATCTCGAAGACTAAGTCGTTAACTCAACTTCTCGACGTCTTGTCTAATCTTAGCCTTAAGTTCGATTCGAAGACTACGACGAAGCCTTTACTAAGTATACCGCTCAAGATGCCCGAAGTAAGGTCAGCTTCGGAAGTGGAGTTCAGATTGCTGCTATCGGCTACGGACTATAAAGACGAAGAAGAAGAAAAGGTAGAGAATACGAAAACTAAATGCAAGACTATGGCTTTTGCGAGAACTCCGAAGACACAACTTAAGCTCTTTATTAATACCGAAATGAGTGTAAGGCTTTTAAAGACATGGTTAATAAAGGATGTATTCACATTAGTGATTACGAACGCTTTTACTTAAGACTTAAAAGGATCGATGCTTTTATCATCCAGAAGAAGCAAAGAAAGACTTAGTTCAGATCTATCGTGCTAGACGTTCGTAAGACGGAATACGACAACATCTTAAAGAATCGACTTACTAGCGGACCTAAGACTTATAGACACTTGCTCTCTTATCAACAACTAATCTAACAGCTAGCTTAGTATCAAGCCGATTAAAATGCTTAGCAACCAACCAACTAGCCAAAAGAGCTTACCATTATCTTTAAAAGACTAGTCGACACTAAGAATATCAATGCTATAAAGTGGATCAACACGCTTAGCTATCTATCTAGCATAAAGGTTGCTTCGGTCGAGATCAACGCCGCCGCGAAAGACAAAGCTAAAAAGCTTCTCTCGCCTTCGAAAAGATCTAAGCTTATTAAGATCAAAAAGAATATCCGACAACAAAAGGAAAAGAACTACGGCACTTTTAAAGCCTGTGCCTCTTAAGAATCGGGTACTGCTGTAAAGATAGACTCAAAGGATAGGTTGTTCGATAGTGTAATTGAAGAAGAGTCTTCTGGACCAGTTAAAGCCGACGAGGCTATAAAAGATGTAAAAAAAGAGGTTGAGATCACTTAGCGGGTGCCAAGAGGAAAGAAGAAAAGGACCTACAGACGAGAGAAGTTCATTGACCCTTACGTTACTACTAAAGCTCAAGAAAAAGCAGTAGCAGCGATTATGAAATCGAGAATCGAAGTCTAGATTAAAGATCTATTCGGACTCAGCTTTCGCTTCGACAAGCTATTAGGCCACTACATTCTAATGGTCCTCGATGCTGAAGAAAACGTAAAGGTCCTTTAAAGTAAGCTTATTCTTATGAACGCCTTAACTATTAAACGTTTAAATCGGAATAAAAAAAGCAAGCTAGACCTTTTAGCGACGCAAATCCGCAAACAACCTATCGTCCGCAACTGCTTCGAGGTAGCGATGAAGACCTTAAAAGTTTTTATTAATATCGACGGCATAATTAAAAGCAGATCCTTCTTCGATAGTAGATTTAAGGTCAACGTGATGAACAAAGAGGTGGCTGAGATAGCCAAACTACTTATTATGACGGATCGAGCTTTAGTTTATACCACCGTGTCCGAAGATCTTTACAACTTCGATAGATGAATAAACGACGTCGAAGTCATTATCGACGGAATCATTAACTACGCCGATTTCTTTATTATCAACAATAGCAGTTACGAGGTTATCTTAAGCATGCTTTTCTTCTTAGAATCCTAACTCTCTTTTTCTTACCCCGATAATAGCACGATAAAAGCTTCTTTTTAAAACTACGATCGATCCACTTAAAGCTAGATTATTATTGCAAGAGACAAGTCGGACCTAGTCGAAGACCCGGGAAACTAATCGCTAGCATGCAAGCTAAGATAGATGCTAAGCTAGAAAGAAGCTTAAAAAGAAATTCCGCCCGTGAACTATAGTTCACGAGTAAATCGGCATAAAAACAACAAAATCATAAAAAAACAATTCAACTTAACATTAAGCAAGACTTACTAAAATCAAAAACATTAAAAATATTTGCAATCAAACTCGATAAATCGGAAAATTTCATGTTTATTATCGACAACGACAAAGACCTTTTAAGAAGGAATATGATAGAAGTTAATACGATATACAAAAGGAAAGCGGAGAAGGTCAGACCGGTGGATTTAAGAGTGTCGGATAAAGAGATACTTAAAAAGATCGACGATTAGTTTAAGCAAGATAAAAAAGCGAGACCTCTTAAGCTTAAAAGACCTTTTTTAAAATACTTTACTAGCAGGTTTTTAGACTTAGAAGTTGGATCAAGATTGACGAAAGAACGATTCGAAGCACTTACGATTAGCTTTTAAATCACTCCGGAAAAAAAAGAGCTGCTTTACTAATGCTTTTTAAATCGAAAAAAAGCGATAGCCTAAGATTTTACCTATTTTAACTAAGTCCGGAAGGAAGTTATGCTACCTTAAAAGATCAAAACGGTGCCTTACGAAGCTTAGCAAAAGAAGACGTTTACGATACCGAAAGCTCTGCAAAAGATGATCATCTTTATACTAAAAGAACGATTGAAGCAAAAGGTTTTCGAACTATACTAAGGCTCTTACCGGAACAAGTGGTTCATTATAATAAAGAAAAAGAAAGGAAAATACAAGCTGATCATTGCTGTAATTAAGATAAACCGTATGACGGTCAAGGACGCTAATGTTGCTTCGAACGTAAACCAGTTCTTGAACGAATTTGCCGGTCTTACGATAGCTACACTCTTAGACTTCTTTTTTAGATACGATCAATTCCTTTTCGACGTTGAGTTTAAAGACATGACAGCTATTCAAACGCTTATTAGATTACTTCGAATGACTCGGATACTTATAAGAGTTACTAATTCGATCGCTTAATTCGTTAAGGTCATCTATAAGATCTTTATAGACTGCATTCTTAACGTCTGCTTGCTTTATATAGATGACGTAAGAATTAAAAAATGGCGATCCTTTTATAATTACGAAGAAGTTTTGCTCGGAATTCGACGATTCGTTTTAAAACACATCTAAAACATTGATAAAGTGCTCGTAAGGTTTAAAAGAGCTAAGACGACCGTCGGAATTAAGTCTTAATACTGCATGCTCGGGCTTAATATCGTTAGATTCGTCACGGATAGCGAAAGACGCTACCCCTAGACCGCCAAAATTAAAAAGATATTAGAATAAACTAAGTGCGAAGACGTATCGGAAGCCCGAGCCTTTATTAAGATTATAGTTTACTATAGAATCTAAATCAAAAACTTCTTTACAATTGCTGCCCTAATCTACGCGACTATGAAAAAGAAGGTCGAATTCGAATGGTTAAAGCCTTAGCAAGAAGCGATAAGGCTGCTCAAAGAAGCCTTGCTTTCTACCCCCGCTCTTATCAAGATCGACTACAGCAAAGAAAGAGGGAAGATCTACCTGACGGTAAACGCTAGTCTCAAAGGATAAAGAGCAGTATTGCAGCAAGAAGATTCCGATAAAAAGCGACATCTTGCCAAGTTCGAGAGTGGTTTTTAAAACCTTGCGGAAAGCAAATACGACGCGACCAAGCGAGAATGCCGCGGTGCTTTAAAAGCTATAAAAAAGATAAAGAGCGAATTATACGGGGTTCACTTCATCTTAGAAACCGACGCTAAAATACTAATTGATCAATTCAACGGATCAGCGAGCGATTTGCTTAAAGCCTTCGTTACGAACTGGATTACGTAGATAAGATTGATAGACTTTAAAATCAAATACATCTTTAAGATTAAAAACACGGCAGCGGACGGTCTCTTTAAAAGAGGAAGAGAGCATCTTTCAGATATCAAAAAGAGAAAGAAAGAAGATATTAACGATTAAGTCACTAACGAGCTAAGCATTGTTTCAGTATTCTCGGTTAAACGACTCGTGAACTATAGTTTACGGGCCAAAAAAAGAGTTTTAAAGCACGATTACTCGCCCGACTTTAAGCTTATTGTCTAATTCCTCACCACCCTTAAACGCCCTCTTTCGATCAAGACTTACGACTTTTAAAAGTTCAAGAACAAAGCACTCAACTACTTGGTTAAAGATAATTATCTTTATAAGCGAGTAGACAATTCTTACCCGATCAAGCTAGTTGTTGACGGAACTTAAAGACGCCACACTGCCATTGCCGACGCTTACCGAGAATCCGGACATAAAAGAGCTGAGTCAACCTACCACCGCACGTCAAAACTCTTCTTTTAGAATAGATGCTACGAAGACTGCAAGGCCTTCGTTCAAAGCTGTAAGCCCTGTCAGAAACGCAAGGCTGGACGAACAGAAAACCCCTTGTACCCGACCTAGCCTACTCAAATGTGGTTAAAAATCAGCCTAGACGTGTCACGAGTACCTACCACCGACAAAAGGATGACCTGCTTCGTATTAACTAAAGAAGATCTGTTTAGATAGCCAAAAGAGCGACTACTTCAATCAGCCAACGCCGAATCTATTGCTAAGTTCCTTTAAGAAAATATCGTTTGCCGCTATAAACTATTCGAAAGACTGACTATCGATAAAAGACCTGAGAACAAAGCAGTTACTAAGGCTTTCGCTACCAAGTATAAGATCAAGAAGGTCCAAATCTCGAGCTACAATTCAAAAGCCAATAAGATAATTGAGAAAGGCTACAAAGACATCTTAGATAGCCTATCGAAAGTCACAAACGGAGGATTTAAAGATTAGGTTCGCAAATTCAATAAAATACTCTTTGCGGTCCGGACATCGATACACGCACTTACTAAAGTTACTTTCTTCTTTTTGAACTACAGACGAAAAGCTAAGCTACCTTTAGAATCACGATAACCAGTCTAAAAGTTACTGCTATAGCAAGAGGTTCGATCTTGCGCTGACTTACTTGCTATAAGGTTTAGACAATTAAAATTTCGAGACGAGGATATCGACGAGATCATTTTAAAGAAAAAGCGCCATCGACTTACCGCTAAAGCCACTTAAGAACGAGTCAAGGTCCTTAAGTCGGAACCTATCAAAGAGAAAAATCTAATACTGCTTTACGACGTCAAACGCAGCATCGACATGTCCGCGGATACCAAGCTAGACTACAAGTAGCTAGGACTTTATATCGTCTTTAAAGCCTACGACAAAGGATACTATAAGCTCTAAGAAACCGACGGGACTAAGCTCAAAAGCACTTTTGCAGCCAACCGCCTTAAACGATTCTATCGCCGCGATCAAACCTTCTTTCCCTTTGATAAGGACGACGAAGAAAAAGAAAAGGACGATTCGGGTTCCTCGGACAACTCAAACCTTAACGAATACGAGCCTTCCGACGACGGCAGAGATAAACCACTCAACCCAAAGGTGATCCTTAAACCTAAGTCCATCAACTTTTAAATCATTCCTCTAACACTTTCGAAAGAACAAAAATTGGCTTACAAAGCTGTTTCCTAATCTATTCCTTTACTTTTGTTTTCCTACTTTCTTATCTTCTCCTTGTTCTACACCTATTCTATAAAGGGACGTGCCCCTAATGATCACTCTCTTTATTTTGGTAAGGAAAGGTATTTCTTACGTTTGTTCTCTTACCTTTGGACTTGCCTTTTATTGTATTCTTTATTCTTTCCTTGTTCCTCTCACTTTACTAACTATTCACTTGTCTTACACAGATTGTTCTTATTGTTTAATTGTTTTTCACTTGTTTTAAGCCTACACGGCTATTTCCTATTTCTTATTCGAGACTGTTCCCTTGTTTTAAGCGTGCTTAACCACGTGTATTCGAAAAAGAACTGCTATTAAAAAGAGTAGGTCCTCCCCACAAATGTACTTATATAAGAAAGCTCCCTCCTCTTTCTTCTCAACATTTTCTTTCTTTATACAATAACAACTACAATAATAACACCACTACTCCTTCTTTACAACCACACAATACCACACTAATATCAACGACCCTAAATCATCACTTAATCAATCACCACTACTATCAGCCCTTATTCCGCTATCTTATGTTTAGCTCGTAAACCGTGGTTCACGAGTTAAATATACCTCTTAAGTCAACCGCCGCTAAAAGAAAAGCCTTTATCCGTGATGCACCCTCTAGCCTACTAATAAGCGAAGAGCAAGCCGCCCTGACCCGACAATCGAGTTTCGAGCTGAAGTTCGAAAGACGAGTCACTAAGACTTTCGATGAGTTCCTTTAGACTTACCGCTAAATAAGCAACTCTAGTCAACTAGCTATGCTCAAAGTAGCAACCTCCGACCTTAACAACAAATTGAGTAAAGAAGACGACTTGATCTTGCAATACAATTAATTCTTGCGGGCCGAATGCGCAAGAAAGAACATAGACGCCGAAGACCTCCTTTCGGCTTACGACTAGTTTACTACCAGAGTCACCGCCATCTACTTTTTACGCAATAAGAACGCCGAAAAACACAGACGAATCAAGAAAGCCTTCGACGGCGCTCGAAGCCAATTGCTATATGACGACCATCTCAAGGCTGTATACACTTCAGTCCGCAGCGCTCGCTAGCTAAGCGTCATTCTAAAGAACTGCACCCTTAACGCTTACGTTATCTAAGTCATCAACTATCACATTGTTGCTTACGTCGCCTTCCAGAAGACTACAGCTAATATAGCCCGAAGACGCAAGTTCACCAAGCTTAATGCTACGATAATCAACCTTACTTGCTAGACCGTAAAAAACAAGAACAACATCAAGTAGAAAGATAAGATCGCTATTCTTGACGAAGGACTCTTAAAGAAGCTAAGATTAAAAGTCTTATTATGTGGCCTGTTGATTTTAGCTTTCGACAATATTAAAAGCGAATACGACGAGCTTGAAGAACGTATAGAATTTGCCGACGAAAACTAAACTTGGAATTTCGTCTTATAAGAGGAGCTCGAATCCGGAACTCTATCCGTAAACTATAGTTCACGAGTAAAAGATGACTCAGCAACTAAAGCAAGACCAAGTCAACCCTTTGCTTTTAAGACCCTTTTGCTTAGATCACTTATTGCGCGCCTTTCGCTGTCACTAGCCTTGTCTTAAGGATCGACGTTATCTTTTGCTAATAAAGCCCCGAACGCCAAACTAATTGCTTCGATCATGTCTACTTTACGCAAGTTTACCGACGCGAGCTCCTTTGCAGCCCTTGCACTCGAAGTGCAACGCGACCTTCTCGAGAAGCAGCTGCTACCAGCACCACCCGTTAAAAAAAGAGACAGCTTCGACTACGAACTAGCCAAAGCTGTGTCGAACCGCTGCCTCGGACTCGTCGAGATTAAAGACTTCATAGGTATGAACGTAGCCCTTATCAACTTTTGCTAAGACTTTTATTAATCAGCTTTCGACCGCTTGAACTTAAACGAAAACATCGATAATGCTTTTTAAGTTGCCGCGGAATCAATCAAGAAAGCTATCAGCTAGATCCGCAAGCTTTTAAAAGACGAATTTTCTGATAACGCGATCTTACGACTTTTCGACCGTCGTAGCTAAGTGGAAGTAAGTAAGGAAAGAAGCAAGGTAGTGAACTACTTTTTGCTGTCCGAGATCTTTAATTTAAGCTTTAACGACGACGATTGCGACTGCACAAAGGTCTCTTAAAAGGTGAAGAACGTGTTAGAATTTAAAGATAGATTCAAAGAACTCTTTGACTTAGACGTCTAGACGAAGCTCCGCTTTAGCCGCAAAGTCTTACCGTCCGCTATCGACCTATTAGAAAGAGTCTTTTGCGAAGTCTATACTTTCGAATACGCTAAATACCTTGGACTAGCTACGAAAGGCCTTACAACAACGGTGATCCGTTCCAACTTATGCCGATTCATCGAAGCCTTTTAAACTAACGCCTTCAACAACTTCATACTTCACTTGAGCAATTAATTAATGTTCGCCACCAAGACTAAAAGCAATACTCTAGCTAAAAGAATATCTAGCTTAAGCTCTTCCAAGTTCAAAGCCAAGCCGATGTCTTTTAACAAGCTAAACTAAAGCACTAGCCTGATAAGCACCGCTTGGAAGAACAGCCTTCTCAACACCTTAGATGCAAGTGGCTACACGAAAGTTTGGCTTATATTAAGAGCTTCCTTCTTGAACAACAAGCACGGCAACCAGACCTTCCTTACCATCATAAACAAAGAGATCTAGATGTACCTCTACCACTTTCGGACTAGTAACTCAAAAGGAGCCCCGACTAATGCACTCTTTAACATAATGCACTCCTTGACCCAGCAAGTCCTCCGAAGCCATCATAAGCTATACCTTGCTGCCTTGCTTAATCGCCGAAACGGAAACTACAAGCTCATCGCTTACCCGGAACCCCCTCAGCTCCTTAGATGCAATAATAATGCCCGAGTGATTACGACCAAACACGACGCTAACACCAAACGATCCGTAAACCGTAGTTCACGAGTGGAAGACAGAGTTTTAGACTACCACTTAATGCTTTACGGCGTAAACAATCAGATCGGAAGCTTAAGTATTTAGCCTAAGAGCTATACCCACGACACTACCCTTAGAAAGACCGCTAAATAAAAAGCTTTTAAACCCAAGTCGAAGACCTTAGATGCCTTTAAGAACATTGCGCCACGCTAACCTTTCGCTATAGTCATAAATCTCGCTACCTTTATGTCCGTTATCACGAAACAAAGTGTTTTCTTAGACATAAACGCTTTTTAGAATTCTTTTTGCGGATGGGCCATCTTCTCTAACAACTACACCGCTTTGCTAAACGATAGCACCTTAAAGAATAAAGTCAGCTTTGCAAAGCACGCTTGCACTATCGTCTTGAGACGCATACCGCTAACCCTTCGGTAAGGAGTTATTAATAAATCAAGCTAGCCCTTCGCCGCCACAATCCAGCTAGACCACGTCAGTTTCGTGTCAAAAGCCTTGATCGGAAGAATAGACTAGAACGAACCCCGAGTGATAGAGGAATTGACCGCTATCTTTGCTATGTCCCGGACCTAGTTCTAAGAACACTTTATCAAGCATAAAAAGAAGTTGTTCTTGGCATTTAAAAAAGGATTTGCTGTTATTCTAGATGTTAAAGCCAAGACTTACGGAGCCAAGTCCTTTTCCAAGGGCAAGAGCCGCCGAGCTGACGACCCTGTAGACGCCGATAAGTTGAAGGATTTTAAAAAGAGCTTGCGACCGATTGAGTTGTCTTTTAACGACTCCGATTTAAGTGTAAAGATCAATCTAGAAAGTGCGAAATCCACCCGTAAACCACGGTTCACGGGCTAAATCGACGATTCTAAGGCATCATCTTTTTAGCCGGAATCTTTAAACCGCGCATTCGATAAGGCTATAGAAGCTTTAGCTGACTTGCTTGAAGACGAGGACGACTCGACTAGTGGCTCTAGACCTTACTTTAGCTTCGCTGACCCTCCGTCGGCCAAGTTCACACCTATCAACGATGCTACCAACAAGCGCAAGAACGACACGCGCTCCTTCACTCTTAAGGATGCTGCTACTAGCACTTCATCATCTAATGCTGGCCTAGCCAAGAGAAGAAGACCCTCCCAGCCTGAGGAGAACGAAAGAGTTAAGGACGTAAGCACGGAAAGAGACCATGAGGAAGCTGCCGAAGCGTAGTTTGGTAGTTTGGATGTTTGGAGTTTGAAGACAAGATACCCTCTCCTTTTTGTATACTAGATTTTTTTTTTCTTTCTTCTACACCCCCTTTTTTTCTTCTTTGCTTGATGGTAAGCGGGGGCGCCTACTTATTCTATAAAGGGACGGATGTAAACACCCTGCCTGATAGGGTACCTGCCATGGCTACTAAGGCCATACTAGACGGACCCATCTTCTATAAGAAGGCACACATCTCTTAGCTAGAACAAAAAACGAGCTTTCCACCCATCTTTTCTGACACTTCCTTATAAGACCATGAGGTCTAGCCTCAGAGCCAGGCTTTTATACGGCACATCTTTTTGGGTGCTTCTACATTAGCTTAAAAGCTAGCGTCGTCGAGTCGTTAGAAAACTTAGCGGACGTAATAAGCGTGCTTTAAAAGGTCGGAAGAATAGATCAAGATATCGTTTAAATATACCGTGCAAAAAATGTTTAAAAAGTCGAAAAAGAGGTCATTTATATAGCGTTAGTAAATAGCGGATCTATTAGTTAGTCCGAATAAAAGAACTTTGCACTTGTAAGCACCGTAGCGTATCTTGAATGTTATAAGCTCTTTTAAAGCTAAGTCTATTCGTATTTTATAAAAAGCTTGTCGAATATCGAGTTTCGTAAAGATTTTAGCTTTTAAAAGACGTGCGAAAGTCTTATCGATTAAAAAAAAAGGGTATCGATCTTTACGAGTGAAGTTATTTAGCGCGCAGAAGTCAATACAAAAGCGGAAGGAACCGTTTTGCTTTTTAGCAAACAAGACTAAAGCTGTAAATAGCGCTATTAAAAGTTCGATAAAACTTTTATTAAAATTGTCGATAAAGTAAGCTTTAGTAAGCTTTAGCTTAAAGATCGATATCTTATATAATAGTGAGTACCGAAGCGCTTTCTTTTTCTTTTCGAAAAGCTCGATTTTATAGTCGTAAAGCTTATGTAATGCTAGCACGTTGTTAGCGGCCTTAAAAAACACGTGTATATAATCGAAGTATTCAAAAAGGATAGAAAGGTCGTTAGTAAGCTTTAATAGTTCCGTTGCAAAGTTAATAGCAAAGATAAAGCCGTTAGTAAAGCGTATTAGCGCTGCTTAATAATCAGCTTGAATAAAAGCAATCGTTTAACGCTTAAAGATTAAGCAATCAAGCTCGTAAAAGAACGTAAAAAACAGTTTTACGTCCTTTTAACGAGCGATCATATAAAAGGCGTGTCCGGAGACGCCGTTAATTTTAAAGTTTCTATTAATTTTATACTTAGATGTTTAACGAAAGCGTTTGACGAGTAAAAGAAGTTCTACGAAAGCGATGTCGATTGATATAAGCTTACGGTTTATTTAAGATATTGATTTAGCGTAATCTTTAAAAAAAGTGTTTTTCGTAAAGCGAAAGAGTAACGGCTTTACGAGAAAGTAAATAAAAGAAAAAGATTCAACGATCTTAAAAAAAGAAGCAAAAGGAAGACGATTCCGAAAAGAAGGAAGACGATTTTAAAGAAAAGAAAGTGATTTAGCAATTATTATTGCTACTTGATCCGCTCGTAAACTATAGTTCACGAATGAATTAGCGTCGTAAGCTCTTTAAAAGCGGTCTAAAGCTCGATTACGTTTATTAGCGTCGTATTAATAACGAGCGTTTACTTTACGTTAATTAAAGTGTATAATCTTAATAGGTTTAGCGTAAGTAGCGGTTAAAAGGTTAAAACGAAGCTAATAAAGCTTGCGGCGAACGCAATCGAAAAGAATCTAATGCTTAGCTAGCTATGCTCGTTCGAAGATTACGCTATGATTTTTAAAGTTAATAATAAGAAAAAGAGTAAAAGATTAAACGCGCTTATTAACCGTAAGGTTAAGAAGTGCAAAATATAAGATAATAGCTTTACGAGCTTTATTGTATGATTTAATAAAGAATAAAGCCGAAAAGAGTTAAATCAAAGGTTTAAAAAAAAAGAAAGTGATTTAAGTAGCGCTAAGTTAATTAGCGCGTACTTATTAGCTCTTGAATCGAGCAAAGCAAATACTTTGTACGAAAAGCTATTCTTAATAAAGGTGACGGGTATAATTATAACTTTACTATTAAAGAGCTTCGTAAAGTCGAGGTATCGCATATCTCGAAGCTAGCTTAAGAAAAAAGCTTTGCTTAAGCCTCGACGTTTTCTTTATTATCGAAAGCGTCGGAGTTAGTAAAAAAGAGCTCTTAATGATCCTTAAGAGCGTCGGAATAAGGCTTATCGTCCGAGTCATCCGAATAAAAGCCGTATTCGGGTTTAGCGCCGTATTCTATTTCGTTGATTAAGTGGTAGCGAAAGAGCTTTAGCGTATTCGAGTCTTTGCGAGACGATTTAAAAGTCTTAATCGCTAATTTAAAAGCGTTTCCGGAAAAAGAGAATTTATTAAACCGATTAGATCGATTTGTATTAGCGCTAAAGCTGTTAAAGGTTTAGCGCTAAAAAGTAAAGAAAAAGACGAAAGCTAAGCTACTTTAACGGTTCTCGTAATAAGTGATTTGCTTGACCGCTGCTCTTTAAGCCGAGCGGGATTCGTTACGAGCTTTATTATAAAAGCTCTTCGCGAATTAAATGTTATACTTAGCTTATAAAGCATCGTAAAGCTTTGCAAACGCGTATTAGCTAATAGCTAATTATTAAACGGCGGTTTAAAAGTCCTTAAAGGTTGTAGTCTTAACAAATTCCAAATGAAGCTGATCGCGCAGCGTCTTAATAATCTTAGAACGCAAAGCCTTACGTAATCGGTCTTCGTTTTTGATTTCAGCGGTAGCGGCAAGCTTCGAGAAAATAAAATAAAAGTCTTAAAATTGCTAGTTAAGCTTTATATAAAGTTTTTCGAACTTAATTAACGCTTTAGCTTTCTTAGCGAAGTCGTTTAAGAACTCGAAAGCGATTTAAACGAGTTCCGAGGCGGTTACGAGGTTGCTACGATCTATAATCAAAAAGGCTAGAAACAAATAAGCTGTTCTTTCGGTTTGGTTAAAGACGTAGTTCTTGCGTTAGCGTTTTATAAAGAAGTATTCTTCGAAAGCTTTTAAGTTGTCGAAGACGCGAGCTTGCTAATGACGTGCTCGATAGCTTACATTATTTAAGAGCTTCTGTTTAAAGTTAAAGATCCGCTTGATACGAGCGCGACCTTAAGAAGCTGAAGAAGAAGCTTTAAAAGTGTTGAACTTAATTAAAGTACGAAAGTTGATTAGCTTGTAAAAAGAAAGTGGTTTATCGTCGTCGGCGAAAAGGCGGCGAAAGTTAGCGGTTTTATAAGTAAAAAGAGTAGCTTAAAAGATCGAAAGCTTGTATAGCTCTTTGCTTTTAGAATTATCTTCGAAAGACACTTAAAGAAGCTTTAACGAGCGTTTCGTAGTTGGCAAGACCGCTTAAAGCTAGTCTAGTTCTTTTCGAGCTCGACGGGCTTCTTTTTCAACCTTTTTAACGAAGGTTTTTTATTCGCTAGCGCTTTTATCGAGCTCTTCGTTACGGGTTTTTATATCTGCGAAGAGCTTCTTAAGCTTAACGGCCTTTCGTTAAGACTAAAAAAAAGCTTAGTATTGTGACGACACGCCAGGTCTCCTGGACGCACCTCATATGCGCCAAGCTACTTCCTTCCTTTTTTCTTTCGTATTCTTCGTATTCTCTTATTCCCCGCTTTTGACCCATGAACTATGGTTTACGAGTCCTTGGCGCTCTTACCTTCGTGTATATAAACCTCAGCTACCTTCGACCTTTATACTCGGTAGTTGTTGATTCTAAGTCATTACTTTAAGATTCTCTTAAGCTCTTATATGAACTTTGCGCTCCCGTGAGTTCTTTTAAGTAATCGCTTAAAGTCGTCACATTATTAACAACTACTTTACTCCGCCGGAAACGGCTTTAATAATATTCTTCCTCTTCAGAATTCCTTAGTGGTTGGACGTTAAAACACTCAAACGACTCTAACGGTTACGAGAAGGCCTATTCTAAGTACAACTTGAAGGATAGCACTTATACAACATAGCAACCTTCGCCCCGCGGGCAAAATCCTTCGCATACCTCTTAAAGCTGCTCTAGCAGCTCCTTCCTCTTCCTTTACGGCCCAACCAGCAGTTCCTTCTACTTAAAAAAAAGCTACTAGTAAGCAAGACGATAAAGATGATCCTTCGGCCTTTACTAACCTCGAAAAAGCCTTGGCTTAACACTAAGCTTTCTTTTAGTCTTAACGAGAGGCCGCTAAGCTTAAGAAGCTTTTCGCAGACATGAAAACCCGCAACGAAAAGCTCGATAAAAGCGCTAGCGAACAAAAAACCTTTGCCGAAAGGGCTGAAAAAAAAGCCCGTCGAGCTCGAAAGGAATTAGACCAGCTTTAAGCGGTCTTGTTAATTACGGAACGCTCGTTAAAGCCTCTTCAAGTTTCTTTCGAAGATAATTCTAAAGGCAAAGAGCTATACAAGTTCTCGGTCCTTCAAGCTACTCTTTTTACTTATGGAACCGCTAACTTTCGCCGCTTTTTCGCCGACGACGATGAACCACTTTCTTTTTATAAGCCAACTAACCTTCGCACTTTAGTTAAGTTCAACACTTTTAAAGCCTCTTCTTTAGCTTCTTAAGGTCGCGCTCGTATCGAGCGGATCTTTAACTTTGAATAGAAGCTTTTAGACGATGTAAGCTATCGAGCACGCTACTAGCAAGCTCGCGTCTTCGATAACTTAAAAGCTTTCGAAAAATACTTTTTTATAAAACGCTAACGTAAGAATTACGTCTTTAACCAAATCGAAAGAATAGTCTACTTGTTCTTAGCCCTTTTAATTATAGATCGTAGCAACTTCGTAACCGCTTCGGAATTCGTTTAGATCGCTTTCGAGTTCTTAAACGACTTCGCTAAAAAGGCTAAAGCGTTAATTGAATTCGAAAAACTTTATATAAAGCTTAACTAGCAATTCTAAGACTTTTACCTTGTTTTCTCGGAGCTTGCCGCTACCGCTGAGATTAAAGATGAGGACCGATTACGTAAAGCTTTGCGTTCTAAGATTACTAAGACGCTGCGCGATTAGCTTTATTTAGAATTTGCTAAGATTACAACTTTTAAAGACTTTTAGACCGCCGTCTAACAATTAGCTGCTAGCTAATACGCGTTTGCAAAGCTTTACGATGCTCCATAAGCTAAGTATAACACTTAATTCGCGAAGAGCTTTTATAATAGAGCTCGTAACGAATCTCGCTCGGCTTAAAGAGCAGCGGTCAAGCAAATCACTTATTACGAGAACCGCTAAAGTAGCTTAGCCTCCGTCTTTTTCCTTACTCTTTAGCGCTAAACCTTTAACAGCTTTAACGCTAGTGCAAATCGATCTAATCGATTTAACAAATTCTCTTTTCTCGGAAACGCTTTTAAGTTAGTAATCAAAACTTTTAAATCGTCTCGCAAAGACTCGAATACGCCGAAGCTCTTTCGCTACCATTTAATTAACGAAATAGAATACGGCGCTAGACTCGAATACAGCCCTTATTCGGATGATTCGGACGATAGGCCTTATTCCGACGCTCTTAAAGATCATTAAGAGCTCTTTTCTGTTGACTCCGACGCTTTCGATAATAAAAGAAACGTCGAGGCTTAAGCAAAGCCTCTTTCTTAAGCCAGCTTCGAGATATGCGATACCTCGACCTTACGAAGCTCTTTAATAGTAAAGCTATGACTATACTCGTCATCTTTATTAAGAATAGCTTTTCGTATAAGGTATTTGCTTTGCTCGACTCAAAAGCTAATAGATACGTATTGATTGACTTAGCGCTATTCAAATCACTTTCTTTCTTTCTTAAACCTTTAATTCAACTTTTCTCGGCCTTATTTCTTGTTAAATCATACAATAGAGCTCGTAAAGCTATTATCTTACATTTTGCACTTCTCAACCTTACGGTTGACAAGCGCGTCTAATCCTTTACTCTTTTTCTTATTACCAACTTTAGAAATCATAGCGTGATCTTCGGACGAGCATAGCTAGCTAAGCATTAGATCTCTTTGACTGCGCTCGCCGCAAGCTTTATTAGCTTCGTTTTAACCCTTCGACCGCTATTTACGCTAAACTTATTAAGATTATATACTTTAATTAGCGTAAAGTAAACGCTCGTTACTAACACGACGCTAATAAGCGTGATCGAGCTTTAGACCGCTTTTAAAGAGCTTACGACGCTAATTCACTCGTGAATTATGATTTACAAGCGGATCAAGCAGCAATAATAATCGTTAAATCACTTCTTTCTCTTCGGAATCGTCTTCTTTCCGCTTCCTTTTTTAAGATCGTTGAACCCTTTTTTTTTATTCACTTTTTCGTAAAGCCGTCACTCTTTCGCTTTACGAAAAACACTTTTTTTAAAGACTACGTTAAATCAATATCTTAAATAAACCGTAAGCTTGTGTTAACCGATATCGCTTTTATAAAACCTCTTTTACTCGTTAAACGCTTTTGCTAAACATTTAAGCACAAAATCAATAGAAACCTTAAGATCAACGGCGTTTCCGGACACGCCTTTTATATGATCGCTCGTTAAAAAGACGTAGAACTGTTCTTTACGTCCTTTTACAAGCTCGATTACTTGATCTCCGAGCGTCAAACGATTACTTTTACTTAAGCTGACTATTAAGCAGCGCTAACACGCTTTACTAACGGCTTTATCTTTGCTATCGACTTTATAACGGAACTATTAAAGCTTACTAACGACCTTCTTATCCTTTTCGAATACTCCGATTATATATACGTATTTTTTAAGGCCGCTAGCAACGTGCTAGCACTACACAAGCCTTACGACTATAAAATCGAGCTTCTCGAAAGAAAAGAAAAGGCGCTTCGGTACTTATTATTATACAAGATGTCGATCTTTAAGCTAAAGCTTATTAAAGCCTACTTTATCAACAATCTTAATAAAAGTTTTATCGAACCTTTAATAGCGCTATTTGCAGCTTTAGTCTTGTTTGCTAAAAAGCAAAACGGTGCTTTCCGCTTTTGTATTGACTTCCGCGCGCTAAACAACCTTATTCGTAAAGATCGATACTCTCTTTTTTTGATCGATAAGACCTTCGCACGTCTTTCGAGAGCTAAAATCTTTACGAAATTCGATATTCGGCAAGCCTTTTATAAAATACGGATAGACCTAGCTTTAAAGAAGCTTATAACATTCAAAATACGCTACGGTGCTTATAAATGCAAGGTTCTTTTATTCGGATTGACTAATAAACCCGCTACTTATTAACGCTATATAAATGACTTCCTCTTCGACTTCTTAAACATCTTTTGTACGGCATATTTAAACGATATCTTGATCTATTCTTCCGACCTTTTAAAGCACGCTTACTACGTCCGCTAAGTTCTTTAACGACTCGACGACGCTAGCTTTTAAGCTGATATCAAAAAATGCGAATTCAGCATTATTAAGATAAAATACTTAAGCTTTATCATCTCTATCGAAAGCTTAAAAGTAGATCTAGACAAAACGTCGATAGTAGAGTATTAAGCGCTTTTTACAACCGTTAAAGGCGTCTAAAGCTTCTTTGGATTTTATAACTTCTACCGCCGATTCATTCGAGACTACGGCGTGATCGCGAAGCTTTTAGTATACTTAATTAAAGCTAACGTTCTTTTTTCATTTAATTCTTAGTATTAAAAAAGCTTCGACCTCTTAAAGCTCGCTTTGATTATTGCGCTAATCTTATAGCATTACAACTAAGACTTCTTTTGTATGCTAAAGACTAACGCTTCCGACGGCGTAATCGCTTTAGTCTTTTCTTAAAAGCATAGTTCCGACTAGCTACTAGTCGTTTATTACTTTAAAACTATAGCTTTCGCTAAGCTTAACTACGTCGTCTACGATAAAAAGATGCTGGCTATCATACGCTCTTTTAATAACTTCCGCGCCGAACTCGCCGGCTTTTTTTATTAAGTTTAAGTAATCACCGACTATAAAGCTTTAAAATACTTCATGACTTCCAAGACTCTTAACGCTCGTCAAGCACGCTAAGCAAAGCTCTTTTTCGATTACAACTTTATTATCACGTATAAATCAAGTAAAGACAACCCTTTAGCTGACGCGTTAATACGTCGCACCGAAGAGCTCTTTTCTTAAAACAGCTTTAAGCGCACTTAACGCTTGCAAACGCTGCTCCGCGCCGACAACGTTAACTTACGACTCTTGACCGAAGAGCTACGCTAACTTACGCTTTCGGAGACCGCCGTTATTATCGAAAAGATCGCGAAGCTTTCATCGATATTCCGAGTTATTAACTAAGTCTTAAAAGCTAATCGGACCGCTTTTAGTTTCATAGCACTTCGAATTCAAGCTTTTAAAGCTAAGTTCTCACTCGTAAACTACGGTTCACGAGCTAAACTCATTATAGAAAGCGACCTGCTGCTTTATAACGGCCGCTTATTAGTTCTCGACGTTTAAAACTTGCGCTTGTTACTCGTCCGAAAAGTCTACGACTAAGTATTTACGGCACACCTTAGCTTTCGCAAAACTTATAAGCTCTTTGCAACACAATACTACTAGCACGGTATAGCTAGATTCGTCAATTAGTATTGCCGCAATTGCTACGCTTGCAGACGAGCTTTAATGCTTCGCGATAAAAAACTTGGTTTGCTTTAACCTTTTTCGATCCTTTCACGCTTTTAAAAGCACGTTATTATAGATTTTTATAGCTTTAATAAAGACAAACACGGCTACGACAACGTTTTTGTAATAATCGACCGCTTCTTTAAGCAAGCAATCTCGATCCTTTGTTATAAGTCTATCGATGCTAAAAGCTTCGCTAAGCTTTATATCTACTACATCTATAAGTATTTTAAAGCTCTTTTGATACTGACTTTTAATAGAAGACCTTAATACTAGTCCGAGTTCTAAAAAGAATTTAATAAGATCCTCGGCATTAAACTGACCTTTAGCACCGCCGCACACCTTAAGACTAACGGTCAGACCGAAATCTATAATTAATACTTGCAAAAGCGCCTCCGTCCTTTCGTAAGCTACTACTAAAACGATTAGAGTGAGTTCCTTCTTATAATAAACTTCGCCTAATTGACGCTCCTTTACGACTCTTTCGGCGGCCTTTCTCTTTTTAAAGTAATTTACGGTTACGCTTTCCGGACCACTTGAAATTAAAGCTTAAAACGACTTGACGACCAAACCCCTTTTCGCAAGCTTAATCAAGACGAAGCTCGCGCTTACGCCAACCGCCACTTCGGAGCTTAGAACCTCGCTAAAGAGCACCTTTAACGCGCTTAAGACCGCATAGCTAAACAAGCTAATAAATCAAGACGCTCGGTTGACTTCGACGTTAATAATAAAGTTTAATTAGACATGCGCCCGTTCTTTACTTCTCGACCGTTAAAGAAGCTCGATAACTCGACGAACGGACCGTTCGAGGTTATCGATAACGTTTATAACAGCTTTAAACTCAAGCTTCTCGAATCAATAAAAGTTCATTTAATCTTTTACTCCGAACGATTACGAAAAGCTTTTAATAACCTTACCTTCGGGCAAGTCATTCTTAAACCTGACCTAATTAATATTACTAGCGAACTTAAGTACGAAGTAGAGAACATCTTCGCCGTACGCTAAACTAAGAAGCACTTTGAGTACCGCGCTTCTTAACTCGACCGCGATATTGACCTTACTTAATACCTCGCTTCCGATTTCATATACGCTCCTTTTAAAGTACGTGACTTCCATTTGAAACACAAGGAACTCTTCGGCTTTCTCGCGAAGCTCCTCGACTAGATCAAGGCTTATTCGGACGGTGTTGATGACTACGATCACTTGAGTAGTAATAAAGCAATAGATAAACGTTCGAAGACGAGCTTTTTTCGGACGGGGAGGTAGTATAACGATACGCCAGGTCTCTTAAACGCACCTTACATGCGCTAAGCTACTTCTTTCCTTTTTTCTTTCGTATTCTTCGTATTCTCTTATTCCCCGCTTTTGACTTATAAATTATAGTTCACGAGTCCTTGGCGCTCTTACTTTCGTGTATATAAACCTTAGCTACCTTCGACCTTTACACTCGATAGTTGTTGATTCTAAGTCATTACTTTGAGATTCTCCTGAGCTCCTATATGAACCCCGCGCTCCCGTGAGTTCCTTCAGGTAATCGCTTAAGGTCGTCACAAGTATTAAGCTAAAGCTTTTTTAAAGTTAGTAAAGGCCGAAGGATCATCTTCATCGTCTTGCTTACTAGTAGCTTCTTCTTAAGTAAAAGGAACTACTAGTTGGGCCGTAAAGGAAGAAGAAGGAGCTGCTAAAGCAGCTTTAAGAGGTGTACGAAGGATTTTGCTTGCAAAGCGAAAGTTGCTATATTATGTAAGTGCTATCTTTTAAGTTGTATTTAAAATAGGCCTTTTCGTGACCGTTAGAATCGTCTAAGTGTTTTGACGTCTAACCACTAAGGAATTTTAAAGAGAAGGAATATTATTAAAGCCGTTCCCGGCGGAGTAAAGTAGTTGTTAATAATATAACGACCTTAAGCGATTACTTAAAAGAACTCACGAGAGCGCGGGGTTCATATAAGAGCTTAAGAGAATCTTAAAGTAATAACTTAAAATCAATAACTACCGAGTGTAAAGGTCGAAAGTAGCTGAGGTCTATATACACGAAAGTAGAAGCGCTAAGGACTCGTGAACCATAGTTCATAAGTCAAAAGCGGAGAATAAGAGAATACGAAGAATACGAAGGAAAAAAGGAGGGAAGTAGCTTGGCGCATGTAAGGTGCGTCCAGGAGACTTGGCGTGTCGTCACATCTCGCGTTGAATTGACGAAGAAGAACGATGAATTTAGCAGCAATTGTGCTCGGTTTGACATAAGGATTGGATTTTCTGAAAGCTATAGCTTCAGCGATTCTTTGCTTTGTTTTAGCATCGAATTTAGTCATGGTGTTGTTAGTTAATCGCGTGTAGAAGAAAAATCACGAAAAAATTAACCGTATTACTGAAAATTGACCGTATTACTGAAGGGTACTAGGAACCGCATTCCTGCCTCTGACTAGTACTCCGACCAGGGGTACGATTATGGCATTCCACACCATAAGGTACCAAACGGCTTACCCGCCACAAAACGGCTCGCTCCCAATCTCAATCCCAAGCTCCATCACACACACAAAAAAAGGGAGCCAAAAACTAGCACACCAGCACCAGCACCAGCATGAACTTTGCCTATGCTGATCGGTATATACCTCGATTCCCCCTTTTCTCTTTTTTCGTTGAAAGTCGACGGTTGATTTTTATCTCACCGTGTTATATCAGAAAAATGAATGATAAATAAGACGGCGTGCCAATGGAGTGCGTGATAATAACTCCGTCAAGTCTAGCTATCTTGCTGCTTGGAATACCAATCATTGTTTCAATTCTCCACGACGACTATGAGAGAACAATCGAAAATCATCTTTAAATCCAGCCCGAGGGAGAAAAAACAGCTAGGTATTGATTAAATTGCCATAATTGCCATGATATAAACACACATATATATGTAAATGCTCTAGCTTTCCCATCTATTTTCGGCAATTCGTTCGTCAGTCTCGTGGGGTATCATATGCAATGCAATGCAACCGCAATCCTGTGCCGCTAATTTGAAGTCATGAATGTGTCGTTATCTCTCTCTCTTTTGCCCCCCCATCACCCCTTTCTATCCTCTCTGCGACGCTTTCCAGTTCCTTCTCCTTCCATAAATCCATACCCTGTTGCCCTGGCGGGCATGATTGCCATGACGGTGGCTCTGTCCTCTATCGTCTTCCCGACATCGAAGCACTCCAACCCCCAAACGTGGTCCACCGCCTCAGCAGGGCCGCCCGGGGCCTCGCCTTCTTCCCCTCCCGGCCCGTAGCACCTTTTACCCCTGCCCGCTCCTTCTCACTCTCGTCCGGCATCGCCAAACGATACCGCCTCACGCTCCCCGCATCGCTATCCCCATCGTCCTCACAGAAGCGCGGCCGCCGGCTGGCCTCGGGCAGGATACAGTCCGGCACCATCTTGATCAAGAACCCCCGCACGCCCTGGCTCGCGGCATCGATCGCGGCGTATTCCAGGCGGCGCGTGGAGTCGGATGTCCAGTACTGGACGGTGGCGGGCGGGGCTGGGACTGGCGCGGTGACTTCGGGAGCCGGGGGAGAGGGGTCGGAGAGCGAAGGGAACTGGAAGAATTGGTATGGCTGCTGAGTTGGGTAGGGGGACGTGTGGGAGGAGGAGAAGCGCGGGCGCGACCCCGAGTTGGACGTGCGGGTGTTGGAAGAGCGGGAGGCACGCTTTTTCTGGTGCCGCGTGGAGGATGTGGTACTCGAATCCGTGGTCCGTCTCTTGGGACGGACAGCCGAGTTGGGGCTGCGTCTCCCGTCTGCCGAACTGGTGGATGTGCCTCGGGAGCCTGGCGCTGCTGGATACGGGGATGTTTCGGCGTATCCCGAGTCTTGACGGTCCATCCTCACGGGAGCCGATTCGAGTTTGGGGGAAGGGAGAGGTGTAGGTGAATTGGAATGTTTTGGTGAGAGCGATGAGAAGACTGGAAGTTGTGTCGCGGAGGGCGAGGTGAAGGTGAGTTGGCGGAGTTCCATGTTCTGCAAGTGTGCGTGGGCAGAGTGGAACGTTGCTGTCTCTGAGGTTGCGGACAGGCTTGACAGGGAGCGATTGTGCCAGTGTGTTGTCAACGGCTGGACCTGGAGCTGGATGTGATGCTTCGGGGCTGGGGATTGGGGGGCCATGTTGGCGGGTTCGTTGGATATTGGTCGTTGGTCTTTGCGGTATCGTTATGCGTTATTCGTTACTCGTTCCGAGATGGATGTTGTGGTTTTTTTTTGTCGCAGAGAGGAGAAGAAAGAAGTCAGAGGTGACTTTGGGGTTCCGCTATCCCTACCCAACCATCTCTGTGCTCGTCTTTATGTACGTATATATATGTATACTCCGTATATATGTACATAAACATATGTATGTATGTATATAGATATATATATATATCAGCCAGTCAAAGCGCCGCCTTGTCAAAGAGGAAGAGGAGAATTCGGAATGAGAGCGGAGCAGCAGAGTGCGTTGTCAAGAGAACAGCGGTGGGGCTCGAGGGGAGGTGGGTTATAGGTGTAGTTGTATTCGTAGACCCCCATTTCCAAGTGAGTTAGTCAGTCAATGCTCTATCTGGAGCAAATGATCAGCGGGAGCGGAAGTGGATGTCGGAGTGAAGTGGAGGTGAGAGTTGGGAATAGCGATGGAGATGGCGATGGCGATGGCGATGGAGATGGAGATGGAGATGGATATGGATATGGATGTGCATGTGGACATGGACATGGAACATTGGAACACTGGAAGTGCATGACTGACTGACTGAGACTGGCTGACTGGCTGATTGACGACTGAATGACCGTTCCCTGGTGCCAAGGCGGGCGGGTATAGGCCCTGTCGCCGATCGCTTGATCTATTGAATAATTGAAGTTCGAGATGAGATGAGTGGGTGAGTGGGTGAGTGGATGAGGTGGATGAGTGGATGAGGTGGACGAGGTGGAAAGTCAAGGATGAAGATGCGAGAAGGGATGAGGCGGGTAGATAGAAAGTCAAGTCAGGTGGCTGGGGCGGATAAATAGTAAGACCGAGACCGAGACCGGGACCAAGACCACGACCACGACCACGACCACGACCACGACTCGGCAATAGGACTGAGACCGCACTTACTACCGGTAGTAGTCGGGACTCTCTCTTTGATAGTTGACTCGGCCAAGGGTCAAGATGCTCTACAGTACAGAGTACATCTGGAAACCTCTTAGCTACGACTTCTCCTGTATGGAATCTGAAGAGAGACAATTCGAAGCAGATGAATAGCCGGAAGTCAAGCCGTAACGGACCGGCGATAGCGATGGCACGACGGTAATCTTGTCCTGGGGGCGGTGCAGATGCAGATGCAGATGCAGATGCAGATGCAGCTCGGGTCTTGACCGCTGGTCCTGCCATGCAATGCCATGCCATGCCGTGCAAGGCAAGGCAAGACAAGGCAAGGCAAGGCAATGCAACCCACTTGATCGCGGGATCTGGCTAGTTGGTTGTGGTTGTCTGTTGTTGTTGTCGTCGTCGAGGCAATGCTACCGGTATCTAAGTCGGCCACGCGAGCTATCGGTCTATCGTGTTCTGGCCCGACAGTCAAATCATCTGAGCACCTTGTGTGCTGGCAGGTGGGTCCAGCCCAGGGCGTGCTGAGAGGAGATACGTAGTACATAATAATACCGGTAGGTAAGTAGTTTTAATTGATATATGGCGGTGAGTTCCCCCGTCGGGACTCCGTCGGGCCTCCGTCGGGGAACCCCAGAAAGCGACATCAACATCAACATCAATATCCATATGGGATTCGTGGTCCGACTAGCATTCCCTCGGCCGGATCATGATGGATATCAAATGATACCTACTTGTAAGAGGAAAAGGCTGACCTAACGAGCGGCTCTTGCGTTACAGAGTATGTCACGTTCAAGAGGATGAGATGAGTAATCCTCCATTGCATTCACAACGAGATATCCGATTCCGATGGTCCATATCCGACACCACCCGCCTCCAAATATCTTATCCGATGCGATCCCATCTGAAACCTCGCTCCCATCTCCGAAACAGCTTATGCCCTTCTTCATTCTTACTCATTGCTTTACTTCGACTCTGTCCCGGGAGGGGAGTTGTACTTACCCAAGACCCTGCATCGGCACACCAAGGGTTTGACCTTTTTGTTGCACGTCGCAGCCAAAGCCAAAGAAAGACTCTTCCGTCCGCCCATCTCCTTCCTATCCGTGATTCAGTTGTCCTTCTCATAGACGTACTTCCACTCGCTTAGGAAATAGATCTTATTGAGGAGAATGAATGATTCGGGTATAAATAAACGAATAAACAATTAGTTAGCTAGTCGCTTAAATTACTTATACAACTACCTCGCTTAAAATTTGACGGCATAAATTTCTCTAACGGTGACAACAGAGGAGGTATGAGAGAGAAAGAGAGAGAGAGAGAGTGTGTGTGTGTGATAAAAAGATAGGCAAAAATTCGGCATCAGAGTCCAAAAATAGAAACACCATCTACCCTAGCCCCCCAATCCCATACCAAAAAAAAAAAAAAAAAAAAAAACCCCTCGTTAAGCGAGAATATGCCGACTTCAGATCCTCTCTCAACCTACCTTAGCGTTAAAAAAAAGATGGAAGATAGAAAAGAAAATAATAAGTGTCAGCAAAAAAAAAAAAAAAGATTTGGAAAAAAAGATTCACAGAAAAAGAGAAACTTGTCAGCTCCAGCCCCCCCCCCAAAGCTCATCTGACAAGCCCACCTACATACCATCCTATCTTTTAAGCGAGAAACGAGTTTCCAAAAAAAGGGAAAAATAAAGAAGAAAGAAACCCATACCCAAACAAGCCATGCCTCGTCCGAAGAAACCCAGCCCCCTCCCCCCGCCCCCCCTCCTCTCAGACTGACTCCCGTGCCTACGGACGTATCGCGCAGAAGTAAAAAAAACAAAAAGAAAAGAAGAAGAGAAGAAGAGAAGAAGCAGAAAAAGACACTACGTACAGGAGAGAGGAAAAGAGAACCGCCATCGCCGAGGATGATATACCGACAGGCAGATAGAGAGATAGAGAGATACATCTCCTGCGTGTGAATTTCATAGGATGGATGCATCGAGGAAGTGGGCACTTGTAATGGAGATCGAATATAGGGAGATGTGGAAGTTGTGATTTTTTTTCCAGTAATTATATTGATAATAATGATAATAATAATAATGAACATTAATAATTAACGATTAACCGTCTGTTTACAAGGCAAGGTATACGTATAATATAGGCCAGTTCGGATACAGAGCGCGACAGGAGGAGCTAGCTAGCCAGCTTTTCCAGCCCGAGTTCTCCTTCCGGCATTGCGAAACTCGAGAGTCCGTACGCGTACGGTATGGACCACAGCAGAGACTCGCGATCAAACCGCTGGTCAGACGGTCTCTCGTGCCGATGCGAGCTGCTGCTGCAGCGAGAGAGACCAAGCTTTTCATCCATTTCATCCGACTCCAGAAACCCCCCCCCCTCCTACGCCGTAACGTGCAGCGTTAGCCGACCCCTACTCCATGCCCTTGAAACTCCCGCCCTCGTCGCCCCCAGCACCACCAGAACGCCAGAAACCCGATATTTCATCCCAAGACAAGATGTGAGCAAAGCAGCATGAGAGATGGACATATAATACAAATATATATATATATATATATATGTATATATATTTTAACCCGACACAATCCCCGTGACGCCGTTCGTCAGGTTCCCCTGGAAGGCCGTCGCCGCCACGAGCGCATCCAGCGCCGAGCTCTGCGTGCTCGCGTTCGCCACACTCACGAACGGGCCGTCCCAGTCGACGCTCAGCATGCTGCCGCCGTCGCCGGGGCTCCGGTTCTTGTCCCAGATGCTGACCGCGTTGGCGGCGATGAAGTCCAGGTAGGCGTTGTCGGGGCTGGCGGCGTGCAGCATCTGGAGGTTGCGCATGAAGATGCCCTTGAACTGGTTCCCGTCGGCGCCGCAGTTGGGCTCGCACGGGTCGTGCAGGACGCCGTTGGTGGAGAGGGCGCCCATGGCGGCGGTGGCGATGGAGCGCGCCTTCGCCAGGTACGTGGCGTTCGGCGAGGCCTTGTCGAGCTCGACCAGCGCGCCGAGGATCACGCCCTGGTTGTAGGACCAGACGGTGCCGTTGTTGTTCGCGCAGCTGTCGTCGAGGCCGTCGTTGATGGTGTTCTGGGCGTTGATCATGCCCGACGACTGGAACCAGTCCCACTGATCCGTGGCCGTGTCGAGGTACATCTCCTTCTGGTCGGGGATCCGGTTGGCGAGGTGCGCGGCGACGCTGAGGTAGAGCTCGTTGGCAATGGCGTTGACGTACGTCTGTTTCTTGTCCCACCAGATGCCGCCGCCGCACTTGGCTGCCGTGCCGTTCTTCATGTCGTTGAAGATGTTCACGGCGGTGTTGATGTAGTCCTGGTTTCCTGTGACATCGAATGCTTGGATCCAGCCCAAGGCCCACCAGCCCTCGTCGTCATAGAACCCGTTCAGGAATCCTTTGGGCTCGGTAACCGCGAGCACCGAGAACTGCCCGGTCGGTACATTCGACGCGTGAACGGTGAGCATGTTGAAGTCTTGGGTGATGACCTTGGTCTGCTGTAGGTTAAACCTCTGTGCCTGAGTGAGGGTGTTGGAGAAGATGTCCGTGGCGTTGGCCTTGACACTTTCATCCACGGCGGCGAGATTCCCAATGGTCGTGAGGCAGTTGGCACTGTTCCACCAGCCCGTGGTATTCCAGAGCCCGGTGTCCCGGTTGTACCATTGTTGCAAGGTGTTGAAAGCAGCCTCCGCATTCGCCTGGTAGGTGGTGGCCGAAGCGCTCACCACCGGCGAGACCAAGGCAACGAGCTTCAAAGTATCGAATAACATTGGGATGATGGAAAGAGACAGAGACGAGTCTGGCATAGGGGTACCATTCTCTAAAAAAGCAGAGGACCTGCCAAATATATGCCAAATACATGAGAAAGCTTTGAAACGGATTGCCTGGAGCAAGTAGCACCACCAGCCTTTTCATGTTTACGGGCTGGGGAGTGCGACGAAACATGTCGTGAGTGACATATCAACGCACTGGTAAGTAGAAAACCTCGCAAACTTGAGGTTACTGAGGTTTCTGAGGTTTCTGGCGTCCAAAGAAGTGAATACGAAGGGACGAACTGCTCTCCCGTTGGTGTTTCTGCCGATGTTTCGAGGACATGTGACATGTGTCAACAACGAACTTGGACGGCCAGGGGCTTTAGCGAAAGAGCCATGCCGGAACGGGGATGGCTCCTCACGACCTGACTCGCACCAAAGTACTCCGCGTCTATTGAGTCGCTTGAATCTCTCGTAACTGTTGTATTTACTCTGCGCTGGTCCGGTAGTGGCATCTCAGCTGGGTTCGATCAGGCCAACAAACGAGGAGTCTGAATCGAGGCAAGTGAAACGTTGCAAGAGCAGCTTGGCTGCGAATCGACGAGTATTCGGGTCTCTCTCGTCCTTTGCCTATGTCACTCGATGTATAGGGGTAGAGGTAGTGTTGATTGAAGATCAGAGGAGAGTGAATCTCAGCCAAATACACCTGCGTTAGTAGTCCGAATCGGACTTTCTCAAAGTCAAGTGCAGTTCTGGATAAGCCTCAAGTAACATGGTCAAAACTATATTGATCAGCAGGAACATGCTATGACGGATGAGAAGTTGACGATGTTTTATCATTTTGGCGGTACCGAGGGCATGATTGTACGCGTCTTTCCTGCTTTGGATATTGGACCTGCTCTCGACTTTCGTCGTATTAGCAGTACTCGGACCAGAGACATCGGCGGATCAACGGGCTTGTATACTGTACATAGATAGCAACAGTATCATGCATATTAGACAAGTAGCATGGCCAGCGAGATTGTATTTCTGCAGCTTGAGGACTTGTAAGTTGTCCCTCGCAACTCCCCCATGCCCCAAAACAAAAGAGAAAAGAAAGACAAAGAAAGAAAAAAGGATGCAAAAAAAAGAAAAAACCAGCAAAACTCAACTGGAAGCTCATATACTATCATGAGGTTCCAGTTTATAAACCTAATTGAATAGGTTTTGGGACGAAGCGCATTGGAGTACAACCGACGGAGTTCGGATAGCCATGAAGCAGTTAAGCCACTGAGCCATCACGTCGTCCCCCGGTTGACGAAGACCAGACGTCGAGTTTACTTATATAAGGCAGGTACAAAAATTGTGGGTACTCGTTTGTGGTAGCGCCAGAAGCCGCGACCCAGACCCACCACGTCACTTGATGGATCGAAGGGGAGAGAAGATGGTTTGAGCAGAATGAGTGCTGGGCACATATTCTTCAATTGTTTTGATTATCTATAACCTTCGCAGATATCTTGTCATGGAAACAGACCGATACGTCTATTTCGAACGGGCAGTTGGGTGGGACAATGTAATATATCAGAGTAACTTCTACGAATATGGTGGACTAAACGTACAACGTTGGCTGGATAGGGCTCAAGTCAGTTCTAATCACCTTGGTGGAGCACCTTGGTGGAGGGGAATTTCTCTGCTGGTCCAGTCAGGGATAGGAATATCTGAGGATATAAGAACGGGGGGAGCGAGTAGCAGACGAAGTTCTATTTTCCAGATCCCTGTGCCCATACTGACATCGAGGACGTTATGAGGCTTCTTGCCGATTGTCAAGCAGAACGAGGATCGTGTGATGCTGGATATCTGTTGCTGTCAAATGCAATCTAAGATTCTAATATAGAGATGCTTACCCACCTAGTCTTTCTTGCTCCATCTTGAGTGACCACATCAGCGAAGACGCTCGCCACTTTCAAGATGGTGGACTCGCTGCATCATTTCGAAGTATGTAATCTGCTAGAGAACTATCATTAACCAAGAAGGAAGAGATACCATGAGCAAGGTCCTGTACTGCCTTCTTTGTATCCGTGGATTGTGCAGCTACTCTCTTCAGAGTAGTCGTATATATACACGTGAGCGTAAGGACTGGGCGCTTCCACGCTCAGGTTAGCAGCTTTTTGGAGCGCTGGTGAAGTGTAGTGAATAGACAGGCTGACTGTTCTCTCTCACTGGATATTGCCGAGTCAGCATCGCTGGAATCACCATTCTAAGACAAAGGTCAACATATCACGATTCATTTATCGGCGATGGACGTACACCATTGTCGACTTCCAAGACTGGAATGCGAACAGTCAATGAGGCAAAACTAGAGATGAAGATGCTATTCACAGCAGAAGCAGCTACCGCATCCAGAGCTGTTACTGATATGATGATATCTGTTAATCTTATGCGATTTTTCGAAAGCTCATATTCTGCATCTTGGGCAGCCACATGCACACTCCCTCGTCCAGACTCATGAGGTATTTCAGTAAATGGATTTATAATCGCATAGTCTCTCTACAATCGAGCCAAGAAAAACCCGCCCACGATCTTTATCACGATGCTCGACAGCTATTTGTGGTCGGCGATTGGCCTTCTAGTAGGGAAACGTTAGAGGGTTACACTGCTGTGACGCATGCGCCATTATGCGTCGGGAGATAGAGGATCGGGGGAGATGGTAGGACAACATGAACGCATATTTGACAGCGTGACGTTAGCCATGTGGGCGACGATAATAAAAGATGCGAAGTCCGAGTGCGACAGCAGCGATATCGTTTACCCGCATACGATCCGAGAATTCGGAACACAGACTGCTGGCAGTACGTACCTGCTAGTCTACAGTGAAAAGATCGAGGAAACCGTGTTAGTGTCCCGGCTACTTATGAAAGCGGGATCTACAAGACTTGGGCGGGCAAAGTGAGTGATGATTCTAGAGGAAATGACAACAGCCATCCAATAGTCTACGCCCCCTTTTCCCCTCAAAAACAACCTCCGAAGAAAGCCAGAAATGCATCGGAAAAAAGGAAAGGGGTCCCGCCAAGTACCGGCGAACAAATAGGCGAGAAGTCAAATTTGGCGACAAGATAACAACAATAACAACAACAAGAAGAAGGTTATTTCGCGTAGTTGATCCCCCGTTGCTACGGTACGACATGAAATTATTACAGCCACTAGGAATCTGAATAAAGCGCAAGTGATCAAAGCGCTCCCTCTCCCTCTCTTAACAGCGAGGTTGCGGAGGGTGATGTGATAATGGCCTGCGTGTAATGAATAGTCTGTGTATAGTGATCCTCAGAGAAGTAAGTATACAACCACTTTGGCAAGATTGATTGTCTAGACACTCCACGGAGTTGCCTACTTGCTCGTGGGTTTTCGAACCTTGGGACTTCATGTCGACAGGGGGTCCATCTCATCTCTCTAAAAGCGATACGGTGCAAAGAGATCGGCCTAGCAATAATTAGTCATGCACGGATTACAGTTGATAGAATTTGAAGGTAAATTTGGGTCGATAGCAATGCCGTGTCGACATGTTTCCTTATGCCTGGTGCTATGTTGGTGTACGGCATCATCGCTAGATTTTAGATTCATTTGATTTAGTAAGAATGTGAGAAGCGTTCAACTATTTAGAAGACGCTCGCTCTAAGTGAGCCGAGTAGAGATGGGGCTGGCGAGATGCCGCCGAAACTTAGAATCAGGTGGCACATGGCAAAACGTCCCCAGCCTGTTGGTCAGAACGTAATAGTCACGCGGGATAACAAGCGTAGCGAGTCCTTTATTTACTTTCACCCCCCCAAAAAAACGAAGATTGATCTTCTATCAAGTCTATCTCAAAGGCAGACAACGCAGTCTATATTCAGAATTATACTTGTACAATACTCAGCGCTTGGCAACTACGCGGCCAGGATCTGTGCAGCCAGCGCCAGGATAGGAGCAGCTGTGATGGCCGTCGATGCTTTCGTCCAACCCTCCTCAATGGGTAATCGTTCATTCTCTATGTTTACTGTCAGAGCTAATAGACGGCTGAAAAGTGTCACCTGTCTTGAACTCACCAAACAGAACCTTGACCCATTCAGTTCTCGCCACCGAGACTCCACCTGGCTCCGCAAACACAGTCATGTAGAGCGCCGATTCGGCACCGCTGCCCCGGAGATCTGCTGCAGTCATGTTGAAAGTTGGGTTGGTAGCCTGGGCCTCTGCGATCCGCGCTGCTCGCGCAGACCGAGCGGTTGCGACATCGATGGTCGTGCCCGTGAAGTGGGACGATGCCGTCGCCCATACGGTGGCATTAAAGGTGAGGACATCGCCGAAATAGAGGTCGGCTCGCGACAGCGATCCGTCGTGCTGGAGCGTTCCGCCTTGCTTGGCCAGATCGTGCAGGTTGAAGGTGGCGCTGTTCCCTGTGGTGCTCACTAGCAGGGCGGGCGCTCCAAAGGTTTGCGTAGCAGCGGGATCCAGGTTGATTGCGTCGCTGAAGCCGGCGACAAGATCGTTCATCGAGATGTCCAACCCATCGCGCGGTAGGTAGCCGTGGTTCGCGAGGGTGTTGAGCATGGGGCATGGACTGCGCTCTACCTCGATGTCAGCACCAGAATCTACCAAGGGGTTCAAGTTGGCGGCAACATACTGTCGGTCGAGGCAGGAGCCTGCCATGTATTCTGGCATGCGCCGAGGGAAGAAGCGCTGGCCAGCGTGACAAGAGTGGTGAACTTCATGATGATGGAATGAGCGACTGACTTGGAAAGAATAGACGAGGAGAGATGAAACGAATGACTTGGAAACGATAAAATGGAGGTAAATATTTCCACGAAAATATGCACTCGAGCGCTATCAACTCAGACAAATGTGTTGTGGATGGATTGACGTACCTATTTAAGTGATATCAGGGAACCGGTCGACAGCCCATATGCGTCGCACGTAAATACTGTATTCTCCTGTTTGATACGGGGATTAAATGAGAAAACAGAGATGATCGGCATGGCTATTCTATTCAGCATTTTCCGGTGATCCAACGCGGAATCTATCGGTCTACGATCCCAGGTCTGGCTGAGTCTCGGCATGGATACCCCAAACGGTATGCATTGAGATCCCAATAATGGGGCCGCACTCACTGCACTGCACTGACTGACCGGACCGGGCCAGACCCCTTTCTTCCATAAGCGAGCGGATGATTTAATTGTCGACACGAGAGAGAGAGAGCGTTTGGTGGTGATAATTTCTCTCTGCCTCTATCCCCGGATTAACTTTATCCGTAGCTCGCAGAGTTGAATCAGCTGAACTCGACGACTAGCTCACGATATTCCGCTCCGGAGGTGATTTCTTTTTAGCTTACTACAATTTGCTACTATATAATATCTACGGATTCGGATCTGTGTTTCGGTACTGATATCGCATCCCGCGTATCAATACTTTTAATATCATATTGTTTGCTTTTGCCGCGGAAGGGATGCCGAGTTAACTTGAAGTCAACTACATCAAGGAAAAGGAATATGGCGCTTCAATGGCAAGGGTTTCGTAAATTTGACTGCAAGTTCTCTTGAGATACTGGGTAGATAAGACCAGAAGTAAGTAAGTCTTTGTGTGTGGTGACCGGAGTCATCAAACCGCTATTATCCATGCATTTGGGCTACATAGGTATATATATATATATCAGCTAGTTCACAGCCAGTAGCTCGCACCTCTCTCTCTCTATTCTGCAGGACAGTTGGAGCTTGAATAATGGTAGGTGAGCTCCTAGATCTCGCTTTCACTTGTTTATTTTGTTTATATGCTCATTTCTGAGTCCATGAACTGCATTTTAGCGAAGCGATCAAGAGTGAAAGAGGGAGTTGCTTCTCCTTTTCCGGACGAGAGAAGAAAGCGACTGGGGAAAAAAAAAGTAATATGAATATGTTTTTCAATAGCCCTTTCTGACAAATTCACATCACTCGTCGCGAGGAGCGCCGTGATTACAATCGCTAACCAAGTACGTATGTGTACTATTCGCAAAACGGTATTCAGCCAGGTTCCAGCATATCGATATATATCTCGTCTCGTAGTAAACGACAATCCGTGTCGAGACATTATACTCAGTACTCTAGGCCTTAAAACGCACATTATCTCTCCATCGTCATTCCCGCGATCTATACTCGTACTCACAATTTACATAGATTGTAATTGGAGTCTGATAGGATGGGTCATACATAGCAGCAGCATCAGCCTGTCAACTTTTCAGGTGGAGGTTCATTCCTCCCTCCCTGCTCCTTCACAGCCGAGAGATCGGATGAAGAGAATGGTTGTCAACGGCCGCTACGTACGTTGACTGATTGGTCGCTGTTTAATCTATCTGATAGCTGGATTAATGCCTACTAGGTATACTATAGAGTGTCGCAGTATAATTATTGAAAACATGTTCTTCCAATCAGAGTGATATTCGGAAATGACAAGGACTGTACTGTAAATCACGAAATCATCTCTTTCTGTTCTAGCATACTACTGTCTTATTTCATTCAGCATTTACGTGTCAGAGAATTTAAGGAAAGAAATTTTCAACAAAAGAGTTAGGACTGATCGTCGGTTTCCTTTAAATTTTAATTCGAAAGAATTGACCGACTTGCTGTAGCAAGTCGGCACCACCAAGGCGGGACAGTAAAATTTGCTCCTTTTTAATAAATAAAAAATCAACCAAGGATTGTATAATAATTATTTTTGAATAAAGAGATGCACCGTATGGTGTTTGATATTAATCAATTAATTGAATTTTAATTACAAGTTATTATTCTTTTATTGTGTTGAGTTAAAGTAGTAAAAATGGTACTTATGATTTTTTTTTTCGATTTTATTAATGAGTATATATCAGAATTGCCGCGTAAAAACTAGAATAAGCGAGGAACACGAAAATCGGACTTTTATTTAAACCTATCAAATGAATACGTGCATTATTATCAACTTTTATTTAATAATTATCACCTCTAGTAATAAAATAGATTAAGTCCTTTTTTTTTCCATCTATATGACGTTTTTTTTTAATTAAAGTGGTAGTTGTTAAGATATTCGCAATAAATAAGTAAATTCGAATTATTTGGGACAGTTTTTAGCTATATTTTCATTACATTTTATTGTATTATATCATCCAAAATAAATGCATTTTGATATTTTTAATCCACATTTATAAGGCAAAGTTTTTTAAGCATATAAGTATTTTTTTACTTTTATTTATATTGGTAGTTGTTGTTTAATAAGTGGTATACCGTTACTGTCCCGCCTTGCTGGGTGTGTCCCGCCTTGGTGGTGCCGACCTGGCTGCGCCAGGTCGGGATTTTTTACAAATTAAATTCAAGGTAACCGACGATTGGGTCCATGAGAAACGAATGCCGAATTTTTTTTTAAAAAAGAAGAGTGATCAAGATTTTCAAGTATTCCATTAACGACACGGATGCTGATGCTGATTTCGAAAACTCTCTAACCACCCTCCTACTCCCCCATGCAGAAGCTCCCATCCCATCATCCTTCCCACAACCCAAGATCGCCTAATAGCTAAAGAACGAGCTGGTTATATCCATCCGTTTGTCCGCCTCTCTGACGATCCATCCGCCCATACCTGTTCCACAACTCATCCAATCCACCCATCCATCTCCCACCAAGCCGCCAGCCATCTGCAGTTTCTGCACCCAGATCTAAATCTCCAAATCTCCAAATCCCCAAAATTTCAAAATTTCAAAATATCGAATCGAATCTAACCGAGCCGAAAGAAATAAAAGGAAGCGAGTATAAGCGAGAGTTGTCGAGAGCGCGAGAAGGAGCCGGAGTGATGATGATGAACGCGTGTTATATGTTGGTGATGTTGTGTACGAGGAGAAGAGGAAAGGTCTTCAAGAGAAGATGGAGGGGGAATTTATTTTCCACAGCTGGAGCAGCTGCAGCCGGTTCCGCAGTTGCCTAGGTTGAGGATGTTAGAGAGAGGGTGTATGGGAGAGCGATTTACTGTGATGATGTGCGGCTAGGGATATGTTTGTGATGGTTTAGGTTGTTGTAAAGGAGGGAGGGGGGGGGGTGGGGGTTTGCCGAGGGAGATAGAGAGATGGAGGGAGGGAGAGCTAGGGGAGGGAACATACAGCTGGAAGAGCCAGAGCATCCACATTCTCCCTTCATGATGATTGATTTATTGGGGGTGGTGGTGGTGGTGGTGGTGGGAAGTGAGTTGAGTGTTGAGTATTGAATGATGTTTCTTGTGGTTGTTGATTGTTGTTGTTGTCGTCGCTGATAATGCTTTAAGCGGGCAGTCCTCGAGCTTTTATACCTCCAAAGTACTTCCAACCTCCAACTACAGCCGATCTAACCCTGCATCCCATCCCATCCTAAACCCGTTTACACCGCTGCCTATCACCTGCGCCTTTTGTGCCGTTTTCGGTCATACACCCAGCGTCACACATCCCACATCAGATGCGTTGTTTGTGCGCTTTTTTGCCTCCTCCCATTGGGGGGCGGCGGCGGCGGCGCCAGTATTCTTCGACGACGTAAGCCGGATACGAGGCTAGAAGATCGGGATCCGACAGGGAAGTGGATGTTCCAGTTGGAGTCTAATCTCCATAATATATGCTGACTCGGTAAGCCGTCGTCCAATTGTGTCTAGCATGATAAGACACGCGGCTGCAATTTGATACATGATGTTTTGAGTTTTTTTCGCGTTTTTTTTTCCCCCAAGATATCGTGACAGCATTAATCTAAATGTTTCCATCTGTTTCTTTTCCGACTTTTCCTTTCTCTATCGTCGTCTCTCCTTGCTGTATCCAATAGCTCTTGCAAAGTCAGGTCTGCTGCGGGTGCTGGCTTCAAGAGTTTTTCGAACAGCCAAGTCCACCCTACATTGCATTGCGTTGGATCGGATCGCACTGCATTGATTATTCGATTCGCTCATCGGCGGGCGTTTTTTCCGCCCAATGGAAATCTGCTCAACGCATGGAGAGAAGCATCGTTTTCTCCCCCTTTACAAACTGCCTCATTCCTGCTCTCCGAAATTTCAATTTGCTCAGCGCAGGTATATATATATATATATATATGTGTGTGTGGTTGTACTCACCCAGGACTTCCCTTTCAGCTGCTCGTGGGAGTTCTCGCGTCGAATATACCTGACGGGCTCAGTTCGGAAGTAAACAGTCCAGAATGGCTCTAAGGACGAATCCAAGACGGCGATGACTTTGCTTATCTTGGCGGCCAGACGACGAAGAAAGGATGGAATATGATTCGGAGTCGGTATCGGATGATGATGATGATCAAGAGAGGAGAGGCTTTGGGTATCATTATTTGGAATACGACCGAGTCGACTCACCATCTTTCATTGCATTCGCCCTCGGGGGTCCAGCATGAGGGATGTGTCGTGCATGACATGACATTACATGACGCCGTCAAAACCTTCTTTTCATCACACTCTTCTTCTTCCTCCTCGTCACTCATCCATCTGTCCATCCATCTCATCAACACTGTCTTCAATACGCCGATAAACAGACGGACAGATAGAGAAATAAATCTCGGAACTAACACAACACGGCGGTAAGGAATTTCCTCGCTAATTCTCAATCCTCCTTCAAAGCTGCAAAGACGAAGAAGGAGACGTTGCCTAGGTAATGGTTGTTGGGATTTCTTTACCCTTCTATTGGAGGCTGGCCCAGACTCATTCTGTGTTGCATTATATCGTTGTCTCATTATTAATATTACTTACTATATTATATTAAATTTATTTGCATGAGGTACTTCTTACTCACCCCTCCATCACATTACCCCTCCATTTCCTTATCACAGACTGTACGTAATACCCTGCTTTAAACCGAGGCAATGTTTTTTTATTCTCTTTTTTTTTTAAAAAAAAAAACCTGAGGCAGTCGCCAACTCGGCAAAAATATCTTTTTTATGATCTATGGATAATGAAAGTGGCAAAAGTTAGCGTGATTGCCACTATTTCCTCTTTACCAAAACAGAAAGGAGCCGCTCAATCAGATCAAATATATCTCCTTCCTTCCTAATGTGCACCGCTATTTATCAGAAACACCCCTTCAACTTCGCTTCTCTAACCTCGACACACCAGTCTACCTACCTATCCACTTCCCTTCCTTCTCTTTTCATTCCCCTTTTCCCTTTCCCTTTGGTCTTGACCGTTAACTAACCTTCATTCCCATCCATATCCCGATTCTAATCCCAATCTCAGACCTTCCCTTAGGGGGAATAAAAAAGTATTGCTTCTTGCTAAGAAACAAGTGCTTTGGTTCCACGAGATACATTATCCCGAGATAACCAATCCAGGACGGGAGTATTACGGTAAAAGCGAGACCTACTATCATATATCCAAAGTCTCCCCTCCCTTCCCTTCCCCTTCTCTTGTCTCTTTTACATCTTTTTCGAGACCAAAAGCCGATAGTTATAAGGATGAATACATAAGATCCCCAACAAGAAACACACAGTACATATGTAGCAAAGATACGCAAAAGGAGAGAGAACGGCTGCGGTCTACGGTCTCTGGATTCAAGTTTTGGCTTTGCACTTGTCTAGCTTTAATGCCTCTGCAAGATTCGAAACTAGGTGGGCTGGCTAGCTAGCTTGCGGTAACCCTGATAGAGGTATGGCCTTTTCGGATTACAAGATATAAAGAGAGATTGATTGATTACTCACGTACAATGAGCAATCCTAACTCCACTACTTGCCGTCAACGTCCACTTTAAACTCCCGCCGGATTGCTATAGGAAAGAGAGGAAGAAGAAGAATAACCAGAGCCAGAAGGCGTATATAAAAAAAAAACCTCTTTGCCTTACACTCCCTCGAAATCTCCACATTCCATCTCCCTTTCTTTCTTTCTTTCTTTCTGCATGAACCATACCTACCCCGACCCATCCATCTCCTATCCTAGACTCCGTCTTTTTAATCTCTTACCACTCTACAAACCCATCTCCAGAATTTGCCGCCTAGCCTGCCAGATCTCGCCCGGTAAAAACCGACAGGGCTGACTAGTTGGCATGCGTACGTACGTTGAGTTACCAACCACTCCAAATCTTCCTACAATCGCTCCCCCCTACAAAAAAAAACGGGGGAGGGGGGAAAGCTCGCTCGTTATCAGCGTCATTCCCAAATTCTGCTGACGGCAATTTTGACAACAAATAAATACCAACAAACAAGCCCTCACTCAATGCGGAATATGTCACCACTGATAGACCGCCTGCCCACAGAAAATGAACACATCAATTCCTTCCTTTCCTTCATTCTTTACTCGCCCCTTCACTCACCCTTCTTTGTCAACATTGTCCTCATGGCTCTTCTTACCAAGGTATAAAGGAGTACGTAGTAGGTATATAATAGACATCAACTAGCTAGCTAGCTAGCCAGCTGGTCAAATCCAACAAGAAAACATAATAAAATAGAGTGAATAAGCGAGTAAGTATAAATGAAAAGAATACGCTCGCTCGCTCATCAGCTGGCTCGCCGTCAGTAGGTATCATGCCCAATTCTCCGCTGTCAGTCATCCCTTTCTCCTTCTCTTTCTTTACAACAAACAGGAACAGATACCGGCAAATAAGCCTTTAAACTCAATATATAATGTTTATTTCGCTACTAATACTCTGTACCCTGCCTCCCCAAAGCTTACTACTTATAAACCGAAAACCCATACCCCTTTCCTCATTTCCCCTTTCTTTCCCTCTTTCTTCACTCTTCTTTATCTACTTGTCCTAAGGGTCGCTCTTGCCAGTAGGTAGATGTGTAGAAGAAAAGACGAAATAGGTGTATAATATACATACATCTATGTCCACTAGCTGCCTAGCAGGTCAAATTCGACGGGAGAATAGAATAGAATAGAATAGAATAGAATAGAATGTAACGGAGTGGAGTGAAGTGAAGGTGAGTAAGTAACAGGGTGAATAACCAAGGTGAGTAGATAATTGATTGATTGACTGCTAACGAGCTGTTGCCTCAAGAATAGAAAAAGAATATATATGTGCTCGCTGGCTTAATATGTTACCGGTACTGCAGTCTAGTTCAATGGGGTCCCTGTATCTGCGGGGGAGGCGAGTTGTCGAATAGATGAGAGCGGGAGGGAGGGATGGATGGATGGATGGACTTAGACCCAAGAGAGAGAGAGAAGGGGGAGGGTTAAATATCTTATGAACTCCGCGTGCTGATTCGTGAATCGTGACTCCTTCTCAATACAAGACAGACGCGAGTCAGTAGGGAGTTAAGCGAAGTAAATAAATACCTGAATAGCGCTGCCACCCATCGATCTCTGTCGTTTTACACGACGGCGCTTCTTCTCCTGGCCAAAAGGAACTCGACCACGGATCCTATCAAGCACGATCCTGAAAAAGTAGCTTTCGTTGCAGCACTTTGAATTGCTTTTTAAGGCCATCTTGTATGTAATTCTTTAGCTTAGCACGTCGCCGTACCCTCTGGGAGGCCATGAGGCGGCAGGCTTCGCCTGCTACCCGCCCGACGTTAACAAATCCAATAACAACAACAACAACAACAACAACAACAACAACAACAACAACAACAACAACAACAACAACAACAACAACAACAACAACAACAACCACCCATCGATCTAACGTTCTCTTGGTATCCATGCCCTGGGAGATACTAATGTTGAAGAAAGTCTCTTGCATTTTGCTGAACCGTCGTGGTATCATACACCCGTACTCGCTCGCTTAAACATACATATATATATATACATTTCCTCATGAGCTTGTCCCAAGCCTTACAGAAAGTTAATGCCCACCCCAAACTGGAAGCCCTTCCTCCCCTCCTCGCCTCTCCTAAGCACAAGCGGCAAGCTGAAGTTCAGCTCAAACCTCGCCACGGGATGCGCATATACCACGCCCACGCCGGCTGCCATGCTCGGCAGTCCATCACCGAGCTGCGCGACGGTGCGGTACACGCTCTTCTGAGTATCCCCCCCTGCGTAGTCCAATGCTAGTAATCTCCCCGCATTGACAAAGAGCTGCATCCGTAACGGACTCTCCTTGCCGACTCGAGGAAGCGGTACCAGCAGGTTGGATGATGCAGCAGCAAATATGTCACCGCCTACAGCATCTGGCCCGTCCCTTGGCCCTAGGCCTGACATCTTGAAGCCGCGGACATCTGTTGGGCCGCCGAGTTGGAAGCGGTCGTTCACCCTGCTTCCCTTTGCTGGCCCTCCGGATCCAACGGGTAGAGGATACAGCATGCCAGCTCGGAAACCAGATGTGAAGCTCACACCACTGTCCCCCTTGATACCCGGTACAGGAACCTTTAGAGCAAACGAGCTTTCGAGCTCTGATTTCCAGAACCCAACGTCTCCTTTCAAAGGACCCCATCCTGCAATTTCCGACACTGTCTTGAGCAGGTATCCTGAATTGGGCAGGAACGGGTGGTTTCTCTTGTCCGTGAGGAAAGTGTGTGAGATACTGCTCTTTACGCTATCCCCCGCATCACTCCTCACCGTCGGGCTTGCATTCGCAGCTAAGCCCGTAACCTGCCTCCACAACCCGGAATAGCCTACGACATGTTGGCTGCCCCCTTTCGTAGCCCAGCTGTACTTCACGCCAACCCCTTTCAACATCTCCTCATGGCTCGCCCACCCTTTCAATGTACTGCTTTGCAGCGCATCCACCGTCACCCACTTCGTAGGATCACTATTGACGGGTGCTTTGAAGGCAGCTTCGTAGAAAGAGCGTGTGCGGGTTCCTTTTGAGGCGGAGAGATTCAGAGACTCGGCGCCGCCAAAGATGTTGCGGAGGGTGGCGTTGGCGTAGCCGGATGCTTCGACATTTCCGAGGTCGGTGCCGGTCTTGAGAGAGAGGCGGGAGCGCTCGGTCGCGCGTAGGTAGATGTCGATGTCTGTGGGGGTGGAGGAAGGGTCGGAGGGCGATGACCGGTCGATGAATGTGAAGAGGGAAGGGTGGAAGATGTCTGGATATTGTGTTAGTGTATAGGCATATAGGTATATAGGTATATAGGCATGTAGGTATATAAGTAGCGAGCTGGAGATGGATGTACCAAATGCCCTCAGCTTATCCGCTGCAGTGCCAACTTGTTGCAATGCTTCCTGAAGAGTATACGGAACATCTTGATTGGCAGAGAGGATGGGATCGAAGATTCGGTCTAGAAATGAGCGGCGGGTGTGTTTTACACCGATGAGGCGGATGGAGGAGATGGTGACAGGGAGGGAGGAGTTGGACCCGATCTGTGCTTGTGTGTAAGAAAGGACCAAGTTCAATGCTATACATAAATAGAGCAAAACAAAACAACAAGAATCGAGTAGGGGCCAGTAAACAGACCAATTCCATCAGCCTCTTCTGCGCCCGGGCATTCAGCTCAGCCTCTCTGGCGGCAACAACCTTTGCCTTCTCATCTTCTAGCTTGGGGTCGCTCTTTTTACGAAGACTTTCGAAAAGCTGGGGACGGATGTTAGCAATCGACTGGACTGGCACTTGGCTAAACGTTACATGATATGTGAATAGCAAAACGTACGTTGTCTATAGAATCATCGGCCATTGTGAATGTCGAAGAGGGAATTTGTTTGGTAAATAAATACTTGCCCTGCCCTGCCCTGCCCTGCCTTGCCTTGCTGTAAATATTTCGCAGCCTCGTGCTAAGTAACGTGATGTCGTGCTGAATCAGCACACGTTGGCGGGGATGATGGGTGAATGCGCAGCCAGCATAAAGACAGCAACGTTGACGGCACCAACAACCATCCAATCCAATCCAATCCAAGAATCAGACTGAAAGTCAGCAACAACGAAAGCGACAGCGGCGACGAGAGCGGCGGCGATAGCGAAAACTACAACCGCAAAATACCCCCTCCGCTACTTCAATACCACCAACGCGACCCGACCATCAATCAGCCTTGAGCAAAGCCTCACCTCCTCGCATCCTCACCATGGCCAGCCGAGCAGCCAACAACCGGGTTCGTCGTCCTCCGTACACCCAGAGATGGAAATAGTGGCATATGCTAATCAATGTCAACAATCAGCTCACCCGCGAATACAAAACCATCTCCGCAAACCCCCCGCCCTACATCACCGCCCACCCCTCCGAGTCCGACATCCTCGAGTATGTCCTTTTCCCTTATATCTACACTCCACATATCCTCCTTAAACCCAATTTTAACACCGTTCCAGATGGCACTACATCCTCACCGGCCCCCCTGATACGCCCTACCACAATGGCCAATACTGGGGTACCCTCATCTTCCCCCCCAGCTACCCATTCGCGCCCCCGGCCATCCGCATGCACACCCCTTCCGGCCGCTTCCAACCCTCCACGCGCCTTTGCCTCTCCATATCAGATTTCCATCCCAAGAGCTTCAACCCGGCGTGGGAAGTCAGCACGATCCTCATCGGCCTTCTCTCCTTCATGACCTCGGAAGAAATGACCACCGGCTCGGTCGGCGCTACAGACGCAGAACGCAAGTGGGCCGCGCAAAGAAGCAGGTGGTGGAACTCTACAGGTGGCGGCTCCCACGCTTCTATCACTGGGAAGCCCGGCCACAGAGGAAACGTCAAGGCTGGAGACGGTGGTGTCAAGTTCAGGAGCGAGTGGGAAGATGTGGATAAGGAGAACTGGGCGTGGATGAAGGAGAACAAGGTCGACCTTGCGACGGGAAACTCGGTGCTGAGCGAGAAGGAAGAGGGGGATAAGCAGTGTGGACCGGGCAAGGGGGGGCTGAGACGGCCGAATGGGAGTCAAGCGTTGGCGGGTGCTGTGGTCGACGGTGGGAGAGCAGTCGGTGATGAAGGAAGGGGCTGGGTGAGGAGGAATAAATTGTTATTATTTGGTGCTGTGGTCTTCACGTATGTGTTGATTGCGAGACTACTTGGTGATGGGAAAACTCACTAGCGGGATGAATGATCTTTATGTACAACAATCTAGTTCTTGCCCCTTCTCTGTATTGTCAGTCTAGGATACAGCGAGGCGTTACCAGGCTTACGAAAGCGAATTCCAATCAATTTCTGTTTCCTAACCCCTGCCCCTTCCTATCTTGTCTTGTGATCCATTATCAACATTCCATCCCGAGGCCCTAAACGCATTTGCACAAGTCATGGAAAACCCTCAGTATTCCCTCCCAGCATTTTCGAGGAATCACCACATCTTAGCCGCAGAGCATAAGAGGAAGTCCGCAATAGAGTCTTTACACGACTTTCAGCTAGCCGACGGTCTCTACTCCGGATCTCAGTTTTCCACGTTCCGTCACCTTGTTTACCAATACGGACCAAAATAACACACGTACTTAAAAGGCACACACCTTGTTTTTGATCGAATCAGCATGACATTGGACCTACTCAAAAAGCATGTCTGTCCCGTCTATTTGTATCCCGGCTAGGCTGTCAGGGGCTGTTGTTTATTATCTTGCTGTCAGTTTGCGCCTCTTCTTCTTAACCCATTTATGCGACTCGTGAATCTACTCATTGGAGTGATGTCAAGTTTTTGTCTTTTTTTGGCCTGCGTCCTTTGCTTTGCTTTGCAGGTTAGATAAAAGCAGGATCGGGCAGGCGAAGTTGGGCCAGCTGTTATATAATATACATACTACGCCAGAAGATTTCTTCTCAGATCTGTCTCTGACGTTGTGGTTTTTGTATTCTGGGGGGGGGGAGGGGTACTTATGCTGGGAGTCGAGTATGTTGGCGGGCGCGGGCGGGGGAGAGGGGGAGGGGATTGAATTCATCTTTCACCGTGTTCGGGCTCTTCTTGAAGTCCATGCCGCTGGGGTTGAAAAGGACTGCCCAGCCCAGCAAGTTGCCCTCGCAGATTCCAGACCTTATATATTTCCCACCTTTAAACATAAACAAAGTTCTGTTGTGAATTCTCTTATTATAGTTGGAAGCGGAAAGCATAGGCCTATGAGCCAGGTAGGCAAGAGCCTTTTGATACTGTTACCGCTATGTCCATGTTTGGTCTTGCGGCGAAAGGAGTCAGTAGTCACCTTTAACCGCGTCTCAACTACTTGATGACTTGGAGCTTGGAAGTAAATCAGGGGCTCGGTGGGCCACGACGTCGTTATTCTGATAAATGATAAGTAAATCAGACCAGTTCTTCCCTTTCGTTGGCAGTACATACGGAGAAAATCCAATCCGAAAAAGCTGAGGTCCCGCTACGTGGGCTGGCTTCCAGGAATTGGTTTGATAGACTCTGAGAATGTACCGATTGTTTTCACAAGTCGTAACCCTTTTGCTAATGAGCATTGCAAAGGGGCTTGGTACACCCTCTCTGGCTAAGTCGTTTTCATTGTCGCTTGATGGAAAGCTATCAAATTTTTATGCTTTGATATAATCAGTTTACAGATATAGTTACAGTTACAGTTACAAGAGGAGATATGTCCATTTGTTCCGTGCACACCCCGAACTGTTCATTCTCTTCGTACTTCGTCCGTATCCCCTCACACCGATGTCCCTTATAAACCCTGGACCTACTGCCACACTCCCGCATTTCTAATTTTCCAGTCGTCTCTCCAATCAATCCGATCGTCACCATAGTTTTCCTTCAGGTTCTGTACTGATTCAAAGCATGTGGGCCTCAACTCCAAATCGTTGTCATTTACCAATTCTGTTGGAATATTCATTTGATAGAGCCAATAGCGATCCGGAACGGATGAGAAGCGCAGCACTCTCTCGGGCTTTGGCATCAATACCTCTGATGTCGATGCTTCTGAGGTCGATGCCTCTGATGACTTGGCCAAATCCAAGATGATTTGGATATACTCCAAGATGACTTCTTCCTCCTCGCCCCACAAGTTTTGTTTCACAGTCTCACCGTCTGCATTCTTTTGTTCGTAGGATTTCGGGACCCAGACTTTTTCGATCTCTTCCATCTTCTTCTTGTTCGCCTTGATAACGCAATACCGACTCCTATCTTCTTCGTCGACATCCCAATCGGGTTTGTTCACTATTCAGATTATTAGCTCCGCGTCATTGGTACCGGTCTATATAGATCAATCAACTCACTCATATAAAAGCCAGGTCCTATTAGCTGATCGGGTCTGGATTCCTCTACAGGTAGCCTGTTAGTATGCATGATGATACGCTGAGCCTGCCTCTATAATTCGCGTCATCAGTATAAGCGTATACTATACGGATCAAGTGAAACTTACGCTAGAAACCTTTGCATAGCCGATGACTTGGTCATGAGCCCCAGGAAGTCCTTGAGCTCCATTGAAGAGAGAGCCCAAGGCTAGCAAGGTCGCCAAGGTAGACTTCGACCGTAGCATCGTATTTGTATAAGTCTTTCAATGATGCGAGCTGGCGAAAGGGAACAGCTTGCAAGGGAAGAAGATGATGATTGAAGTCCGAGGCAGGTAGGTAGGTGCACGAAGAAATTAATATATATCTCTTTCCTGAACTGTACTCGGAATTTCTACGACGGCTATAAATAATCGTACGGCGAACAACAATCCGCGCATCAGCTATTATATTTGTCTTTTGGTTCTTATCGGCTGACTTTTTATAGTATTGCAATATTCCTTTTCAATTTGAATAGATCAACGTAATTACTGATAATCGCTGGTTACCTTGAATTTAATCCGTGAAAAAATCCTGCGCCAGGTCGGCACCACCAGGGCGGGTCGCTTAATTGTGCCTTTATAAAATCGATAGAAAATCAACCACTTACCTATATTTGTCTTTTGGTTCTTATGTCGAAGATCATCCTACCTTGGTAAATATTAAGTCGGATTTGCGCTTAGCTAACTGTTTATAGTATTGAAATCTTCCTTTATCATTTGAAAGGATTAACGTAATTACTCGTGCGGCCAGCTTATCTGTCTCCATGCGTTGATCTTTGTAAACTGGGGAAAGGGATTGTGACGCTCTTGGCTGCGCTCAGATTTAATAAATTGGAATCTATATTTGGGTTGATTTTCGACATGGGGACAGATAGGGTGTGCTGGCCGCACGAGTACTGATAGTCAGCGAGCGTACTGACTATTAAGTAGTTGGTATCCTATCCCAAAGTCATTGATCTTATAAAAGTCAGAATTGCTTTAACGGTACAACAGGTGCAAAATGACCACGCAATGTCATTTAGTTGTCTCGCGTCCAGGTCCATGACAAAGATCGAGGTCAATTCTTGAACCGCGCGACCGAGGGTCATTCCAGGCCATCGTTCCGAGCAAAGCTTCTGAAAGAAAGCTCACATGTTCCATCCGACAATACGTATTAATATATAACAGTGAAACACTATTGGGAGCATAGATAAGGGTGGTGAGAAGTAGGTAACGAAGTATACCAAGGAGTATTTATCAAGTATATTCATCAAGTCTGGAGTTTGCAAACAAGACTCTGAAGGAGCCTTATATTCTGGTGCCAAGGGCTGTGTGTCTAGCATGCACGTGCCCTAGACATGCGACCTAAAGGTCTATGAGCTATTCCAATAAATACTGTGGCACTTCGCTATTCCCTTATATACATTATATATATATATACACATATAATGTGAGTGAGCATTGCGATATTCACTGCCGCACTTTACATGCATAATGAACTGCTTGCAGAAAGCAGCCCCTACACTTGGATATATATTTCTACCACGGATAATTCAGCTGAAAAAACCGCATAAAAGCAAACTGGTTTAACAGACGTTCGATGAACGCCAGATGGAGAATCAATACATATCATCACGCCCCATCCTGTCTCGCACCGAACTTGTCCGGCAGCTGAGGTACCGTGGGCGACACTCCCGTGCTCTCGATACGCTGGTACTATTTCGCGTCTTGAAAACATCGGGTCTTTCGCTTGTTGCCAATACAAATTCTGCTGTCATTGCGTGGGCTTGCAGTCGAAGAGGTGGGGAGCTGGATAGAAAAAAAGACTTATGTGATTCAGAATAGTAGAGAGCCTGGAGCAGTGGACTTTGGTGCGTTTTAAAGCAAGAAAACACTCGCTCTTGATTGGATTCATCATTGGAAGCAGACTTCACTTCACTTCACTCCACCTTTACGTCCACTTTAACTTTCACGTTCAATATGGGCAGCTAGAAAATAGAATGAAGCATTATATATAATCCCATGCTAGCTCATTCTATAAATTACCCGCAGCTGTACTTGGGAACTCGATATGAAAGACGCTTCATCCTGACTCTTTCTGGCGCATGTCCTCACCCACGGATCAAGGCACCTCTTCTAAAATCTGTCGTCTCCCGAATAACGCATGTACTACTCCTACCCGCTAATGAATTTGTCTGTATGCTCAAAATGGATGTGAAGTAGAGCAATGTTGTTTTTTTGTCGACAGTATTCTTGGCGTTGACAATCGCGCTATATTGACGACGATAGACCCCATCCCCTATCGGCAAAAGAAGCGAGAATCTTACAGGAACCATAGACGCCTTTCACCTGAGATTATTGGGTAGACACTGATGGTGTAGCTGATAATAGTCTATTCAAGCCGTGAGAGCCAGCGTGATAAGTGTGCAATCCCTTGCTGATTGAATTTAGTGCCATTCCCAGGCCGGCGAAATTGAGGAGGTGTAGACAATAGGCAGCCGGGCTTTTGTAACCCCTCATCTCAGCTCACTTCTTTGGCAAGCATGCCGAAATCATCACTGGGATATTAAATAGGTAGTAGGCTGATGCGTCCTCGCTCTGTTCTAAAGTTTTCGGACAGCGAATGGAGTGAAATGCAAAGGCGAGCCTTGGCATCTTTTTGCCTTTATAAAAACACATGCGAAAAAAGAAATTGCGGTTGAAATTATCAAGGCATGTGCTGTAAGATGTTTTTATTTAATATATGCTTATGTTCTAGTCATACTGAAAATGTGCGCAGTAATCATAAGGAGGAATTCTACAGGGACTTACTCAAAAGAGAAAAAACAATTTAGTAATGTCTTTTACGAGGTCATATCGGAATCTTCAACGGACCAGCTACGTAATGGTTCTTGGATCAAAGTGCACAAGCCCTTTTATCTTCAAACTCACAGAATTCTGTCATACCATGCGTGTCAAAACCAGAGCAGGATAGAGAAACGTGCATACGCACCGCAAATTAGCCCTCGATATCTTCCAGAAACGAGCCTTCCTCTACCCGGTCCGAAACACTGACGTGATCCGTCCCGATTCTGAGCCCGAAGGTGTAGCTGCCGGCGGCCGCCTATGAAAAATTGCCAGGATTTGAGTACTGGAAAAATGAGCCGGTGGAGGTTATCGCACGATGGGTCTAGAATAAGACGGATGCTTTTGAAGTGCGAGACTGGGATGAGTCTGTCAAGTCTTGGGATGAGCTGACGGATGGCTTTGAAGCATGGGATACGACACAGAAGATGGTAGAGCGGCGAGGTTGTAAAAAGCTGGTAGATGGCGAATGGAATGCGGAAGGAGAGCCGAGCATTGAATTGATACGGGCAGAGCTTTATCGATTCGATATTTGGTGTGGTGGGAAAAGGTGGCAGGACTTGGCTTGGATTGGAGTGGTACAAGATGCAGTAGCTAGGGGCCTAGGGCTGGGATTAGCGAACTCTGAGGTAGAAGATGGAGTTGTGGATGATCTCTAGTCTAGCCTTGTGCTTACCATATAACCTGAGATACTGTCTATAAGTGAGGTGAGACATACAGAGACTCTTGTGACTATTGTAAACGTGAAGATCAGTTCGTATTTCTTTGCTCGGCAAGTGCAATTGTGCCGAGTGTTAGAGTAAGAAATTCTTACACTACGAGGTCTGTGCTGTTGCTGCCAAGCAACTCTCGAAGATACGGGTAGTGACTGCCAGTTGGAAGAAAGACTAGCTAGTGTAAAAGGAGAACTGTATATAGTTCTCTTTCTCTTTATAAGGATTCTCTCCTCTTTAAATAATCGAAATCAATACCTTTTGGAACTACCTTTTGCTTCCCTATCACAAGGAAGAATTATCTTCTTACAAGTTATGAGCCTTTGATGCTTAAAAAGTGACGGAATACGCAACTCGCAATACGCAACCCGCAAACTCGTTAATTGACTTGAGTTCTCGCCTTGTGCGAAGTACTACCTGGTGGTAGTAGGAAACCAATCCTCTCCCTTCCCCCTTCTATTAAACTATCGATCGTCGCTCGGCATCAATCCTTTATCAATTCATTAGCATAGCTACTACTCGAGAAAAATTCGCTAGAACAAGATAATAGAAGGGCGTAGAGACCTTTACTAAATCGAATTCAAACGAATGGTTCGAGACCATCGAAACGGTCGCATAAAGCGAGGATGTCGCTTATCTATTAGACTACTCGGAATCCGAATACTGCTACACAACAATTACTAAAGCACTCTTGCAAAGATACGATGTTGGTGACGGCACTTGGAAGGTCTTGAAAGGACTCGATAAAAATGAATACGATAAATTGATATACGAGAATAAGGGTCTTTTAAAGATATTTCGGGTTGAGACGGCGAAATTTAAACTCAACCTCTTTCGGAAGCTTAGCGAGTTCGATCGTTAAAGGATTAAGGACCTCTCCGATATCAAATCTATGATCCAGAGGCTAAAGATTATCTATACCGCTACTATATTCCGATCTACACAAATCAAGCTTCAGGCTCTTACTAATTTCCGCATGGACCTTAGAATTTCCTTTAGCAATAACTAAGAACGCGTCTTGGTGTGCCGCCGTAAGGCACATAAAGGCCTAAGGAAAGATCAATTCGACGACGATTACTGCTAGTTGATCTTCTGCACTAGACTTGTGCTTTTAAAGACATACATACCGTTGTGCGATAGCTTCACCTCTTTTATAATAATAGATCAGAAGTTAGAACGTCTAGATAAGAAGTGAGAGTCTATCATCAACTTGAAACCTTAAGAAAAGGCATTCGCATCTTATTACTCGAGTGACGAGGGAGCTTATACGGCTAGCCGATAAACGTCTTACAAAGGAGCTTTCTCGGGTCGATAATCGCGCAGTCGTCGACGATCTCGATCTCTTACCTTTAAGGCTGAATGTTTCAAATGCGATTCAAGCAAGCATGCTAGTCTTATATGTCAGTTCGCTAAGATTGGTTTCAAGGCCGCTAAAGATGCTCGAATCTCTAAGGAAAGAGAGGAATCTAATGAGGCGTCACGGATATATCAGCTACCGTTACCTAAAGGAAGACCGACATCCTTTGGCCTTTTGTACACAAACAACTCTTCACTACTTTACAAGACAAAGTCCAATTGGCGTGCTAAAAGCAAATCTAATAGCACTCGCAAAGATGAAAGGGGATTTGCCGCCGATATAAGATCTGATTCTCTAAGCGAGACCTCCGACATCGAGGAGTTCGCTGGCTTATCTTAGGAGAAGCGTAGTAAGCTCTTATTTATATTAGCAGCCGCCGATACTAGTTGTACCAGCTATATGACTGATTCTTTGTCTTTATTCAGCAAGCTATTGATCCTATGCCGAAAAGGGATCTAGGTCGGAAGAAGAAAGCTTTATTCGGATGGCGTTAAGACTGCTCAGATATCGTTGCAAAGCGGGAGGACTATTTACTTAAAGGATACACTGCATGTTCTTGGTTTAAGATGCATATTAGTATCGGCAAAAAAGCTTGCTAGCTCTATTATTATAAGACAATTCGATGATCAGAGGATGATCTTTATACGCAAGTCTGATAATATGCCTTTGATTAAAGCTAAAGTGCGGAATGGATTGTATATTCTTTCGAAGTTCTTTAAAGAGGCTGATAGAATGTCTTTCGCTATTAAGAGCACGCATCACGCTAACTACGACGATGCTGATGCCAGCGTTATGCTTATACACGTAGATCATATTGATCTTTTATTCTAGATAGACTCAATTGATAGCTAGACGTTACTAAAGCTATTAAGACCTTGCCTTTCGAAGCGCACTCGGTACCCAGCTAAGTATGCTGCTTTCGAAGCAGCAGAAGACTTCTAATTTGCTACCGCCAACTTTTACGAGGCTTTGAGTAGTGATAGCGAGGTCTCTTCGATAGACAATCAAGAGCTTAGCGAAGTAGAGCGTTTGCTACCTGATTTGGAGTTCAGCGGCTTTATAGACAATATATCGAAGAGAGAAAGGAACAAAGTGGCGCGCAAGATTAAAAAAGTCGCTATTTAATAAAGCGAAATTCGCTTTAAGGCCGCACCTTTTACATTAAAAGAACGTCGTTTATAACGAGAACTCTTTCGGTTTGTTGCTTATCATAAGCGCTTTAACCATTGCAGCACTAAAGCACTTTCATTATTACACACGGTAATAGATATTAAGAAGATTGTGATCTTTTTAGTCATCCTTTTATGTAAGTCGTGCGCTCGATAAAAGATATTCAAGAAAAAGCCTAAGAAGCTCGCTAAGCATAGCACTACTATACTTAGGAAACTCAATTTTGACGTAGCTAGTCTATTCTCACTATCTATGAGAAGCTACCGATATTTTAGCGAGCTTATAGATAGCTAGACTCGCAAAACATAGACCCTTTTGTTCCGAGATCGGAAAGAAATTAATAAGATATTAACCAAGAAGAAAAGAGAGCTCGAGCGACAATCGGGCTAGCCTTTATTAGCAATAGGTACCGATAATGCGCCGGAAATCCTTAAAACTATCACCGCTTGGGCTAAGGCAAAAAGAATATTTATTTATAACACGGAGCTTTATTCGTCACACTAGAATGGCCTTGCGGAGCGCTCTATTAAAACCACCGAGCATTGTATTAAGACGGCACTTAATGATGCCGAGCTGCCCGTCGAGTTTTGGTGTGAAGCTGCTGAAGCGCAAGCATACACTCGTGCTAAGCTACGTCGAGGCCTTAAAGTAGTGGAAGATATTATAAACGAAGTAACGGGGCAACCTTTCCGTGTGGAGTATAAGATATCCCTTTAGGAGGCTTAGACGAGGAAAGTGCCGAAGGTTAAGGACTATATCAAGACGTAGGGCTGTAAAGTCATTGCTTACGTTCCTCGAGAATCCTTTTTAGCCAAAATTAAAAAAGATAAGCTTATGCCTCCGAGTAAAGAAGGGATCTTTATAGGCTACGACGAGAACACTACCTTTTATTATAAGGTGTACATTCTCGAGATGCATAGCACTATCATTTCGTTTAACGTCAAGTTCTTTAAGGATATTTCTAGCAAGGCGATCGACGATTTTAAGCTTTAAGTTGAACTGTCCGACGGTATATTCAAGGAATCAGATAGCACGTACAATCAGCATATCACTCGTGCGCGTAAAGGACGGCCAAGATTCGCCAACTTACTTATAATAGACTCGGTCCGTAATAAGCAGATTAGACACCTTTTAGACTCCGTCACAAGAGTAGAGAAAGGATTAGCCTTTGGAACTAGAAATCACTCACTCGATAAGACGATTAACTATGACCTCGGAACGCTTTTTGTACTAGTAGCGACACCTTTTCGCGTTATACGATCTCAAACGAGGAATGCTGCTTTTCGGAATAAAGAATCGAAGGGAGCCGAGGCCACTTCGCCTTCAAAGTCAACATCGCTTATTACCGAGACGAAATTAAGCGAGGACTTTAATAATGAACCGAAGGGCCCGACTCCTTTTAGGCAAGACTACTAAGTTGCATAGGTTACTTTTACAAAGACTACCGGTACAAAACGAAAGGCCGACAAAGAGCTTCTTAATGCTTTTAAGACATCGGTCCAGCCTCGGCAAGGCTAGAACTTGCTCGGTACTGAGCTGGATAAGCGTGCAAGTGATACTCTTGACTCCGGTAAACGATATGCTAGGACTTTTACGTTCTAAACTTCGCTTGTTACAGAGAAGAGAAAAGGCTTGTTATTAACAGAAAACGAGAAGGCTATAATAGCTATCTTCGATTGGTTTGATAAAGTTAATAATATGTCGGGTGCTAAAGAGATAGCAATGATAGCGCACGCAGCTAAACATGACATCCTTATTCTTATTACTTATAAAGAGGCTATAGAACATCTTATATACGGCAAGAGATAGAAGGAAGCTATTGATGCCGAGTTTGCTGCGCTTATTACTAATCATATATAAAAGGAACGCATCCTTCCGCTTGGAGCTAATCTTATTAGCTGTAAATGAGTGTTTACGCTTAAGTTTAAAGCAGATAGGACTCTTAAACGGTTCAAAGCTAGGCTCGTAGCGAGAGGTTTCTCTTAAATGTACGGCGTTAATTATGACGAGACATTTGCACTTACAATCAGAATGGCGACCCTTAAGGCATTCTTTGCAGTAGTTGCTTGTGAAGATATAGAAATACGCTAATTCGATATCAAGAACGCTTTTATCGAGTTTACTTTTAAGGAAGAGCTATAGATGAAGATGCCGAAAAGCTTAGAGCGCACGAAGCGAGGGTCCGCGCTCCGATTACTATAATCTTTATACGGCTTTAAGCAGTCTGCACGCGACTAGAACCTTTTGATAAAGGGGGAGCTCTTTAGTTAGGGATTCGTATAAAGCAAGGCGGATCCTTGCTTATTTGTGCACCTCGAGAAGGAAATCAGACTCTTGATGTACGTGGACGACTTGGCTATAGCTGCCCCAGACGTTAAAGAGCTCGATTGGTTTGAAGATCGCTTACAATTACGATTTGTCACCAAGCTAATGGGCGAAATATCAATGATCCTCGGAATTAAGGTTACTAAAGACAGAGCAAAAAGGACTGTTGAGCTTGATCAAGAGATATACTTAGATAAAGTCTTGAATAAGTTTGAGATCTCGAACCTCGTTTCTAATATGAAGAATGTATCCACACTTATGGATAGCTATAACGATCTCCGACCAGCTTCGGACTAAGATAAGAGGGTTGATGCTACTTGGTACTGTAAAGTAATTGGTTCTTTGATGTATGCGATAGTATACATACGCTTAGACGTCGCCTTCGCACTCGGTCGCTTGAGCTAGTACATGCAAGACCTAGCAGAACATCACGCTTTAGCGCTAAAGCGCTTGATGCGTTACTTACGGTTCACTATCTCTTTCGTTATCTCTTTCGGTCCTTTAAAGGACTTAATGGTTTACTCGGATGCAGACTACGGTAGCGATAAGGATAATAAGAAAAGCATCTCCGCTATAGTAAGCCTTATAAGAGGAGGGCTAGTATTCTTCGGAAGTCGCAAACAAACCTCTATAGCTACGGCTATTACAGAGGCCGAATACGCAGCTATATGCTATACCGCGAAGCAAGGCTAATAGGTTGCTTAAATCCTTCGTGATATAAGATTCGGTAGTTATATAGCTAAGAATCATCAAACTGTACAGATGAAAGGAGACAACCAAGGCGCTATTGCACTCGCTAAAAACCCTTATCTTACGGAACGATCAAAACATATCGACATCGCTTATCATTATGTTCGCGACTTAGTAGACCAAAGGAAGTCTTCCTTGTCTTATATACCTACAGCAGAAATGGCCGCCGATGGTTTTTCTAAACCTTTACCGAAAGTCTTGTTTCAAAGATTTGTTAGGATGATAGGTATGACTGATCGATCGAAGCTAGTATCTAACTCTTAGATACACGAGAGACTTCGCTTAGCTTCTTTATATATCGAGAGGGGAGATTGGTTCTCTCGACAAAACAAAGAAGCAGTGGGAGCAGTGGGAGCTGTTAGCAGCACTAGAGTGGGAGTGTTAGAGTAAGAAATTCTTACACTACGAGGTCTGTGCTGTTGCTGCCAAGCAACTCTCGAAGATACGGGTAGTGACTGCCAGTTAGAAGAAAGACTAGCTAGTGTAAAAGGAGAACTGTATACAGTTCTCTTTCTCTTTATAAGGATTCTCTCCTCCTTAGATAACCGAAATCAATACCTTTTGGAACCACCTTCTGCTTCCCCATCACAAGGAAGAATTATCTTCTTACACCGAGCAAGTTCACTTGAAAATATCAACAGTCCAATTATTACAATCAGGAGATGGTAACTGCTGCGGTATTTAGGCGCTATTGAGATAATCCACACGAATCAGAATCGATTTTTGAGAGTCCTATAAGGAATGTTAAAGAAGTGATTCTAGGGCTGGCGAGCAAAGACAGCGAGGATACACTTATAATTAAAGCACAAGTGACCCAAACAAATGCACGCGAGAACAAAAAGCGAGTATGGACTTGGATCTGGTTCAGATTGGATACTTGCACTTTACTGCCATTGCTGCCTGCATCGAGCTAGCGACGTGGCTGAGGGCGGCTGAATTCCTTTGAGCTCAGCCCACCACCACCTCCATATATCAATACCATCGTGCCGATAGGACTCGTACTAAACAGCAAGCCTTTAAGTTACTCTTCTCTGTTTCATTGATCGTATACCTTCAAAATGGATTCACTCGCCCTCGCAGCAAGGGTGTCAGGCCTCACAGGGACGTGTCTCAAAGTCGCCAGCTCACTCCATGACCTTGCATCCAAATATCCAACAGCGAGACGCAAGCTCACCGAGATGTCGGCTGAATGTGCTTCTGTCGCGGCTTCATTGACGCAGTTGCAGAGCTTCGTGCTCCAGGATACGGCTGTGGTAGGCAAAACTGACGCACTCCTCAAGATTGACACCTTCATCAATACATGCAGGGTACTGTTCTCCGGCTTGGATGATAAAATAGAAAATTTGAAGTCGGGTACAGCATCGAGTAAGCCGTGGAATTTGTGGAATAGCCGAGTCAACCTGCAGCTCGGATGGGGTGAAGTGGACATGCAGAACTCGATCGAGGAAATACGAGGGCAGCATGGAGCGCTCGAGGTTATGAAGGAGCTCCTGAAAATGTCAGTTCTAAATTGGTTTCGTCGGTGAGAGATGCTGATGATATGATAGCATCTCATCCGAATCAAACTCCCAGCAGGTCAAAAAACCAAAGCAGGCGACAGGGCGAGAAGCGGCTAGCTCTGAGACTCTTCAGCTTGAGAAGTCCGGTCAGGGTAGTGCAGCTTCAAAACCAGGCCATAATCCTCTAGGTGGTGGCTACAATTTCAACTCAAAAGAGCCCCGAAGGTTTTTGTTCGATGATGTCCTCGCTCAGTCTAAGGCATATCGGAGATTTCTTGGCACGCCCCCTCCAAGAATCGAGCGGGAGAGGTCACTGCCCATAGCAGGCATATCTCCAGATGAAAAGAAGCAGCCGGGAAGCAGTTTTCCTGAGCCGGGATTTACAGTAAACTCGAACTCGGACAGCGCCTTAGACCGAGACGACGAGCCACCGGAATACAGCCCCTACGATCCTTCCCAGGCACCGCCGAAGGCAAACAATAGTCTTACGACTGACACGACAGCGATGTTCAAGGGCTCGAAACCAGAGACACCACATCCAACACCGAGCGACAGGATCCCGCCAACATACGTACCTGTTTCCGGGCCACAGCCGAGTTTCCCTGTCGAGCCGTCCCCCACGTCCATAACGTACACCACGCCCGTGAGCAGAGAGACCTCGGTTCCCGTGCGTCTCTACAATCCCAATCCAGGACGGGTCCACTTCCGCGTACGAACGTCTGCGCCGAAGAGCTATTGCGTCCGTCCTAATCGCGGATGGATCGAGGCTGGATCGACCAACATCGTCAGCTTTGTCGTCGTGCTGAGCCACCAACCGACACTCCCCCGGGGGAGGGGCGGAGATAAGTTTCTGATCGAGAGTATCTTGGTGGACGAGGGCGAGGAGTTCCAGTGGGCGCGGGATGTGGAGAGAAAGCGTGGGGAGATTGCGAGCGTGAAGCTCCGCGTGGACTACGTCGAGAAAGGGGCGGATTAATGAGAGTAGGCCGTTGGTGCGCGCGAATCGATTGTTACAAAGACTGGAAAGAGACTCAGGGCAGATGGTGGGATAAGACGGAAGTTCGGGAGCGGAGGAGTAGCTGAGGAGCTGTGGCTTCAAACCGTGACCAGGGACGAGTTTAGTCTCAGCTGCAAAGCCCTTGGGCCTCTGGATACCAGGTCACGATGAGAGAAATCTTTTGGCTATAGTAAGCGAGGATCAGAAAAAACTTTCGTGCAGTACTGTCGCCAAGCTGATCAGTCATGGTAGACAAGCAAGTTAAGCGAAAGTAAATAATCGACGAGACCTCGGATTGAATTATCTTTGTCCATTTCGTAATAGGCTTGTAGTAGCGCTGATTGAGCTGCCTGGTTTCCAAGTATTCATATCTGCTATATAGGATGCACCTGACAAGAACCGGCATAACTCGATGCCGTAAGTTGAGTTGGGCAAAAAACCTGTAGTAAAATTGGCAAGATAGTCTGTAGCTTGAGATGCATCTATATCCACGCAGATGCTTCACCCTGCATCCCGGTGCGAACGCTCTCCGTATGCAACGCCGTCGCTGTGAAAATGTTTTCATTTCCCAATTCCCCATCCCGAACCAAGTTCCGACTCCACTCCCAATTCCAATTCCAATTCGGATCCCAATCCTGATAAAAATAAACCAATTGTTTACTTCTTCTTCGGCGCCCAATTCTCAAGCCATGCTCTCGCACGATCTAAACTCCCGTTTTCAGCCTCGCACCCAGCGACGCACCACTCAAATCCATACACTTTCTCAGCTGCCAACATCTCCGCCAGCCCTCTCCTCTTCTGACTCCCTTCGTCAACGCAGAAGAACATACTCGCGTCGCGATCCGGCACAGAATCCAACAGTGGCTTCACCATCGGCAGGGCAAGTTGAGCTGTCAATGTTGGCTCGCCCTTCCCAGATTTGACTCGGGCTGTTTTGCAGAATTCGTTTTTGCACCATGGTTTTCCGCAGCCGGTGATGAGTTGAGACAGGTATCGTCGCTCGACGCGCCGTTTCATGGCTTTTCCTTCGGGGTCGTGCATGCTGACGTACAGCGGGCCGAAGCAGATACTACACAATCCCAAGTCATTCCCAGGACCCTGCCCCATCCTGCTCCCCGCTCCAATTTCTCCATTCTTGTCTACTCCGTGCAAGGTCCGTCCACAGTTTACATTTCTACAAATCGCTGGGGCGGATTTCGTAGCCTTTTCAAGCTCGTGGTGCTTCAGGTGCGTAGCCATATCGCGAAGACGGATGATGCGGGAGCAGAGGTGGCAATCGGTTGTACGCGCCCCGTCTGCTAGTTCGTGGGATGTGAGGCCTGAAATCAGTTGCTCAGGGGAGGGATCGAAGGGGTCGCCTTCTTGCGGCACTTCGAGGTGGCAGAATTGGCAAAGGATTATCTTCCCAGGACAGATTGATGTTCGATGACTAGCGAGATCTCGAATATTGGAAGCTTCATAGGGGCAGTTTGGACATTGACGTGAGGTGTGAAAGATGGCGTCGTGGGATACTTTAGAGGAGGGGGTATTGCCGTGCGCAGAATCCTGATCGCAATGCCAATGGTCGGCCCATTCTTGGGACTTCCTTTGAAATACTTCGGAGCAGTGGGAACAGATGACATTGTTCCGCAGGCAAAAGTTTTCGTGGAGCATCATGGTGTGTTTTGGGACCCATTGGCGACAGTTCTTGCATTGCTCTTCTTTGGGACTATGCGTTTCTGTTTCACCGCCCGGCTCGTCCAGCTCGATAACCATTTCGGCTGATTCTTCTGGTCGTTCTTTGGGGATCAATTTGAATCCGATGGAGAATTTGTGGAGTGCTGATGACTCCGCGCCTGTTGCACGAGCATATATTGAAACATAGAGAGATTCCGCATTTTCTAACTCCACATTGGTCGCCTGTATACTTATTTTCTTCAATGACTCGCTACTGAAGTCTCCGAAAACATGTTCGTCCTCTCGAGGTCGGGCTCTTTGGCGTGGCGAGTACGGACTGACAAACAGCTCCAAGTCCTCCCCATCGTCAGCCACCAGCACGATTTCGATTCCTTGCGTGCGGTCCCACGAAGGTAACTGGTAGTCCACATAATCTCCATCCAGCACTTGTCCCGTGGAGGACTTCCAGATACTCAGATCTCCTCCAACGGAACTTCCTTCGACAGTTCCAGGGGCCTGTCGCGACTTGGCCATGATCTGCTTCATAGTTTCTCGCGCCTGCTCCTCGTTCAAGGCCTCGATATCGACTTCGAGATCCGTGTCCACCACACAAATTCCATCTCCCTCGGGCGCAAGCTTGTCGATCAGGAAGCGGAACTCTTCTGACTTACCGCCCTTCACAGTCAAGATCTGCCCATTTGTGAGAGTTGTAAAGTTCTCCCGCATGTGTTTCTCCAATAAAGATTTCCAGTCTTCCGGATTATAGCCAGCTTCCAGCGGCCGTAAGCGCACGTATGTCCCCTTGGGCAGCTGTTTCGCATGGACTGTGATCTTTGCTGGCTCGTCAGCGGAAGCATCGTCGGTAAGGTCTATCGGGGCATCCTGCGTGCCTTCATCGTCAGAATCTATCGTCACTATGTTGGCTTTCGCCCTCGCGGCGGGTTGCGTGACCCCTAATGCCTCCAGCAAGAACGGACTCAGGCCCACTTCGCCCTCCTCGGCCGAGAACTCTCGTATGCCGGCGTGAACCACATTCCCATTGTTCGAGTTGACCAGCCGGAAGGTCAGGGGATTTGGAAGCTGCTGCTGGGTATCTCGCCACTGCGACTGCTCTGCTCGGGCGGCGGCGAGGGAGTAGGGGTTGAAAGGGTCGAAGGCAGAAGCTCGATTTGAGGCGGGGACTGTGATTGTCGATGCAGCGAGGAGCTGCTGGAGGGCTGAATGGGGGAGGAGGATCTTGTCGCCAGGCAGGATCTTGCTATTGCAGCTGCTCTTGGGCGCTACTTTGTATACTCCGGACCAAGTGAGGGTGATCTCAGATGAGGAGGCCATGAGGGAGGCCATTCATTCGAGTGGCAGATGAGGAAGGGAGGTTGAGGGGGGGTTCCTAGGCGTGGTTTTGGGTAAGAATCTGGGGATCATGAAGTTGTCGGCATTCGGTGTTCGGTGCTCTGGACGTGAAGTTGAATGGCAAGATCTGAGCCCGGGGAACCTAACCTGACAGCATATCTAGAAGATGCCATCCGTATTTAAATGCGTCAGCATCGGCGATAAGAAGGATAAGGATAAGGATAAGGGCAAGGCTTATCGTTGGAGTCTCCAGTCACGTGTGGATATCAATATCAATACTATCCCGCCTCCACCACCTCCACTCCTCATCCACCTTTGGCTCATTAGCATCCTCTCTGAATTCCATGCCATGGACGGGTCCAGTCCGGGAATACCTTCACACCCTACGCCTCTGCCAACCACCCTTCTCCAGCTCCTCTCGAATACGCTCGTGCTGGATCAAACCGCTCCCTATCTACCGCTCTCTGCCCGCCTGTCCCTTGGTGCCACCTCAAAGTCCTTCCGCGATCTGATCCGCGATAGTCCTGTCGTCTTTCGACATCTTGATCTGACGAAGCTCAGATTCGCGCGATTTGAGGAGAGTGCTACAATCGATCATGGCGGGCAAGTGTGGAGGAACGTGCGGCTAGACGAGAATGTAACTGAGGACGAGTAAGTCTCATTTATGTTTCTATATAGTTTGGTGATAAATATATGTACATATATATATATATGTATGTATGTATGTATCGCCGAGCTGTATGTCCCTCGCTAACACGGATGTCCAGCTTCTATGGTGCGCCTCTGCAAGCCATCTTTAAGACCCTGGGCCGTCGAAACATCCTGCAAAATGTACACACCTTGATCCTCGATGGCTTGTCTGTGTCTCATAAACTACTCGCGGAAATAATTCTCCAAGACCGCTGGAACGTTCGCACCCTCTCGATACGCGAGGTTCAAAATTTGAATGAACGAAAACTGCAGCAAGCCCTGATATATGCTGTCCGGCCGTCTCGAGCAGCCAACCCCAAGCTGCAAGCCCTATACATATTCGGAGGAAAAGACAACCCATTAAATCTCCATATTTCTCAAATTCCTGGCAATCCTGTTCGCTTAGAACCAAGCGATGCTTGGTCGTCTGATGGGGGCGTTCTCAATGTACCTGGTGCGCAGCTCGGCGCTCACTGGAACCTGAGATCCGGGCATACTCTAGCCGAAGAGTTAGCATCCAGTGCTGACAAGTGGTATCAAACTGGTGGTAAAGTCTTCAGCAAACCCATCTCGCTGGAATGGGCGAATACGCTGTATGCTTGCCAGGGAATCATCGGCTTCGATGCTGCCCTCTGCCATGGGCCTCGTCACTCGCCTGGGACAAAAGAACACAGCCAAGTAAATCCGTGGTATCGAAGTGAAAGTGCTCATCTCTCGTCGCGAGTTGCCACCCACTCTATTGGATGTTGTTCAAATTGTGGGGAGGCTCCAGAGGGGATATCGAGCTTCGGAGTATCGCCTTTAGACAGATTCCCGCTGCTCTCTCCTCCGCCTCTTCATTCATCGACGGCCAAGGCAGCAAAGACCCCATTCTCCCACTCTGGGGACAAGCTCCTTCTGAGGTGTATGGACTGCCTTCGAAATCGTTTCTGTGAAAGTTGTAAAAGGTGGTGGTGCGAGGATTGCTATGAAGTTCCTAATGGCAATATGCCGGGCTCTGCTCCATCTCGGGACATAGTCGGCCCTGCATCTCCGCCGGATCAAACAAGCCTCAAGGTACAATATGGTCTCTGTGTCGAACACTGTCTAGTTGCAGAGATGATGTCCGGGGCTGGTAGTAACGGGATGTGGGGTTGAAGCATCTTCACAGCGGGATGTACGGGACAGCTGCGATTTCTTTCGTCCCATGCCCTGTAGACATGCTGACCTGTTCGAAGGCTGGAGTCGTTCGAAGCTGCTTCGAGTGTGGTCTGAATGTCAGTACACGGTCCAGTCCTTAGATTCTGGCTGACCCCCAGCAGTGTCATCAATGTATCCAGCTCACCCAGCTCACCTGTAAAATCTGTGGTGGAGGATATTGCTCGATTCACAATGAGGGATCGACTTTGACTACTGCAGGTCGCCACGCAATCGATGGGTGCAGATGCTGACTGGTCATAGTGCGACTGTATGGGGCTTCCAGTGTTGCGACTTGAATTCCTTATACTGGACCTTACTAACAAGTTGTACAGGGTGTGCGAGAAGCGGACGTCGAACTCGAGAGATGTATTGACGTGGCAAGCATCTCTTCAAAGGGTCGATAACATCATTCCGCTATGGCATTGAACTCCCTTCACGAGGTAGACACACTGCTCTTGACGAGTGTATTTTATTCCGAGATTTCTGTCTCCGAGGAATAAGCATTGGGGTCGCTTATTCGGCTCGGCGAACTCTGAAAGATTTGGTCGTCGGGGCTCAGTTCAGTTCGGATCGCTTGAGTCAGTCAACCAAGCATTTTATTGTTTACTTGCAATTCCCACTGCATAGTACCCTGAATTCGGTCCCCTCATCAGCCACCCCGACACTACGTACGTAGTACGTTGTACCTATCTTTGGAGCAACCCTGCAAGTCCACAATAAACCTTCAGCTTGAGACAACGATTCGTCATGCATTCCAATCCAATCGATTTATTTGAGTTCAGATCTCGGACGAGGAAGTTTTTGCCAAGATATCCGTTCACTTGTCCACGCGTCTTCCTCGGCCAGGCCAGCCCCGGCGCAATGCTTCTTTTTTTCTTCCCAGCCAATACGGAGACGGACACAAGTCAGTCGTCTGCGAGAGAACACCCTTCCGATCGGTTATTCTCTTGATCAAGTGTTTACTCTGTAAACCGGAATATTGTCAGACTTTCCTAAAGCTTCTTTTTGGGAAACAAAGCGTGTGTGTGTGTTGGTGTATTGCTCTAATCATGTACAGACAGACGGCCGCTTATTATCGCTATTGATTCTTAGATAAGATAGATACTGAACCTACGGTAGCTACCGTCCATCTAACTGTGCTGTCTATCTAATTGAGTACCGATCCGGTTATCTTTCCCTTCCGTCCTCCCGTTCTCCGTTTCCTTATGAATTGGTGATCGATGATCGCATTCATCATTCTTGTTCTAGATAAATCGTGTTTGTCTTACGAGGAGATTGACATCCCTAACCTCCGCAAACCCACTCTGTAATATCTCTTGCTTAGCAAACGCGTAACTACGGACGGACGGTATAGTACGTACGCTTGACGAGTGGGTACGTGATCCACGAAAATCGTCGTCGTAACCTTCATCCGTGTCAACATAGCAAGGGACGAAGTCGTAGCCACTGCGATGTATGTATATATACACGATGGAATCGACTCTAGTGCAGATATTCCCCATCGCCTCTTCATCATCTTCATCTACCTGTCTCCATTACTTCCTCGTCTTTCCTAACCTCTTCTCTCTCCTTGTTTCGATTTCCTCGCAACAACCACCAGCTCTACTTTCGAACTTCCTCGATCCACCATGCAACTCATCGCATCCCTCATCGCGGCTGCAGCGCTTGCCTCCAATGTCGTCGCTCATCCAGGACATGACATCCAGGAGGAGATCGCAGAGCGTGCTGCTTTTATGCAATTCGCCAAGAAGGATCTCAGTCATTGCGCTGCTAAACTGAAGGCGCGCGGCATGGACAAGTCCAACGTTGCTCGCCGGGCTGCGCTGGCCAGGAATGCTCGCAAGAAGCGTTCCATTCAAGAGGGTCAGTCTTGTTCGCTTCCGCCTCCTTCGATATCGCAGATGGCTGATCATACGCAGATGCCCCCTACATGAGAGCCCGAGATTTGACTTCTGTCCTCGCCACATCGCATCTGTCCAGCGAGGCTTACGACAACTCAACCGAGGCGTCTATCCTCTTCTCCGGCAACAGCTCTTGTATCCTCTCTCCTGAGGTGACTCAAGGCCCTTACTACGTGGCCGGTGAATACGTCCGCAAAGACATCACCGAAGACCAAGAGGGCATCGACCTCCTCCTCGATACCCAGGTTATCGATGTCAAGACATGTGATCCCGTTCCTGATGCGATGATCGAGATCTGGCACTGCAATGCCACCGGTGTCTACTCTGGGGTCGTCGCCAACGGTAACGGTGACTCGAGCGATCTGACCAACCTCAACGCCACTTTCCTCCGTGGTCTACAACCTACCGACGCTGAAGGCGTGGCCCAGTTCGCTACGTAAGTGTTCCTCCTAAGCATTTTATATCTCGCCGGCGTTCTTGTGACCAGAGCCTGTCCGGACTCTGTTCTTCTTTTAATCTGATAGACAATTGGCAAGACTGACCCTGAGTTTCGCCACAGTCTCTTCCCCGGGCATTACACTAGTCGCGCCACCCACATCCACGTCCTCGCTCACTTCAACGGCACCCAATATGCAAACGGGACCTATTCCGGCGGTTACGTCTCCCACGTCGGCCAGCTCTTCTTCGATCAAGACCTCATCACGCAAGCCGACACCATCGCCCCCTACTCATCCAACACCCAAGCCGTCACGCTGAACTCGGCCGACCAGATCCTCAGCGAGGAAGCAGCCACCACCGACCCGGTCGTCGAGTACTCGCTCCTCGGCAGCTCCATCGCGGATGGCATCTTCGGATGGGTCGCTTTCGGCATCGATCTGACCAGCGAGCAGAGCATCTCGGCCGCGGCAAACCTGTACGCCGAGGGTGGCGTCGCATCCACCTCCTCCGGTGGCATGGGCGGTGGGGCTCCTGGCAACGGCACTGGCGGGCCCCCGAGCGGATCTCCTCCGGGAATGAACTCTGCGGCCTTGGCCAACAGCACGTCGAACACCGTCTCCTCCTCCTCGGTTGCGGCTTCGGCTGCGGCGACAGGACCTGCGGAGAAGTCGGATGGTGCGTGTGATGCTTAAATACGGGGAAGGGGGGTTTTTCCTGAAGGGGAAATACAAGAAATAGGAGAAGGAGAAAGAAGAAGAAAGAAGAAGGAAATGGCTGAGGTGCAAGTTGTTGTTATTATTCTTGTATTTATTAACGTCGAGCGGATGGCAAGCTTTGCCTGCCGCTTCAAGACCTTTTGTAACGTACGGCCGACGTATTAAGTAAAGGAATTACATATAAAGTATTACCTAACCGAAAGTACCAACTACGTAATCGTCGGTTACCTTGAATTTAATTTGTAAAAAATCCCGCTACAGCAAGTCGGTCAATTCTTTCGAATTAAAATTTAAGGAAACCGACGATTAGTACGTTAAAGAAAAGCTTTGTTTTTTTTTTTTTTTTTTTTTGGGAATTGCTCCGAGTCTTTCATCCCGCGGTATCGCATAGCCCTTACAGCTTTTAAAAGCATTTCAAAGTTAGTATAGCGCAGCTGCTATCGATTATGCTCATTTTTTTAGGGGGGGGGGGTAGTATATCGCCAAAAATATATATATAAGGTATATATATCTTTGTCCAATGAAAAACTTGAAAAGCAAGGTATAGCGTAAATAAAGTATATCAATATCGACTTATCGAAATACTTCGAAGCCGGACCGGAGTCAGCCAAGTAATTGTTGTCGTTGTACTTATTAACGTCGGGCGGGTATCCAAAACGCAATGCTTGGACACTGGGGACCTCCCATGGGGTACGGCGACGCGCTAAGTAGAGGAATTATATACAAAGTGAGCACCATGTAGACCTCCGAAAAGCAATTCATAATGCTGTGCGTCGAGTTTTCTCTCGACAGCTGTCGAATACATGTGGCCCTAGGGGCGGCCTCGATCCGTGTAATACAAACATCGTTCTCTTTACATCTTGGTTGGGGCCTTTTTTTTTCTTTACTGTATAGATGGAATATCGGGGTTATAACCTCCGATCTAAACGCACATCTTACTCAACTACTGAGAAAGTAACCCCACAACGAGTAAAGCCAACCCGATAGGTAGGCTCATCCAGTACTTTGCACTCATTATAACCAGCATGTCCAACCAGCTCAAGTGTAACGATAACATTATCCTATCCGATTCTATACTATATTACATGATACTATTCTATACCGCAAAGCAAAAGCAGATCTACTGATATATTCTGAACCGATCCCATCTCCCCTCGTCCCGTTCATTTCGTTCCCCTTCTTAGATTAACAACACCCCCCAGCCAGCAGGCCAGCAGGCTTTTGCGCACGCACGTACGTATCAATCCATCTATTCAAGAACCACACACACACACACACACACACGCTCAAAGACATTTCGAGATCCGGTGCCGATTGATTATGCAGCGCGAGCTGGTGCCGCGAGTGGCACAGGTCCCCCCGCTGGTGTGGCGGGCGCTGCCGTAGCGGGTTACGCCGCGTCGGTCATCATGAAGTCGACGCAAGACTCGTACGTCTGCTTAGCCGAAGTGCCGAACCAGAACCACTGCATGACCTAGAGCGCAGTAGAATGTCAGCCGGGGTCCCCCTCTTCACATCCCACTCGTCGTCACGCAATCAAGATGAAGGGGAGAGAGAGAGAGAGAGAGTAATAACAAGAGCAATAGCAATAGCAATAGCAATAGCAAGAGAAAGAGTATACGCACGCAAGCGCCGGCCTCCGTACAGTTAGTGCCCATATCCGACGGGACCGTGACGTTAAAGTTGGTGTTGTTCGCCGGCAGCTCGGCCAGCGACTCGTCGGCGTAGCTGTCGAAGCTGATAAGCGGCGCGCCGATGACTCGGTTGGTGGCCGTGTCGACGATGCTGACGTTCATGGGGCCCTCGTGCGGGATGGGCAGCACGGCGCGCATGTTGACGACCTGGCCCGCCGTGTAGTTCTGCACGTTCGCCTTGTTGTCGGCGAACTGCTGCCCGCGGCAGAGGAAGACGTTGCAGCCCGCCGGGTCGGTGTCCTTCTCCAGCGCCAACGCCTCGGGCATGTCTTCGATGTGGCTCGTGATGTCGGCCCGGACGAGGTTCGCGACGGACTTTCCGCACGCGGCGTCCATGGCTGGTCCGACGACGCGAGCCGGAGGGGAGATGATGTTTCCGTGGGCGAGAACGGTCGAAGCGAAAGCCGCCAGGTGGAGGATCGGAGTGGAGGAATACATGGTAGAAATCCTTAGGAAGTGGGAAGTGGCCAGCACAGCGAATCGAAGACAGAATTTAATGAGGAATGAGTGGAAAAATCGAAATGGAAGAGCCCAACTTTGGAGCAGCCCAGAGTCGTTGGGGCTTCAGCCATTCTTATACCATCTGAAGTCCGTGGCAATCCACGGGCGCAGCGTTTGACGGATCTTCAGAACGAGATGCCAAAGCGCCATTATGCGCGAAGGGCTGCGCAGCCAGGAGGTTTTGTTGACGCTTCATTGATCGCGAAGCGTATTCTGTAAACGAAAAGCGCCGCGACGGATCGTGTTTGGCGGTGGCGTGCCAAGGCGTGTCAGGTCTTGTCGTGGGCGATGTGGAACAAGGAACAAAAAGTTCCCGAGCGACAGAAACAGTCATTATCCGAGATAAAAAATAAGGCGAACGTTTCTGTCGGCTTCGGCTTTGTAATGTTGGCGACCGCAGCGAGGTGATCGGCCGGCCACTGCACACCCAGAAAGCCGCTTCGTAAAGCAGAATGGGCAGTATTGACTTGAACCAACGTAGCATACCAGATCTTATCCTCGAAATTCTCGATACGGATGTTAATCGTTAGTTGTTCCGCTGCCAGAAAATCTAGTAGGTCTCTTGCAAAAATGGGCATGTTTCTCACCACCCGGCCCGGAATCCCGGATTTGTTTATTGTTTTCATTTGTCTAGCTAGCCGAGAATCGAGGGCTCCGAGTTTCTATGTAGACGGGACAAGCTTATGTAAGTTCCTGATAACAAGCACATACAGCCACAGCTCTACTTGGAGTCTGTCAATCAGGCTCAGAGAATGCTCAGCGTATGCCGGGCCAGAAACCGGATGATTGCTCGGCCAGTCATCCTCGTTCCGCCCGTCAACTTGTAGAAGCTGAAACAAAGGAGCAATGAGAAGCATGAGGTGATAGACCGGTTGCCAGTAATCTGTATTATCAGAAGTGGGTGCCACAGCCAAATGTGATCGAGGTGGCGAAGGATGAACTTACGAAAGCGCCGCTCATCATGGGGAGTGTTGGCCTTTACGGAATTTGAAGCACTAGAACAAATCCTTCAGCTGCCGATAGAGCTCCTCGTCCCCACCAAACATGGTGCTGCCGACCCCGCCCAGCCCATCCCCAAGCGGTGCGAAATGACCGCCTCCTGGTGTCGTTCCCGATGAATTCCCACTACCATTCATCCCCATACTACCAAGCGCAGCCTCGAATAGATGCGTCATCTCGGTGCTCATCTGGTACCCGTTCATCGGACTACTGCTTGTTCCTGTTCCTCCCACCAAGCTTTCAGCTCCGAACCCATTGACGCCCATTCCGCTGATCTCATGTCCGGCCAGCCCAGCCATAGCTAATGCTGCAGAGGAGTGAGCGTCGTCCTCGCGCATACTGCTGTTGTGTGCCAAGGCGCCGCTGAGCAGGGGATCTGGAGCGAGGCCGAGTTTCGGACCAACTTCTTTGAGGCCCTTGATGGTTTTCCAGAGGCGCTTGCTGACGAATGATTTGGTGCTGAAGCCTTTGACGAGGTCGAGAGCCATGTAGAATTCTTCGCGACAGATATCGCTGAAGCGTACCGAGGCGTGACAGCTGGCGAGGAAGACGACTGCCAGGGCCGAGATGAGGAAGTAATTGAAGCAGACTTGCTGGGCGCGGTAGATGTCTGACGTCTGGTTGAGGTGGGTGAGAGCGCGGATAGTGTCTTTAGCGAGCTCGACCACTGTTTCCGCGTACTGCAAATTGTCTTGGATGGATGTTGCGGAATGCAGGACGGGACGGTAGATGAGAATACGCATCTGATTGGCTCTTAGGTATAGCAGTATCTGCAGACGGTGAATTGCGCGAGAAGAAGGTTGAGCTGAGTTCGAGGTGGGTAATTGGAGTTCGGGAGGGATACTCTTTTGCCATTGTAGGATCTGATAGTCGAGGTACCCGATGTCTTCAATGTTCAAGGCTGGTGCAGTGACCGGTAGAAAGCTGCACACAGACTTCCAAACTTTTGATCCGATTCGCGAATAGGTGATCATGACGTTGAGATATGGAATAGAGAGCTCCTGGAAACAATCAGCGCACATTCGTTGAGTGTTTAATCGTGTCCCTACGGGTTCGGGTAAGTTTGGATCAATGTCCGCGTCCTGTAATGCAAACGGCATGCCCGTTCCAAAGCTCCACCTCCGGTCCAAGACGTAGATGGACCAGAATAATCTGATGGCTTCTGAACGCTCCTGTTCATCGGTGACAACTTTGAACAGGGAATCACGTCGGTGGAGGCCGAGCTCTATGCACATGCGGGCGACTTGGCCTAGAATTCAGTGTCAGAAAGAAACCTCAAGAAAGACCTGCCTGGAGAACAACAGATAATATAGATGCTCAGAATACATGGAGATCCATGTTACGGAGACGCAGGTTTGGAGCAGCTTACCGATAATTCGCCAGGCCAATGCCTCCTCGTCACAATGGAAATGGTAGATGGACTGAAAGTGTCAGCAATAACTTTGGGCACCTCTGCTGCCAAATCACGTACCACGAGAACCAAAAATGGCAGGCTTTTGAAATCAATCACCTCGCTATGTAGTCTCCTATCCGCAGCTTCTCTAACACTCTTGAATATCCTATACGCAATCTCACTCTGGCCATTACCTTCCGCAACAGTGGCACAAGCAAGAACCATCTTCAACACCAGCGACTGGGTATCATGGACGCCATTCCCTGCAGTTGCCGGATTGGCAAGACCAGTGCGAGCAGTAGTGTCGACAAGATCATGTAGTTTGGTCCCATGTATCATAACCTTCTCGATATCCAAAATAGGGTACATCAGTCCCATTTCTTCTTCATAAACCCTACATAGCCGAAGCATCTCCTCTCTGCTAAGTGCCCAGATGGGGTCTTTACCAAGAGCCCCGTCCACCACGGACACATGCCGAACGTGAGCTATGGGAGGAGGAGAGCCGACGGGTGTGGCATCTGAAGTAACAGCGCCTTCATCTACCCCGAGGCCCTGATATCCCATATTATGCAGTGTATTCTTCGCAACATCGAGACTGAATGCCGAGCTCGTCGGACCGTGAAAAGAAGGGTGCTGGTGGATCGGTCGGTATCTGGCTGATGGGGATGTGGGCGGGATGTGAGACACAGACATGGAGCCCTCAGACGGCGCAATGAATGAAGCTCCATCTCCTCCAGCCCGCAAAGCATTCAGGTTCGCATATAGATTGTCGACTTGTTCCTGCAGCGCCGCGAGATGCGAGTTCATCAGGCGAAACTCCTCGGACTCCTTGAAGCCATTCGTACAGCAGTTCGGCGCATACTGGCAGTCGAGGTTGAGGTTCCCGCAGCGCTGGCAGGGCGTATTCCCATTGCACTTGATCTTCCTGCGCTTGCATTCGTTGCTGATTTTCCTGGTAAGCTTTGACGTCCTTATTGTATATTATTAAGCGGAATGCGCCGCGACGCCAGCTCCTGTAAGGACCTCCATTATCTCTGAATCTCTCCCAAAATCGCACTCACCACGCAAGCGAGATATATCTGTTCCTCTTGGCCCTCAGATGTGTGTTCCCATTCCCATTCGCACTCGCACTCGTGCCCGTCTCGTCGCTTTTCCTCTTCGTTCCACCTGCATTGCCTGTTTCTGCAGGGCTTTCCACACTCGAGGACTGTCGCTGGCCGTTCATGCTGCGCGCCACGCCGGCGGGGGAGATGGGGGTTGTGATTGCGGCTGCCATGGGCGATTCAACGAGGTAGTTGAGATCTGCGACCTGGCTTTCGATGATGTTCATCGTCACAAATGTAGGACATGGAGGAGGGGAGAAGAGGAGAGAGGAGAGGACAGAGGAGAGGAAGGAGAGGAGATCGGAGGAGAGCACAGCAAGATCCGGGCGAAAGTGAGGTTATCGTGGAGGATAAGTAAACACCGATTTTGGGATGTACAGCCCTACTGCAGCGATTGATGCGCACGAGACGAGATTCCGAATTGCGGGGTCGTTGCAGATCGTCGCGTCGTGTGGATATTGCCCTTGTCGAGTCGCCGGATCTACTTTACTAAGCAAGCTAGTGTGCACGTGACACGTCTTTTAATGTCTCCATCGCAGGACACCTGGCCAGCCCGCCAGATGTAAATGTATCTGCCCTAAGTAAGGCTCAAAAGATTTGTCGGGCTTCGAAAGAACCCCGGGATCGCGTTTGATCCCGTTTTGTTCAGTCCGTTTGAACTATCGACGACTGAGGGAGCCCTCTCCGTGGAACAAACCAAACTCGGTATTGCCTACAGGCAGACATTGACATTCCTCGGGCCTCCTCTTGACCGTGGGCACTGGTCTCCCTAAGAAAGCTAACATCGAATAAGATATTCTGCCATCTCGGCTAGCTCGTCAGCAAGTAAACACTCGCTCGTTTAGACCCCTTTTGCTTCCCGACCAAGAGCTGAACGTGACTTGATCCTGCAACCATATTCCATTACACAGTCCATATTGACAAAGAAAAGAACCCCGTATCGCTCTTTCTCTTTACATTTGACAGCAACGTCCCGTAGTTCCGTCTTGGAGCCAGCTTCTTTCCCGCAGCTCGACACTTCTTTACCAGTCAGTAGTGGAAGGACTTCGCCATCATCCTCGTTCTTCAACACTTCTTCGCCACCAGTGAAATGAATTCGCTACCATCCTCGTTCTATTTCCACAACCCAGTCAACATGGCGTCCAACGACTCTCCCGCTTTCCAAGCCACGAACCTAGTATCCCGTACTTCAAAGCCCCATCGTATCTTGCGGTTACCAGGTGACGGTGTAGGCCCAGAAATGGCAGACGAAGCAATCACGATTCTGTCGCTGTAACACGCACCTCAGGCGTGCAGCTCAGAATCACAAAAGCTCTTACTGGAAGGTGCAGCATCGATGCTCACGGTACACCTTCAACAGACAATATCCTGCAACTCGCCAAGAGCAGCGATGCCATCCTCTTTAGCGCTATCGGTGGCCCAAAATGGCGAGTATTCCCGTCCTCCTTCCCGAGATTATCAGGAGTACATATTGGTGACGAACGCAAACAGGGGCGCCGGCGCCATCAGACCCGAAGCAGGCCTCCTCACCCTGCTCTCTCTCTTCGCCATCCTCTGTCCCTGGAAGCTTCCCTCCACCTCGCTCACCGGCATCTCTGCGCTTCGCTCCGAAATAATCTTTGGAATTGACTTCGTCATCGTCCGCGAGGATTGCGGCAGCGCCTACTTCGGTCAGAAGGTGGAAGAGGAGGACTCTGCAATCGATCCCTGGGCCTACTCACGTGCTGAGATTGAGCGCGTGGCGAGGGTGGCTGCAAAGCTGGCTTGCGCTATGGGCAGAGAGAAATCCAGAGTTAAGTAGTGACGGTAAAGGGGTCCCGACACAGGTCATTTAGCTGCGACGAAGCGAACGTCTTGGCGAGTAGTCGTCTATGGAGGAAGGTCGTCACACAGCTGTATGAGAATGAGTTTTCAGATATCAAGTTGAGCCATCAGTTAGCGGACTCGGCGGCGATGCTGATGATGAAGGCGCCGACGAGCTTCAACGGGGTTGTGGTGACGGAGAACACGTTCGGAGACATCCTGAGTGATGTGGCGAGCGTGGTGCCGGGGAGCTTGGGACTGTTGCCGAGTGCGAGTTTGGGCGGGTGGCTGGGCGGAGGGGAGAAAGGTAAGTTGATGGGGTTGTATGAGGCGGTTCATAGGAGTGTGCCGGGCATTGCTGGGAAGGGGATTGTGAATCCGGCGGCGATGATTCTGTCGGTCGCTATGATCCTGAAGTACTCGTTTGGGATGATGGAGTAGGCGAAGACTATTGAGCAAGCGGTCGCGAGCGTTTTGGACTCGAAGGATGATGGGGGCTTGGAGATCAGGACTAATAGTGGAAGTTGACCTCACAAATTTTGGGGCCTGAGTATACCTTGTCCGTGGCGTGATTTTGTCCCAACCCATTGAAGTGATCTCGGAGGAAGGGCGAGCACGAAAGAAATGAGCGATGCAATCCGAGACGTACTGCTCAGGAGAAAGGCGTAAAGAAACATGAGCCTCGGTAACAGCCTGATCTTACCAATCGTCTCTTATGACTTTACCACCGTCTCGACTCTCGAACGATCTTTCTTTCACGAAAGGAAAAAAAAGGAAATGGCCTCTAGCTTCTCACTGTGGCTAGCACCCGTGCAATCAAACCAAAATATCATTTGATTTCAATATATCCAAGTCTTGCGCATACCTATAATCGTTTTGCCTATCCAACGAAGGCCATTATTCCTGCCACCCGTTTCACTCGCGCTCTAGAACTGTGATTTCCTACCTCGAAACTAGTCCGAAAGCTCGCTTACGGAGGTCTGGTCAACTCAGCGTGAGCTCTCAAAATATCCATGATACGAGCCCCAAGATGCCTATGGCACTGTCTTTCGCCAGCTTCTATAAGGACCCTGGCAAGGGAGGGAGGTGTTCAGCCAATGCACGAAGGCCGGGACACTCTTTCCTGTCGAACGAAACGTGTACGCAGATGGATCGGCACTGACGACGAACAATCGATGCGCGACTACTGATGGCTCCGCTGGTGATTTATAAGTGATCTCACCTTGTCTTATGTCAAAGTCCCTTGTTTGTTTTATTCATGCTGGTGTTCTCTGCAGACGCTGCTCTTTCCTTTGCACCTGACGTCCGCAGAAACATTACCTCTCCCACAGCAGTTCCAGCACTCGAACCCATGAGCAAATCAGAAAATGCTAAAGCCCAATTCATGCCAGTGTAACCGCCGATATTACAAGAGGTCTTTGCGGCTAGTTCATTCAGTCAACTCGTTGCTTTGTTCTCGATATCCTCACACCCTTTGTTTGAAAAACGCAATCGAATTTCCGATCTGCAAAAGAGTCTTTCCCTTTATTATGGGACCAGACTGCAAGACAGATCCCCTCTTCTCGAATCACCACTGGCTCGTAGCGACCGACTACCACGGTCCTAGAAGACCTCGATGGACCTGGACTCCGAGACAAGGGAGAACGAGAAGTGGCTCGCAACCGAGTGGAGATACTTAGGCGCGGATTGGCGCGGCACCAGAATCCTAGGGGAGGGCGCGTTTGGGAAAGCCGGGCTATGGGAGTACGTAGTGGAGCGTTCCCTCCGATCTCCTTCCAGTCCATATCTACGTGCGGATCTGCCTTGTTGTTGAGACCCGTGCGTGTTTCTTAGCTGACTGACCCTGGCTTTGCTTAGATACAGAGGCGATCCCGCGCGCGCGCCGCCCCTAACGGAGGTTGTGGTGAAGAGGACGGTGATCAACAATTTCAGTGGCGCTGAAGCCTTGGATGAGGGTATCAACATGGCTCTGCTGGCTAAGTTTCGCTCGAAGCACATCCTAAGGATGTACGGCCCGCCGCGCCGCAACGCTAATGTGATCCACCTGTTTCTCGAGTACTGCCCCGGGGGAGACCTCGGCAGCTTTACCGGGGACTACAGGCCTGGTGGGTGGCTGGAAGCAGATCTATGGGCTATGTTTCAATGTGCGTAGGGAGGGCTTTGAACTCAGATACATAAAGTTTGGAGAGGAATGTCTCCCGGTGATCGTGCTGAGGCTTTGCTTTTCTAGGTCTTGTGCTGGGGGTTTCGACGATGGACCACGGCTCGGAAGACGAGACGGTCAACTTCAACGATATGCAGATAGGCCACAATGAGTACGAGCCAGTCGACTCAGCGAATAGCTCGCATCACCCTCAGAAGCTATGCTGATACTCGCTATAGTATCAAACCGAGCAATATATTCATGGGCTACCGGGGCCCGGAGCATGCACGCATTCCGATTTTGAAAGCACGTCTACCCGAGCAAGCTAGTGCGCACAGCGAGCAGAGCTGACAGATTTGATTGCAGCTGGCGGATTTCGGAGAATCAGTCCAGTATCCTTCCAAATACCAGACTGGGATCGTAATCGACTCCAACGGGCGTCCCTTCCATGGGAGAGGAGACCCGCAATGGCAAGCTCCCGTACGTCGTCCCCCGTCTCTCTCGCCTCTCGCCTCGAGACGCTCTCCCCGAGAACGAAGCTCGCTTAAGGCATATACATATCTGACTGTCGGTTAGGAAATGGTACAATTCTTCGGCGACGCAGCCGCCAACCCCAACCAGCTCCTCCACTCGCGCAAGGGGACCTGCTCGAACATCTTCCAGGTCGGCTGCGTGATGCACTCGCTCGTCACCGGGGCGCGGCGCAACACCTACGCGAACCCGTCGGAGCACCGCGTCTCGACGTGCAACGCGAACCTCTTGCGAGGGGGCACGCACGGCCAGGACATGGAAGATGCCAGATACGCCGGCTATTCACAGACGCTGCGGGAGCTCATCATGGAGTGCATGATGCGGGAGCCGCCGCTGCGCCCGACATCGCAGCAGGCGAAGGAGCGCGTTGCTTCTGGGTTGGCCTTCTCGCTCAGGGCCTTTGCCACGATCCTTCAGTTCAAGACGAATAAGGGCTTGGTGGATGTGCCGTATAGATACGTGGACCCGGAACCTCCCGAGGATCTGCTGGTTCCTGAAGATGAGGCTGTAGCGACGGAGGCAGCGACGCAGGCGCGGCAGCCGGCAGCCGGCGCCTGAAGAAAGAGGGTCGAAGAGGAGGAAGACGGGAGCGTAAGGTCAGGGGGAGGGTGGGCTCATCTAGTAGTAAGGAATGAAAGTCCTTCCAACCTCCAAACCCTGCATCGAGTCTGTGCCCATTGCCCGGAAACGTGAGGGATCTTTAAGCTCTTTTTCCCCTGTTGCTTTCGAATCCTTTGGAACGACTGGCCAAGCTCTTCGTATCCGACCCCGCCCTCTTCGATCAATACCGTACTGCGTCAAAACCCGATATCCTTAAATGTCCAGCTCCGCTTGAGTATCTACTGCAACAGATTCTTGAGTCTCCAGCTTGTAAACCGTCGAGGTTTCTGTCTGCCCTCCGTACGTGCACTTATCACTTCGGGCCGTCGGGCAGTCGGGCAGTCGGGCAGCCGGGCAATCGGCAATCGGGCAATCGGCAATCGGGCAATCAATCAAATCTATTGCTGGCTTGTCGGTAAGAGTACAAGAGTACCGGTACTTACCAAAATTCAGGATGAACATCCTCATAAGATTTTCCCGGCTGTTATTTTGAGGTCTTGTTCCGAGATCCACAGGGCGTGCTGGGATCAAGCAACAGTCCACTCTTAGGTAAAGTAGAGACCTTGCGGAGAAATTGGAGAATCCTCCCGCTGCCCTGCAGGGTACGCTGGTTTGGTGTTTACAGATTAGATAGTTGTAAATACGTAAAACCCTTCTACAAGTACTACTACTTCAAAGCAATAATTCTGGCCTCAATAACAAGGTTTCCCGAGACTCTTATCTCAAGCACGCCATTGGACCAGATAGCCGCTGAACTGCAGAGGAGATATGTGTAAAATTCTCCGAAATCCAAATGCAAAGAGACGAACTGCGGCTTTGTAATGATGAAAGAAGGAACGGTATACAGAGTACAGTGGTGGTAGGTGCGGAACTTGGCGAAGCTCGCTCCACTCCGGGCACGTTGGTAAAAGTCTAAGCGAATGTCAACATTGACCCTAAACCCTCGCAACAATGAACCAAGCCTCGCGATCCCCGATACAGCAGGTGACGCGATTAAGAGATAGGAGATCGAAATAGTGACCCCATACCAAGAGGCCTTGCTCATGCTGGGGTGGGAGTGGCATGTCGCCTTGACGCAGATTGCGTGCGGACCCACCGAATTCTGCGCAACCGTGCATGCGTGCAGCGTGGCAGTCTTAAATTCACACGGCGCGCTTCGTCTTATTTACTGAGATGCCCCCTCCCACTGCGGTTCTCAGCTCAACTAACTCCCCAGTTTCGAATTCACAGCAGGCTGGCAACATGGGGATTCGTTCCTCCTTGACGGACCGGAAGGGGTCGGCGACAGACAGTCCTCCTGTCGAGAACGTCATGTAAGTAACCATGATCCATCCCATCCCATCCCATCACCGGTAGCAAGCGATACACCCCTGGTGGCATATCCCCCTCCAGCTTCCTCTTTCGAAATCCGACGTGCAGACTACTAACCTCTCTTTAGCCGTGAGGGAAACCTGGACTTCACAGAAGAGCGAGGCGGTAATAATTCTGGCCCGTCGTACCAAGGCATGCTGCATCTCTCTCCGCATTTTGGTCGGCACAGCACTAACCCAACATGAACAGAGGCATGCGGCGCGCCTGTCGAAGCCGAATCCCCCCTCGGATACGAAGTCTCGTGGTGCACCGTCATCCTGCTCAATGTCGGGCAGATGGTCGGCACCGGCGTCTTCTCCACACGTAACGCTCTTCCCTCCCCACTTCACTCGCGTAGGTCCTAATCATGTGTGCACAGCCGGCTCTATCTTGAGAGGAATTGGATCCGTCGGCCTGAGTCTGGTCTACTGGGCCATCGGTGTTCTCATCGCCATGTCGGGATTGTGCGTGTATCTCGAACTCGCTTCCTACTTCCCCAACCGATCAGGAGGTGAGGTGGTCTACCTCGAGCAAGGATGGCCGCGACCCAAGTACTTCCTCCCGACAGCCTTTGCGGCGTTCAAGGTGATCTTCGCCTTCAGCAGCAGTAATGCGATTGGTAAACCAGTACCGCCTTTCCTCTTCCCGGAGCTCTTCCTCTGACCGGACTACAGTTCTCTCCACGTATGCTTTCCGTGCTGCAGGAAAGGAGCCTTCGGAGTGGCAGTCCAAGGCTGTGGCCGTTGCGGGATATACGGCTGCTACCTTGAGTAAGTCAATGTAGCCAGCCTCACACTTGCATCTGCCATATCTGACTCTTGTACAGTCGTCACATTTTCGAACAAGTATTCGCTTTGGTTCGCGAACGGGATCACCTGTGTCAAGCTCTGCACCTTGCTCTTGTATGCCTCTTTCGCATCCAGCTATTTTTTTATCTATTCTTTTCTTTCCTTTGCCGGAATCGCTAACAATAAACAGCATCGGCGTCACCGGCTTAGTGGTTCTCGCAGGCGGTGTCAGCTCCGTGCCCGACCCTGGGTTCAACTTCCGCAACGCGTTCGCGGGAACTACCAGCGAGGCCTACGGAATCACCAACGCTCTGGTACGGATCAACTTCGCGTACGTAGGATGGGAGAACTGCTTCAACGTCGTCGCCGAGATCAAGGTTCGCGAGATCCCTTTCCCCCAACAAGGAACGAAGTAGCTGTACTGACTCTGCCAGAACCCGATCAAGACTGTGAAACGGGCTGGTCCGATCTCGCTCTGCTTGGTCGCAGTGCTCTACATGCTGTGCAACATCGCGTACTTCGCAGCGAGTGAGTTATATGCCTCCCTTCCGTGATATTGCCACGCATCTATTCCGTTCCGCGCTGATGGGGTCCGTCAGTCCCCAAGCAAGAAATCATTGAAGGGAACACGATTGCTGCCAGTCTGTTCTTCTCCAAGGTCTTCGGTAGCGGATCCGCCGCCCGCAGCTTCAACATCCTCATCCTCTTGAGCGCCTTTGGAAATCTCGTAGGTGGAAAGATTCAGTTGCGGCCCACATCCCTCCTCGTCGCCTCCACAGATCAATTGAGACGGGTCGCTGACTTGGACTTCCTGCTTCTAGGTGACTACACTCATCGGCCAGGGTCGGATGATCCGTGAGTGTGGGAGGTAATGGCATCCTGCTCCCTCGACTTCCAACCCTCGACTGACATTCCTGTAGACAGGGTGTTCTTCCTTTCCCTCGATTCTGGGCATCTACTCAGCCGTTCGGCACGCCACTGGGCCCCTACTCCCTCAAGTATGTAGCGACGATCATCATGGTAAGCTTTCTCCCTCCCTCCCTCCGTCCCAGCGCAGAAGAAGCTCAAGACTGACCCACGCTCTCAAGATCCTCGGCCCTCCATTCGGAGATGCCTTCAACTTTGGTACGTCGCTTCGCTCCTCATGTCTCTCCAGCCCGGATGGATCCCGCCCGCTAACACTGCCAACCCCTCCAGCCGTCGATCTCGCATCGTACCCCAACGCCGTCTTCGGCTTCTTCATGGGTCTGGGGGTCTACACGATCCGCCGCCAGCGCAAGAAGATCAACGTCGGGCGGACCGATTTCCGCGCCTGGGACGCCGTCGTCCTCTTCTACATCGCCGTGCAGGTGTTCCTCCTCGCCATGCCGTGGGTGCCGCCCGCCGACGGCGTCAACGGCGGCAACGTCTCCTTCTTCTACGCCAGCGCCATCCTGACCGGAATCGGCCTGTACGCTCTCCCCCCCCCCTCCTCTCCCTCCTCTAATTCCCCCCGTGCCCCTCTTGCTAACTCGATGCTTTCTTGGCTGGTGTTGTAGGCTGGGCGTCTGTGCGCTGTACTACTACCTCTGGATCCAAGTCCTCCCCAAGCGCCGCGGCTACGAGATCCGACAAGAGCTCATCGTGCTCGAGACGGGCGAGGCGACGAACAACCTGGTCAACGTGCCCATCTCCCAGCTGGCCGAGTGGGACCGCACCCACGACGTGGCGGGCAAGAGGTACCCGACCATCACCGGCGTGCAGCTGAAAGGGGAGGAGAACTCCGAGGCCTACCAGAGGCATGTCAAGGAGCAGGTCGTCGAGGCGAAGGTATAGTGTAGTGGTGGGGGGGAGGGGGAGGATGGATAGATTAGCAATAGATTACAATCGAACGATCATCGAATGACCTCTCGCGAGCAAAATCTCTCGGGGGCGGTATAATGAACAGATAGACACACAGATAGACACACAGATAGACAGTCAGATAGATTGACAGACAGATAGATTGATAGACACGAAGCAATCAAGCTGGGCTAAGCCAGGGCATGCTCGCCGGGAGATGTACAAGTAAGCGTTGGAGACGGCCCAACCTTCTTCTTTTTCCCGTTTTTTCAAAAGCCGAAAGTCAAGCCATACACACACACCCACCCTTACTCACACGCGCGGCTGAGACGCATGTTGATGCCGGCAAGTATGTAATGCAAGAAAACAGGCACGACACGCGGACTGCCGGGTAAAAGGTGATCGGT